TTTCATCGGGTGTAACATAATTTTTGTCTGAGAATTTTGACGGGTTCTGAACATAGAAGACTTTTACTTTTCCATCTTTTCTGACTGCTTTGTTCTTGCTTACTCTTTGCTTTTTGTCGAGATTGTGAGTTGTAAATGTCTCATCACCCCCCTCCAGTTCCAAGGTAGTCTGAAAAATTCGAGAGAGCTTGTCGCTGAGAATGTTCAGTATGCCAGGAACGTAAACGACATCAAAATCATAATCGAGAATCGTTCCCATCCAATTAATCATCATAGGATTGATGTTATCCTGTGTGAATAAGTATGTCAAACTGCGATGATCAGTGTGAACAGTGAAACGTCGGCCCCATAGAAATTTGTGAAACTTCTTCAACGCAAAAACGATCGCTAGCAATTCACGCTTGGTGACCGGATAGTTACGTTCTGAAGTGGAGAGCGAACGAGCCATGAAGCCATTGTAGACTATACGTTTAGTCGTGATGCCATTGGCATCAGTAGTAACATCTTCTTGATACAGCGCAGCACCAATACCAAAATTAGAAGCATCAGTAACTACATGCATGGTTTTGGTTGTGTCAACAGGTTTAAGTACAATGTTGGACATCAGAATGGCTTTAATGGCATCGAAGTGAGCATCTAGTTTTGGAGTCCAAGTGATGTGCTTAGAGCTTTCCAAATGGCGTAAACCATCCAATGGTGCAGTTAAGTGTGCAGCCAAAGGTAAATGTTCCCTGAAATAGTTAATTAAACCAAGGAATCGTTGCATTTGTTTGCCCGTAGTAGGCTTGGGGTATTCATGTAAATTGCTTAGCTTTCTGGGATCAAGAGATCGACCTTGTTCTGAAATACAGAAACCAAGAAGATATACGGATTTCATGCCTATATGACATTTTTCAGGATTGAGTATAAGATTACTCCGGGTGAGAGCTTGAATGGCCTGCTTAACGTGACTAAAGTGCTCTTCAACAGAACGACTAAAGATACAGACATCATCTACAAAGTGGTGAGTAAAAAGTTTCATATCCTTGAATATGATATCCATTACACGGGAGAATTTGCTAGTGAGTGTTTTGATGCCAAATGGTGCACCAACATGGTGATAATGAACATTTCTGTGTGTGAATGTAGTTTTGTGTTGATCAGGTTCATAGATCTTGAAACGATTGAAGGCACTTTTTAAATCAAGTGTAGTGAATACAGTTGCACCTTGCATATCATGAAAGATATCGTTGATGAGTGGAAGTGGATATTTATCTTCCTCTATGAGAATTTTATTGAGTTCTCGAGGATCAAGGCATACACGATGAGCGGTGAGGTTGCCTTGAGCATCTTTTTTCTTGCTGATAGTTAAAGGGTTGTTAAAGCCTGTTGGTGTGTTAGACTGCACAATAGTGCCTTCTGATAACCATTTTTCTATATTGTCATCCACTACGGACATGAGTGTATCTGCAATAGGATACTGTTTCCTATAGGCTACTTTACCTTCAGGTGTAGACAAATGTACCACACTTTCAGGTAAATTACAAAATGAATTCTTGTCAATTTTCTGGTTTTCATCAATATACTTTTGCAATGCAGATAGTAAAGTTTTATGTTGCAATTCAGTGCCTGCATAAGAGATGTTGGGTTGGTATTCACGATCATCTATAGAATCATCATGGATAATCTTGTTGTCATCCCAATTAACAGCCACACCTGTTAAGGTTACGCCAATGTGTGGCATAAGATCTTTGCCAATTATGGCATCCATGCTATCATCATGTAATTCAAATACGTCAAAGGCATGCTGACAGACATGGCCATTGTACGAAATATTAAGCTTATTGGTTTGGCCTAATCTTTTAATAGTATTGTGCTTTTGTGCAAAGACAATATCGCCCTCAATCTCATTCAATTTAAGATTTTGAAATGTTTTATTTGACTTCAGAAGACTTTTATTTAGGATTGATATATCCGAACCAGTATCCAGAAGAGCCATCAGTCTTTGACCTTAATCATCAGATTTTTGGTTTTTGAGTCGATTCAATTCATCCTTGAATTCATCAATGTCGTCTTCATGGAATGATTTGACAGGATGATGGTCCATGTCAATCATGTCAACGTCGTGTTCCTGTAGATTGTAATTTTTATCTTGTTTAACAACCATGTTGACGCGTTTAAATTCGCTATTTTGTTTATCATATGAAGGAGTATAATTCCTATGATTATTACCACGATTGTCATTTGTATGAGTCTTGAAATTGCTGTTCTGCAGCTTGATGTATGCTGCACAATTATTTCTGTGTGCCAAACTGAACGGCTCTTTGTTGCAATAGTGGCAAATATTGGTCGTAGACAACCTGTTATGAGGCGCCCAGCGAGATGCATTACTGCCATTAGGACTATGCCTGAAAGTCTTTTGCATCCGAGGATTATGATCATCAGCTGCATGCTTACGTTTTCTATCATGATGTTTGATGGCATCATGACGACTCAAAGAATTATATTTCTTATTGTCACTGCTAGCCACATCATTATCTGATGTTGGTTTCGCTTTCTTATCCCTTTTTAAACCTTGTGCGTAGCTGTCTTTGTTACCAAAAGACACATAAACCTTTTTCAGTTCATTGCTGAGCATCACCTTATGTTGGTTGAAGAGTACTGCGGTTTCTCTCCAGGTTGCGGGAAAAGGATCTGTTTCATCAGATTTGTTGCCAGTGATCATGTTGATTTTGTCATATATGACTTTCCTAAACTGCTTTGGTAAACTGTTAAAGAATAACATCACAACCAACTTATTATCATTAACTTCCGTAAGCTCGTCAAAAAGATTTGTGAATCGGTCAACATAGTCCACGAAATCTTCATCAAATGTTGGTGATATACGAAGTAACCGTAATCCCTTTTGAAAGTTGGTTGTCTGTATATCAAACCTTTCAGTGATGAGTCGCTTCACTTGCGTCCAAGTGAGCTCCTCCTTCTTTTTTTCTATATTTTTCTTGTACCAACTAAAAACTAAATCAGGACATGCTGTGAATGACATACGTAATGCACTAAACCAATTATGTTCAATAGACTCATCTGTCATAAAATGAGTGAAGACACTTTCAAAAGTATTGAAGAATGCTTCTAATGATGGATATGATGTTCCATTGTCATTTTTCTTTGGGTCACCATTCTTGTTATTATGGACAAGGGTGGCGTCAATGCTGGTAATTCTGAAGTGCGGTATAACGCCCACAGGAATTGACTTTTTCATCAGATTGGTTGATATACCTTGCTGATGATCAGCATGGGCAGTAGGCTTAGCGCCTCCCCCGGATTGCAACATGTTATATTGTTTCAACAAGTCATTGCGTTGCTGCGTTAATATTTGCAGCTTCATGCTGGTGCTTTTTATATCAGCATCATTTATAGCATCACACAATTTTTCATTCAGTTGCATGATTTTTTTGTTGAGTACTGATATGTTACTCTGTATGTTGACAGTAACGTCTAAAACCTCTTTTTGAGGCTTAGCATTTTCTTCGACAGGGCTAGTTGCATTATCTGCATCACCCATGTCAACATCTTCCATGAGATCTTTCTCAATCTCTTCTTCCAACGTGAGTTCGAAGTCCAAAGGATTTTCGCTCCCACGCAGTTGTTGATCAATGTAGAACAACTTTGGTGAAGGTCTGCGACCAGAAGCAACGTCAACAAAGTTGGGTCTTTGATCCCCACTTGAAATGTTGTTGTTGTTGTTGTTGTTGTTACGTTCGGTGTTCATCGAAAAAAATGTTGTATTTGCTTATTTAAAAAATTGATAACAGTTGTAAGTCGATGACTATGAACTTAGGTGTCTTTATTATTCTTCAGATGAAGTAGAAGGATTATTTACTTTGTGAGGTTTAATGGGAATTATATTATTTGAGGACGCGTATGCTAGTCACTAATTTCAGGTTCAGATGCTTATTGGGTGATTATTATACTTAGGCCTATATCTTGTTCTATGTTGTACATAACCTATATTAGATGCAATATAGATAGACCGTGGTAGAATGTATTCTCTACCTGGTTGTACGTACTCGAGTATTGTAGTTATTATCTCACCAAACACGTCAAGGTGCGAAGTTTACTGCGAAGTTGTCCGATGGGTATACGTGCTTTTGTCGGAATGTATACGCATTGGAATCATTGAGTTAAAGAAGGAGGCTGGAAATGACGAGCGGCGACTTCTTGACGGTGTACGCGTTTTTGGTGTTGGTGAATCGCTAAATTGCGTCTTAGGAGCGCAACCTGAGCTGGATCTCTCCACGGAGGTAGTTGTTGGGTTGATGTAAGGGGCATGGGTGGCAAGTGTGAGTTGATGGGTGGTGGAGGTATCGCTCTAGGTGGTTGGATGGTTACGGAGCGATGCTATTTCCGCTCAATTCTTGTACCAATTTTGTAAGGTATGCTACTTGTTGTTGGGGGTCCTAGGGTGGGGCAGGGGAGTCCTCAGTGTTTGTGGGGATATCCTCGTCAATCGTTTCGACTGTTGTCTGGGTGGTTTCGCGCTGTTGGCTCTTCTGAATATGCTGAAGAATGGGTAGCATATTGGCAGCTTTAACTTGTCGGCTACACTGACTGCATTTAAAGACTGGTTGCGAAGGGTACGTAGGGTCTGAGCCCTTGCGGTGGTAGATCGTAAAGGCGTTACAAGCTGAGCAAAACAAATGTTTACGATATTGTTCAAAAAGAGTGTTGAGTTCTATGAGTTGGCTTTCATAGAGTACGATACTCCTGCTTGCACGACTTGTATGTTCAGTCGTCATGGGTGAGAGTGGTAGTATAAACTTTGGTGGACTTTCTTTGTCTACGATAGTTATTATTTATATAAAGTTTTCAGTTACTTTCCAAAAAAGGCAATTTTCAAAAACAAAAAAGGCAATTTTCAAAAAAAGTGTTGGAAAGCGGAAAAAAAGCTGACGCACGAGTACACTATTTTCACCTTAACCTGGATCAACCCATCCACCCATCTCCTCCTTTATCTGATAATCACATCTCCACTTTTATCTGATAATAAACGCAAGGCTATTATTGAGGCGTATCCGCCCATCTCGATTATCACGCACCTGCCACGGTTCCTTCAGCCCAGCGACGTATGAACAAGGGCCAAAAACAAGAAGATCAGGCACTAAAACAGTATCAGTACTTAGTTTTCGGCTGTACTCCGTCCATTAGATGTATTAGACCATGAGATAGCTAGTAATGAGCCTGACAACCAACATCTTGAGAAATATATGATAATGATTAAAGACATTCGCAAACTCCTTTTACATGTGTCCTCTACATTGAATCACGCGCGTAATAACATCGCGATACGCGCCTTTAACCCGTCTTATTCCATCAAACGTGATGATAGTTCTTATACTCTCCCTCCTTCTGATTTTCAAACGGCCCTTAATGAGCAAGCGACGGAACTTAAGGCTCTTCGAGACGCTACTTCGAACTATCGTAAACGCACTACACGTCCTTCCTCTGGTTTCTCGCCTGGCATTGGCAATCCGTTTTTCGATCAGGTCCGTCCTCCCAGCAGGGCGGTTTCTTCAACTCCAACAATATCGCTTCAATCCCTACAACAACCAACAACAACAACAACCGTACACAATTCCCAAACTCCAACAAGCGATCAAGCAATCCCTTTTGAGCTCAACCTCAAACCCAACCCCAACACTAAGTACTATCAAGGTAGGGGGTCGTTTGCAATGGTTTGCTTCCGAGTGGCACCAGATTTCCAACAGCAACTTCGTCAACTTCATAGTCGCTCAAGGTTATCGTATCCCTTTTCGTCAGACATCACCTACCACAACAACACCCAAACCGGTCATCCCGTTCTCTGCGGACCAGACACTACAGCTAGACCAAGCTATTCAAAATTTACTTCAAAAGAATGCAATAGAAGAAACTTCCCTAACCGAAGCAACTCAAGTACCAGGCTTCTACAGCTCCCTTTTTGTCATTCCGAAGAAGAACAACGGCATACGCCCAGTTTTCAACTTACGCAAGCTCAACGAATACATGGACCCGTGCCATTTCAAGATGGAAACGATCAGAGAAGTCGCACATCTTATTGCACACAAAGACTATTTAGTGTCGATCGACTTAACAGATGCTTTTCTTCATTTAGGCATCCATTCAGATTCACGCAAGTACCTTCGTTTTGTTGGAAGTCTATCAATGGTGTACCACTCCATTTGGCCTTTGCTCCATACCATATGTCTTCACTAAGGTTTGTCGTCCTATTCTCGATTGGGCCCGGTCACAACAAATCAAATTGTTGGCATACTTAGACGACTGGATACTGATAGCGCCCTCGAAGAAAATCGCATTGCAACAGACATAACTTGTCCTCAACAAATTACGGCAATTGGGCTGGTTGATCAACGAAACCAAATCAGTTCTGGTCCCTACTCAGCGCTTGGAACATCTCGAGTTTATCCTGGATACAACAACAATGAAAGCAGAACTACCGAAGAAGAAAGTTCGAGACTTGAAGAAGTCAATTGCACAAATTCTGAAACATCCCTCGAAGCAGACTCCACGATTGATCCACAGCTTAACCATGCGACTGCAATCCGCGCTATTTGCGATCCTACCAGCTCGTCTATACACCAGACGGCTGCTCTATTTCAAGAATCTAACAGTGAAGTCACCCTCGGATTGGGACTTGCCACAGCCTCTCGACGAGGCATCAATTCAGGAACTAACTTGGTGGCACGACAATCTAGAGAAATGGAACGGTCGGTCATTTATTCCAACCTCCCCTCAAGAGACAATCTTTGTAGATGCAAGCAACTCGGGCTGGGGCTGTACATGGAACAACCAGACAACGCATGGATATTGGACGCCCAACGAAGCAGCCTAATCAATCAATTGGCGAGAGCTCAAGGCAGCTTGGTTAGCAATGCAGTCTTTTCCAACACTGAAGGACACCACGATTCTGATTCGTACAGACAATCGAACCAGTCTAGCTTACATCAACAAGCAAGGGGGAACGCGTTCTTTGCATCTGCTAAATTTAGCAATCGACATTTGGAACTGGTGCCTCCAACGCAACATCGTCATTCAGGCTCAACACATTCAAGGCATTCAGAATACGATTGCCGACTTCGAATCTCGTCGTCAATTCCAGAAGAACCAGTGGCAAATTCTTCCCTCGGTGTTTACACGGATAAACCAAATTTGGGGTCCATTCGACGTAGATCTTTTTGCGAATCGAACGACCTTCCTCCTACCAAGATACGTGTCATGGCTTCCGGATCCGGGGCCATGGCATGTCGACGCATTTACTCTCAATTGGCGGATCCTGGACAATCCATTTATCAATCCCCCCTGGAATCTGATATCTCGGGTCCTTACCAAGCTACTTCGAGACCAAGTCTCTCAAGCGGTCATAGTAGTCCCGTTTTGGACAAGTGCGCTGTGGTTTCCCCTCCTTTGCTCCATGGCCAAAGCACCATCTTTATTCCTCCACCGTTGTCAGGTTCAATCGACAACGGTACACAGTACCCACCCTCTCCACAGGAATCAGCATTGGAAACTATCCGTTTGGAAAGTATCCGGTCTAAGTTTCTAAACCAGGGTCTTTCGGATCCTGCTATTCACTCCCTCATGTCCAAGTACGACACCTCGTCTCCTTCCTTCAAAAACTATCGAAAATATTAGTTACTGTTTATTGACTGGTGTACTCAGGCTCTCCTCGATATCCCCAGCTTCACCCCCGCTACTTTAATCAATTTTCTATCTTACCTCCACACGACTTATCACTGGCAACCTTCTACCCTAAAATTGGTTCGATCGGCTGTCAATCATCTCCACTTCCACACTCAGCCTGATAATATTTCCAAGTATTCCTTGATCAATGATTTTCTCTTATCACTGGTCAAGCAGGAAGCTCCGCTACGTATCCATCGCTCCAAAGTCAGCCTCCAACCTGCCATTGACTATGCCAAGTCTATTTCTTCATCGACTAGCACTCCATGGTCTCTATTACAATCAAAAATGGCCTTTCTACTCGGTGTCACGGCTCTCTTACGGCCGTCTGATCTGGCACGTATATCATTGGACTCTTGTAAAGTCATCGAGGATCACTTCTCCTTTCAAGTGGTGGCACCCAAAGAAACTCGTCAACAAAGATCAATTATCAAAGACTATATGGTCAATTCTCATTCGGACCCCGATTTGTGTCCTGTACGCCTCTTCCAAGTCATGCAACAACACCCAGCTTGGTCTTCAGTCGCTACACGTCCCTCTACTTTATTTTTTTCAGGCGGCGCTGGCTCCTCCATTTCCTCGAATACCATTTCTAAATGGCTACACCGCCAATATATACGAAAGATCACGTCCAAATCTACCACTCTACGTTCTTTAGCTTCGTCGGCAGCTATGGATTTAGGGATTTCCAAGGAAGATATTGTTGCTCTTGGCAACTGGCACAATTCACCGGTTTTTTGACAACCATTACCGTCGTAATCACATGCTTTCGGTCAATTTTACTACCACGCTCCTGACTTCTACAGGTACTGGTACTTCTGCTTCTGGATTGGGTGCTTCTGTTAAAGACATTCCGGATGAGATGCCTATGGGTTCAACCTTTATGGTCATTGGTAAAGACTCGGAGTCCGATGACAACGAGGTATTTATGGATGCTGTTGATTCTCTGGATTAGGAAGGTTACCTCCCTCCTCTCTCATTTCTTTATCCCTCCCCTCTACACGTCGAGCATTAAGATTAAAGAAAAAAAAATTTTTTTTCGCTGTTAAATCAATAAAAGAAGATTAAAGGAAACTGTAACCTTCCTAATTTGTTTCCTCTATTGAAGCTTCCCTGGGCAATTTAGATAAGTTTCATATCTCAAGCGCAACATCAATGGGCGGGTTTTTATATCTCAAAGGGTACTTATAAGCCTCTTTCTCAGTTAAACAGTATTCATGTACTAGGAATTTAAGAAATTTGATCTTTCTGTAACTATGATTATGCTCAAAATTGCACTATAACTGCAAAACCATTTGAGAAAAAAGATAATAAGAAAGATGAAAACTTCTCAATAGGGAACAGGTAAGGTATATATACGCGTTCAGAGTCATGAAAAAAAAAGAAGTCTGGATGATTTCAAAAGCATCAGAGGTTCATAAAATACCGACATAGGATAGCTATTCTTTATTATTCTCGGTTTTTTTTTTTTGGTTTTGGGAAAATAGAAAAGAAATGGCATAAATAAACAGCATAAGTGATTGCACAAGATGAATGAGTTCAACGGATTATGGTTAACCGAAACAAAAAATGAAGGGAACCACTCCAACTTTTTATATAGTTGAAACCGCTTGTTTTCAAGCTTTTCAAAACTACTTTTCTTTTTACAAAAGGTTAACTTTAGGAAGAGTTATTGCTTGAGCGACGGCCGTCGCTGAAGGCGGTTAACATTGTTAACAGCCAAACTGTATTCAGGAGCGTCAGTACAATTGAGCCTGAACTCAAGACGAGCACCGTAACCATATTGACGAGAGCCAATACACTGAAGATATGCTGAATGATGTTTCTACAGTTATAATGAAAGAATGTAAAGTTCAAAACACTAGTCATTACAAGTACCCATATACAGTATAACCAAAAAACAAAGTATTTACCATCCAGTTCTCATAAGCCTTGGCCTTGTCAAGTATGTTATTCGGCGTCAAGTCCATGCCTTGTCGGTTCGACTGGTACTCACGACGGAAAAAAGCATGTTTCCAAACACCATATGCTTGAACTGACACATATGAATGATTGGGCTCCATGTACTTAAAGCCACCAAGACCGGAAAAGTCTACAAAACGAATCATGACGAAGGGTGCCGGTAAACTTGTTGGCAGGAAGACGAGGAGAAAAGAACAAAGAAAGCAGATACTCTGTATCAGACCACAAACCAGTCCAAGAACAAGAAGCGGGAGGCAAAAAAGAGAAGGCAACATCAAGATAAAGATGCTTGTAATCGAAAAAAGGACTATTTACATTCAACAGTTCATGCTGAAAGGCAAAAGTCAACATAGCGTCTCTACCTTGCTGATAGATGCTATCAGATATCACCTTTTTCATGCCATGGGAAGAGATAACGAAGAAAAAGTCTTTAAACACATTCAGTCTTGTGTTTTCACCACTGTTAATCAATTCTCGAATAGCACCAACCAAAAGCGATAACGAAAAGGCTTCAAGTTTAACTGAGCTATGTCCCAATCCATTTCTAGCTGCATTATTAAAAGATAATGGACCTGGATATGCTGCCTGAATGGAAACAAAGTCGAGGCAAGGAATAACAACATCTTCAATGAACATTTGGTGGTACTGCTGATCAATAAAGCAAGTGGACTTGTTATTGGAGGAGCTTGCTTTAGCCATTTGCATCAAGCGAGGAAAGAAGATGTTGACCTACGATAGAAGTTAACCACCATGCATTAGTAACATTCTATTTGAACTAAACTCTATGCCAATACACCTTGTGATATTTGTGATTTGTAGTTGTGAACGCGACTTATAATTGATATAAACTGTAAGGTGAAATGAGCCTCCTTTAGTCCTTTTATTATACACTGAAAATCAGAGAGGAGAGCGTTCACGGCAAACTGAATGTTTGCATTTAAAAAAGAAAAAAATAAAAAAAGTCCTCGTTCCTTCATTTCTCAGCCAGTAATAATGCAGCATTATATATGCGCATCTTTAGAAGTACAAGATGACGTGTACAAGTGTTATTATGATTCTATGATTATAATAACGAATTAAATGCTTGAAGATGTGTCTGATTCGTCTTCATATATTATAGGAGGTATGGAAACACCACATGTAAAGGATGAAAAAAAAAGAAAAGGAAGGATACGTAGTATATATGACGATAATGATTGGCGGACAAAATGATGATGTAATTTGTTTCTTTAGATATGCTGCGCGTCTTCCCATTTCCCATACCCGCTTATCCAGTTTAACTGGTTAAGCAAGAGTATTCATTTACTTTTATCAGGTTCGAGTCCTGGGATAACATTACTTCATTACTTAACTTAACACGACATAACCTCATCTTAACTTAACATAATACGACTCCTTCCATCTGTCTGTGATCCAATATCACATGTTCTCAACTGTCTTCCTACGCATCCGCTTAAAAGCTCATTCCAAGTACAAATCTGGCGTTTTCGTTTCTTTTTTTTTTGTTTAAATCCATGTGACATTTATTCAATAAAAAAAACGGACGTCAGAAGTAAAATATGAGAAAGGATATATAGGTTTAAATAGGGAAGAAGGGCCTTGTTGATGGGTAAAAGCTGATACTATAAACGTGCCTCAGCTTGGTGATCAACCTGTGCCCTCCTGAGACAATAAATCGACGCTCTTAACAGTAATCTGTAAGGTGATCGATGATAATAGCCGTTGGTAAGCATTTTCAGCGGACCAAGTTTCTTGACTAGTGACGGTAGACCGATGATACTTCTATAGAGTTTCTGAAAGGACACTCAACAACTCTAGCGTGTAGGGTTTGGTATATTCATCCGTATTTGGCAGTTGTAAATTGAGCAGGGTATGCATAGCATCTGCTGGAGTTCTCAATACATTGGAAAAACTACATTCGAAAAAATGAACGCAACAACTATGGACGCAGTTACATTTACAAATAGTATTGCCAAGTTTACGGTTGATCTCGTAAGCTATTCATTTTTCATGAGCGACCCCATAACTATGCGTAGTGATGGTAAACGCTTCTTTTCAATTTCCACTGCAACATTTGACTTTGAGTAAAGTTTAAAGAAACATTGTCATTGTCTTGGAGAAACTCTCCATCCTCCCCTTTCTTAAAAAAGAATTTAAGACTGTCGCAAAAAAAAAGGTACACAATTAGGCTTTAAATAGGAGGCGATTCAATTTGAGCGATTCTGGATCTACACAAAAGCTTAAGTGTGTGACTGAAAATACTCGTTGTATTGCATCCACTGCATATAGAGCATCAAGATTTCTTTGGATTTTTTCACTTCCCTGTTTGTTTTTACTGGTTTATCTGTCACCTTTCTTTTATTACCGAAATGAACGATTCTAATACTATTATTGGTATCAACTTTGGTACTGCATATACCTCTATTGCCTACCTTAATAAGGTAATTGTCGAATAACTGCCTCGCAACGTTTTATTGATCACATCTAATTAACGCCATTATATTTTTTCCGGACTCTAGGAAGGTCGCGCTGATTGTCTTGCTAATGAAGAAGGTGATAGACAAATCGCCTCTGCTCTTGCTTTTCATGGTGATGAAGAAGTAAGTGCTTTAGATATGCTAGGTTACTTGAACAGTATTATTGAACGAAAATTATTTGCTTTAGGTTATCGGTTCTCAGGCCAAATCTGACATTCCTCGTCATCCTAACCAAACCATTGCCAACTTCCGTGCTAACCTTGGAAAGAGGTAAGTTGCACCCAGCTTTGCATAATTACAGCGTACAATGTTATTAAATTTTATGTTTTTATTTTAATCATAGCTTTGCCGATGCCGAAAACTTGACAGGTTCAGCTGCTCCTGTCGTTGATAAGGATGGCGTCCCAGCTTACAATATCGAATTACCCTCTGGTAAGACAACTCTTTCTGCTAAGGAAGTTACCTCTAAATTTTTGCGCCATATTCGTGAATCTGCCGAAGCTTTTCTTGGTACCAATGTCACTGGTGCAGTCATGGCTGTTCCTTCCTACTATACCGAAAAGCAACGTGAAGAATTAGTGTCTGCTGCTGATGCTGCTAGTATTAAAGTGATTCAACTTGTACACGAATCTGCCGCCGCTGCCCTTGCCTACGACATCGGCCAAAGTGCTTCTACTAAGGATCCTCAGGATGAATTAGTTGTTGTTTGCGATTTGGGTGGTCACTCTTTCGACGTTTCTGTTTTAGCTGTTCGCTCCGGTATGTACACAATTTTGGCTAATGCCCATAATACCAAGGTGGGAGGTGCTTCCTTTGACGATAACTTGATCAAGCACTTCACTTCTGAATTCCAAAAGAAGGCTAAGATCGATATTGCTGACAATAAGAAAGCTTTGGCTAAGCTTCGCAATGCTGTTGAAGTGACCAAGAAGATGTTGTCTCGTAACAACTCTGCTCCTTGTTTCGTAGAATCTTTGGCCGAAGGTGTCGATTTCCACAGCACAGTCAACCGTATGCGTTTCGAGCTTTTGAACAAAAATGTCTTCTCTGAACTTCAAACTGTCATCCATCAAGTTTTGGAAAAGTCTGATTTGGATGCTTCTGAAATTAATAAGGTTCTCCTTGTCGGTGGTGCTGCTCGTATTCCCAAGTTCGCTGTCAAGGTTCGTGAAGTTTTCACCAACGAACAAACCCAAGTTTTGAATGAGCTTGAAGCTGATGAAGTTGTCGCTCGTGGCTGTGCAATTCAAGGCTCTTTAATTTCTGGTTTCGAGAAGGAAGATATTGAAGCCGCTATTCATCCTGTCGTCACATTAGCTCCCAATACAACCAAGGCTATTGGCATTCTTAATGCAAATGGCGACTTCGTTCCTGTCATTCCTCGTGGCACTGCCTTGCCTACTCGTCGTGTCTTTGAATTCTCTAACTCCGAAGATAATCAAAGCAATGCCTACGTTGCATTATACGAAGGTGATCATACAATTGAAAAAGAAGAGATCAAGCACGAACCTGTCCAACTTGAAGATGATGAAGAACCTTATGAAGAGGAACCCGAAATTGTCACCAAGGTCGTTAACAAACCTGCCACTAAATTGATTGAAGCTTGTCTTCCTCTTGAAAAGGCAACTAAAGCCAAGAGCAGCAAGATTGAAGTACAAATTACCGTTGACGCTCAAGCCAATGTTACTTTGGTTATGCGCGAAAAGAATGGCTCCAAGGTGGTTAAGGTTGAAGCCAAGAAATAAATTGTATGAGTTTCTCATTCTGTCTTATCCTCTATTTTTCTTTTATCTCAATCCATCATCATTATGATTATATTTTTTATTTCTTTTTACACATGCAGCACTCCATCTGTAATTTTTGCACAACTCGATATACACTGTACTCTCCCCTTTACACGCGTCATAATGTAAAAAGAGATAAACCTATAGAGTTTTTTATAAAACACATGTCAAATTATTCCTTTTCCGCGCCTTTGTCTAGCAGTTGTTCCACTGCATAGCCTTTCGAGTGTATTCTGTCTGGAAAATTGTCTCAATGCAGACTTGCAACAGTTTCCTTGGGTGATTTCAAACAAAGGCCATTCGTTATGACGGAGCCTAAAGCCGTAAAGGTGTTTCTTACGCTTTTTCGATGAATCTTGTCTATAAGAGACCAGATAGCTTTATTTGATCTCGTTGTTTATTGAGTACTTGTGATTAGCAAAACACGATTAATACTCGTAAACTGGTTTCCAACCGAGAATAGCTTTTAAATTTCTCTTACTCACAGCTATTAGACTTCCGAATTCGTCTTAGCAAAATGAGAGAGACCTCTTGCCGCGTAAATTACTGCTCTAGCCCATAGGCACAAGATTAACTAATAATAATAACCATTTATTCATGCGATGAAAGGTGGAATTTCATTCATTGGTTTTCAAACAAGACATATATGCCCTAGTGACGAGGATGATTCTATAGTTACCGTAGTCGCATCGTAGCCGCTCTCTACAACACTGTGGTTGTACCCAACATCACATTTCTCTTGGATTATACAGATACTGAAGTAAGAGGATTACAGATACTTATGACGATTATAATAACCTTGAGTGATAGCTTTGTCAGAACGACTTTTTGCTTTTCCCGAAGAATAGTTTATTGTATATTCGAGATAACATCTTTTCAATAAATCAGATAACTTTATTTTGCAAATCAAACCGTAATACATTAATCTACCCTTTCCAACTTATCAATTAACTTGTTAATTCATAACTCTAACTCCTAATATATTTTGACAGAATCCATAAAGGCCTGATACCGATGCAAACTGTCAAGGCACCGCTTTCACACGATTAACCGGTTTCATTCTCTCTGATATTTTGTCTATATATTTCATATACAACAATCATAGCTACGCTTTCCTACAATTGTAAAAGCTACCCTTTTCTGTGTATTTGTATTAGCCATTAAAACCTACAGTAAGTTGCTAATTTCTATAACTATTTTAAAGATGACTCTTGTAAGAATACAGTAGAGCCTTCTTTTGTTTCGCTGTCACAGTACGAACTGTAAGCGAACGTGTTATTTATAACAAAGTCTATATTGCGGCCATTTATTCATCAGGATTACTAACAATAACGTCTGAGCAAGTAAGAGCCTGTATACAACACTTCTTATCAAGATTGCCAAATACATCTTGTATGAATTGCCATTTTTGGCTAAACTTTACCATATGATTTTCAAAATGTTCTGTCAAACTTGCTGAAAGATCCAGGTACAGTTCGGCTGATGGATATTGTCGGTTACCCAAAAAAAGTAATTGTCGATTTATACAAAGACATTTGAATTATAGAAAAACCGACTAAACAATTCCAGGACTTTTCAATATCAAAGTCGCAGCTTAATCATCATTTAAGGAATATTATGCAGATTACCGTCAAAAAGCCTCATTTTGAAGCTGAAGTTAGGAACTCAGGAGGATGACATCAGTTTAGTTGATGTAAAACCAGCTTCAAAAAGTACAACAACTGCTCATTTTATTAAGTTCATCAATGAGCTCCTTAAATTATGGATGAGGATGAATCTTTAAAGGGCGGTTATTATAGTGATGGATAATGCTAGTATCCATAAGTCAAGACCAATGATTCGAAAAATCGAGGCTAGAGGTTATAGAGTAACGTATCTCCCCCCTTACTCGCCTGAGCTAAATCCTATTGAACGGTTCTGGACCTTAGTGAAAGGAAAAATCAAGCGCCATCGTTCGATGAAAGAAAGACATTATCTTCTAGCATTGGTGATACTAGTATTGACGTTCGGTTCAGTGATCTTTATGGCTTTTGCTTTTATTCCAAAGATCAAATTAGAAATTGCTTTAAGCGAACACCATTTTAAGCCTGTCATTAAATAGATATCTACTAACTTTAACTATAAATCAACTGAAGTGTTACAAGAACTAGAACATCATATGATTCGGTTGAATAAAATATGGTTAAGCGCTATGAATTAAATCTAGATACATAAAAAGTACCATACCGTGTCAAAATAAAAAAAGCGCACCGTACCGTACCCAAAAAATGAAAAAAGTGTACCGTAGCGTACCGTAGCGTACCGTAGCGTACCCAAAAAATGAAAAGCGTATCGTACCGTACCGTACGTAGCGTACCCAAAAAATGAAAAAACGTACCGTACCGTACGTAGCGTACCCAAAAAATGAAAAAACGTACCGTACCGTACCGTACCGTACCCAAAAATGAAAAAAAACGTACCGTACCGTACCGTACCCAAAAAATGAAAAAAACGTACCGTACCGTACCGTACCCAAAAAATGAAAAAACGTACCGTACCGTACCGTACCGTACCCAAAAATGAAAAAAAACGTACCGTACCGTACCGTACCCAAAAAATGAAAAAAACGTACCGTACCGTACCGTACCCAAAAATGAAAAAAAACGTACCGTACCGTACCGTACCCAAAAAACGAAAAAACGTACCGTACCGTTACGTAGCGTACCCAAAAAACGAAAAAGTGTACCGTACCGTACCGTACCCAAAAAATGAAAAAACGTACCGTACCGTACCCAAAAATGAAAAAAAACGTACCGTACCGTACCGTACCCAAAAAATGAAAAAAACGTACCGTACCGTACCGTACCCAAAAATGAAAAAAAACGTACCGTACCGTACCGTACCCAAAAAACGAAAAAACGTACCGTACCGTTACGTAGCGTACCCAAAAAACGAAAAAGTGTATCGTATCGTACCGTACCGTACCCAAAAAACGAAAAAACGTACCGTACCGTTACGTAGCGTACCCAAAAAACGAAAAAGTGTATCGTATCGTACTGTACCGTACCCCAAAAAATGAAAAAAACGTACCGTACCGTACCGTACCCAAAAAATGAAAAAACGTACCGTACCGTACCGTACCCAAAAAATGAAAAAACGTACCGTACCGTACCGTACCGTACCCAAAAATGAAAAAAAACGTACCGTACCGTTACGTAGCGTACCCAAAAATGAAAAAAAACGTACCGTACCGTACCGTACCCAAAAAATGAAAAAAAACGTACCGTACCGTACCGTACCCAAAAAATGAAAAAACGTACCGTACCGTACCGTACCCAAAAAATGAAAAAACGTACCGTACCGTACCGTACCGTACGTAGCGTACCCAAAAAATGTAAAAAGCGTACCGTATCGTCTCTCGTGCTACACTTTACAAGGTTAAAATCCCACAGTAAGAAGTACATATAAAAAAAATATAGGCTTTGTGGTTTTTGTTATTTTCTGCTATGTATGGTTTTATGACGTAATATTTTGCTCTATTCCGTTTTTTGGAGATTCGATGAAAGAACTCTAAAAAAAAGATCTTTTTTTTTTAGTAGGTACGTAATGGACCAACAAGACATTTCGAGTTTAGACGAAAGCGATCAAGATTTCAGTAACTTTGTTATTCCAAATGAAATATACACCTAGAAATTATCTGATCTATAACCTTATCCTCACTGACCAACGAATCATTAATATTATTACTAAAAGTCTCCTCAATGCACAAAAAACCCATATATTTATACAACAAGAGAGTTAACAGATAATTGTGCCTTCAACACACTGTATATTCCACTTGGTACTCATCAGTGAAAAATTAGACAGTCTGAATATGTCTCAAATAGTTCAAGATTGTAGCGATATTTTTGAACGTTATAATTCTCCTCCTATTTGTTTGATCATCAGCCAACAGAAAAGTTAATGATAACATTTTTAATCGAACTACGCAATATCAAGAGCTTTCATTTTTAAGAGAAATACAATGTACGTTTTGGGCAAAAAAATGTTTATTGCTGTCAGAATACATTATTGACAACAGAAATGAAATGGAAAATCACCTATTATTGGAGATAGTGATGGCTACTAAGTGTCATAAAAAGATTTTATTGTTAAATAAATGATTTGTTCATAAATGATTACTTTTGAAGCGTTTCACAAGTGTTGGTATTGGTAGGAGCAGAGGGCATAGTGCTAATAGTAGAGATAGAGGGCATGGTATTAATAGAAGTAGAGGGTATGGTACTGTTGGTAAAAGACTTGATATGTTTATTGTAGTATCCTCTGAGACTTTCAGTTGTTTTATACTCCATGATTACTGCTTTCTTTTCTTCGTGACCTTGCTTAAAGCATTCTACCCAGCTGATTCTTCCTGTCTTTTCACTTCGGAATCGTTTTATATAATCATTAAGTTCACTGAAGTTGTTGTATGCGGTTCGATTTGATTGTGTTGACTTCAAATATTTGATAGGGGGAGTGTCGGGAATAGGTGTTGTCTCCCTTCCTGCTGTATATTTTCTTTTTTGTCTTTTAAGATAGTCAACGGTATCATCTAAGTATAGCATTGCTTTTTCAATTGCAGTTTCATCCCCTTGTTGCATGTGCCTTTTAATTTTTTCAATTTGGTTTGCCGTATTATCACAAATTGCATTAATAGCCTCTGCTTTTTCTGCTTCTTCTCCAGCTAATTGCTCAACATATATTCTTGCTACCTTGTATAAGAGCTGCATAGTAGAATTATCAGAGGCGTAGTCAAGGTGGGCTATCGACACTTTTTGTGAACATAAAAAAATACCAATAGCTGCCAGCGAAGCAAGTTGCTCAGCCCGATCAATCTTTGATAATGTTATAGAAGACATTATTAAACAGCGTTTAGCCCAGAAGAGACATGGTACTTCTAGGCAGTACGGGTAGTCTATCGCCGTAGTTAATTTGCTGGCTACTGGTGTGGTTACTGCGGACACGCCAATTATTAAAACAATTGGGTATTTATTATACTTCTCGTAAACCAACGTGGAGTAGCGTGTTGCGCGAGACATGTATTTTTCATTCACAACTTTTTGGACTTCTACTATTATTGGTGAATATTCACTAAGGGTCATTTTTGGGAGGTATAAAACGTCACAGGCACTCTTGTCCAAGAATTCACTTGGGGCAGCCATGTAATGATCCTGTGGGCTATTGTTGACACTTTTGCATAAAATATTGATGACTTCGTCATTGGTAAGAACAGCTTTGCTTATTAAATCCGTCCCTGGAACAAACTTTCTTGGGAGAGAGTAATCTGTATTTTTTAAGTTGTATTTTATATGAGAAAAAGTATTGTTTTTTATACAACATCTTTTACCTACCATTAATGAGCTCGTCATTTGCTTTCAAATGAAAAGAATCAGTCATAGTGATAAGGATTATGGCGTACCGTACCGTACCCAAAAAAAAAGAAAGAAAAAATGAAAAAAGCGTACCGTACCGTACCGTACCTAAAAAAATGAAAAAATGAAAAAGCGTACCGTACCGTACCCCCCAAAAAAAAAGAAAAAAAAGAAAAAAGCGTACCGTACCGTACCCCCCAAAAAAAGAAAGAAAAAAAAAAGCGTACCGTACCGTACCGTACCGTACACATAGCTTCATGCGCCTTGTTGTTGGATCAGCAGCAATTGTTGGTTTTGTTCCAATGCAAGCATTAATGCAGACTGTAAATCCTGCTCTTTTCCTTGAATTTTGCTTGGTAGGGGAGGTCGAGTAATAACTGATCGAGCCTTCGAATTACTCTTGTTTCTTGAACTTTCTCCCTTACTGTGGCTGTTGCTATCGCTATCACTTTGTGTATCCGTGTCATCTGCGCTACTGTCGCCTTCTGACGAGCTCTCGGCGTCAGAGTCGTCCTGTTCAAATTTACGAGCTATCTTGTACGCCTCTCGAAGTGTCATTGGTTCCTGGTTATTTAGGTATCGCCTCATATCTGCAGGGGAACAGTGTCTGACGAATAAGGATACATAGAAGTCCTCCTCATAGGAGGTCATGCTTTTGTTTGGGTTTTCTCTGCATTCACGCGACCAATTGTTTTCTCTTGGATGCACTGCATCCTCCAACTTGTTTATATACTTTGTAACTGTGCTATACTTCTTGCGTTTGATCTTCATAACTTTATTCAAATAGTGTATGTCGTCGCGATGTACGATGTTTTGTTTTTCTTCCAATGCTTCTTTGAAACTGTTCCACGAATTTGAAGCTTCGCGATCCGACCCATTGTAAAAGGGAACCTTGGAAACTATTGTGGACGTGGTCCAGTTAAGCGAACCGCCAAAATAATCAGTGAGCTAAGAAATGAGAAGGTCTTTCCACTTTCATAGAACGATATATGTGCACTATCGTTCAAGGCACACACGGGATTCCGAAGACCATTACCAGCGGATAAGCCAGAGTTTCGCACGAACATAGATGAGATGCTGTACACAGACGAGGCTGAAGGTCGGCATGCACCGCATGTACCTGGTAAAATTAACGATATTGCTTTCCGCTTGATATTGGACACCGGTTGTGCCCCATGTATAGTCTGCCATAGTACGATTTGCAAGCTTGCTAAATAACGAACTACAACCCATCGAATCTGAAAAGCTAATGGTCGGTGATGGTCGAAAAATCACACCTAAGGGACTCATAAGGAACCTTGAGATCGAAATCATTTCTGGTCAAACATCTATCTATGGTTGATGCTATCTGTTTGGATGTTTCAGAATCATATGACTTCATTTTAGGCAGGCTGGCCATGCAAAAGATCGGTGTGGGTGTCGATTTGAAGAGTTCTTACTGGTACATTCGTACAAGCGGAAATTTACAAAGAATTCCAGTATCATATTTTGACCCACTGCAGGAGGCGTACAGCACAGAAAGTTCCCTAATGGCTATATCCAGTGCGGATATTGAGGACAGCTCGAATGAGGTTGAATCACAGGACGGCCTGTCTACACTCATATCGCAAATTAACGACAACCGTGGGCTTTCTCAATCCGAGAAAGAGCAGGCGATAGCGCTGATACTGGAGAAAAGAGCAGCGTTTGGTACCACTTATCAAGACATAAAGCAAACAAACTTACTAAAACTACGCATTGATACCGGTGATGCTACGACTATCATGAAGCGCCCCTTTTCTAGTATGAGTCCTTCAGACTTGGAAAGATTAAAGTCAGAGCTTCAAGAAATGTTGGAAACAGGAGTAATCATTCCAGCCATGCACACAAAGGCAGAATCAAGTAATCCAGGTTGGGCGTTTCCGAATAAGGTCACTGTTCGAGATTCTTGGCCTTTGCCTGTCATTCCCCACTTACTAGAAGCAATTAAAGGAGCAAGGTTCTTCTCAGCCTTGGATTTACTGAAAATTTTTCATTCCATCGCAGTAGACGACGAAAGCATACCGAAGTTGACTATTACTACTCCTTTTGATTTTTAGTACGGTATGCTTTTTTCATTTTTTGGGTACGGTACGGTACGCTTTTTTGTTTTTGGTACTGAAATGACCAAGAGATCAGTAATTTTGATTTTCAAACTAAGTTTCATCCAGGAAATGTACTCGATAAATATGATCATTCTAAACTGACGAAAGAATCGTTAACATTATAATTAATTCGAACATTATAACTAATTCGAACATTAGAACTAATTTGGTTATCAACGCATCACAACAATCATATGTTACTGCACCAACAGGATTTATAAATAAACACATGTGCAATGTCCTATATACACGTAAAATACTTTGCTACAAATACTTGCCAATATGTTGAAACCTAGAAAAGACAGAACTAAACCAAATAATTCAACTATGTACTGATACTCATGAAAAATATGACACACTTCCTGTTTGCTTGATCATAGTTACTCAGCAATTTAACGAGAATATTACTGAACAGAGCTCACCATGTCAAAAACTCCCTTTGCTCAGAGAAATATCTACCACATTTTGGGCAAAGCAGTGTTTGTTGGAATCATCCAAGGAATACATTAACCGAAATCCACTGAAACACCACTATGCCTTATTGAATATTACAATTACTATTACACAGTTGTTTACTGATTTGTTAATAATAAAAATAATCAGTTTATTATAATAAAAAAGTATATGTCAATAAAATAAATATAATATATTTATTTTCGATAGAAAACAGAAGAATTATTTGAAATGCTTATTGTACTGAGATCGCAGACTTTCACTTGTCGTATACTGTTTTATTGCATTGATATTGTCTTCGTAGCCCTTTAATAAGCATTGTTTCCAGCTTATTCTTCCTAATCTTCCCTTCCTAAACTGTTCAACATATTCCTTGAGCTCATTAAAATGGGCTTCGTTACGTTCTTTTGGTTGAATATCCTTAGTCTTCAAGTATTTTAAGGCTACGGTTTCTGGGATGGGTGTTGCATCTCTTCCAGTTGTAAATTTTCTTTTTTGTCTATTCAAATAGATGGAAGTGTCTTCGATATATAGAAGCGCCTTATCAAGGAACTCAGCATTACCATTTTCAATACAGCTCTTAATTTTTTCAAGTTGGACATAAGTGTTGCCACATATTGCTTCGATTCCTTTTGATTTCTCTTCTTCTTCACCAAGTAATTGCTTAACGTTTTCCACAGCTATCTTGTACAAAAGTTTCATCGTTGCATCTTGACCACCACTTACAAGATGTGTTATGGAAAGTTTTTGAGAACACAAAAATAAACCAATTGCCGCTAAAGGATCCAATTGTTGACTTGATTCAACTGTTGATAGAGTTGTTGATGACATTAGAAGACAACGTTTTGCCCAAAACAGACTGGAAATTTCTTTACTAAATGGATGACTTGTGGCAGGAGCTAGTATGTTGTTTACTAACGCGGTTACGCTGGATACACCAACTATTAAAACAACTGGATATTTTTCATATTTTTCATATACCAAAGTAGAATATTTTACTGCACGACACATGTACTTTTCATTGATATCCTTTTGAACCTCTATCATTATTGGAGGGTATTCACTGTTGATGGTTTTAGGAAGATATAGAACATCGCAAGCACATTTGTTCAGGAATCCATTTGGTGCAGCGGTATATTGATCTTCTGAGGCGCTAACCAAACTTTTACTGATAATATTGATAATTCTGGTATCATTTAGTACTGCCTTGCTTATTAGATCACTTCCAGGAACATGTTCTTTCGGTAGTAAGTAATCAGTAACATTATGTTCTGATTCTTCTAAATCATTAATGTGTGAGAGAGAAAACATTTATAATTGCACAATGCATTTGGCTTACCTTCAAAGGAACTGTTCCTTGTTTCGAGATGAGCGTAGTCTTTTGTGTTAGATTCAGTCATAGTAGGATGATTTTACCAAAAAAAAAAAAAAACGCTTTTTCTGGTACGGTACGATACGGTACGCTTTTTGTTGTACGCTTTTTTTTTCTTTCATTTTGGTACGGTACGCTTTTTTTTTTTTTTTTATTTTTTGGTACGGTACGGTAAGGTACGCTTTTTCAGAGATTTTTCATTGTCTTCTTGTTTCCATTTTACTGCATATTTAAGCCCTTCTCGTCACCGTACAGCTCAATGGTATCTATAGGGACTTCTAAAGGATGTAAGTAGTTTGACAATGGTTCACTATCGACTTCAATCATATGGGTTTCGATAGGGTTAAGTAGGTGAGCTTTACTTTGACTGATACGAGTAGTATCGTTGTTTACGATAGTTTGTGAAGAATCAGTATGCTGTGTTTCATTTAAAGTTTCGTTAATGTCAGGAGATGTATGATTAGGGTTAGTACTATGATGGACGTCAGGCTCTCCTTTGTTCACTGACGTCCATTCTCTTTTTTTGTCTATTCGTTATAGTTTCTGTTTCCCATGTTACTGTTATTTCCATTATCTTCTAGGTTTCCGTGATTCTTATTATGCTGGTTGCGAGGACATTCCCATTGCCGATGCCCTTCTTCATTGCAGGTGTAACAAACATGTAACAGTATAAGTACCACCTTCCCCATTAACTAATAAAACTCAGACATTGTCCCACCTTTCTTCCACTCTTACATTGGTGGAGAAGCTGAAAATATTCCATAATGAATCCAAACAGTGACAACAATCATGATGAAGCAAACCGTCCTTTCCGGTTGGAAGCCATTGCTCATCAGATACAAATAGGACAACGGCCACAAGATGCCGAAGTCTCTCAGCAAATAGCACAGGTCCAAATGTTTATGAAAATCACATTCAGCAAATGCACCAGCAACATGAACAGTGGAAAACGGCCCAAAACCAATTATATCAACAACGCATGGAAAATTTTATGGAAACAGCTCGGAAACAAGTACAAGAACACGAAGCCATCATAGAACAATTAAATGACCAACAGTCCAAGGATTTGGCAACAGAAAATGACAAAAAGACCAAATACCTCGAAGAAACTTACAAAGAACAAATCACCACGTTAAGACAAACCATAGAGGATCTTCAAGAGCAAATACGCCACCTAGAATAGCAACTCATTGACGCCACATATCAGCATCAGCAAACTCTCAGCCAAACCAAATATCACCTCCAGCTTCAGATACATGAAGAGAAAGCAAAAAATACCCTACTTGACGTACAATTAAGTTACAGCCAAGCCAAAGAGAAACAGTACTTGTCAGAGCTATCAACATTGAAACAGGAACTTCAAAGAGCTATTCACCACACCCCTGATTTGCAAGCAAAAGCAAATACTCGACCTTAGTCAGCTCACTCGTCTACTGATGATGACGATATGTATACCTCGCCTTTACAACACTCTCAATCGCAGTGGGATACTGTATCCGAAATCGCGATGAGGCCAAGTTACTACTACGACACCCAGAGCAGACTTTAATATCAACACTGGCCAAATGGATTCAACACTAAGAAAACGCCATAGCAAGCACCCAACTCCTCCCTTTTTCGGAGCCATGTGGCTCCTACCGCTCATGATTGGCTTACGCACTTTGATAAACTGGTGATTTATCATCATTATGACGAACAGGAACGCAGAAGTGAATTCATGATGGCCATGCAAAGAAATGCCAATGACTGGTGGAAAACTCTTACGGATACTGACAAAAAGTCTATCCAAACCATCCGCTCCCAGTTCCAAACCTTCTTTGGTTCATCCAAGGATGAAATGGCCAAAGCAATCAATACTTTGGATAGCCTAAAGCAAAATAGCGAACCGATGACAACTTTCGGTCCTTGTTTACTTTTACTCATTACCACTGTGACAAAAGACAACTTCTAGCTTTAAATGAACTACTTTTACAAGGCCATTAATCCTGACTTGGCAAAATCAGTCGTGTCAATGAAGCCCACAAGCATACAAGCTGCCATTTGTGATATTTGTAGTTGTTTTATGTTTAGTGAACGCAACTTATAACTTGATATAAACTGTAAGGTGAAATGAGTCTCCTTTAGTCCTTTTATTATACACTGAAAATCAGAGAGGGGAGCGTTCACAGCAAACTGAATGTTTGATAAAAAAAGTCCTCGTTCCTTAATTTCTCAGCCAGTAAATAATGCAGCATTATAGATGCGCATCTTTAGAAATACAAGATGACGTGTACAAGTGTTATTATGATTCTATGATCATAATAACGAGTCAAATGCTTGAAAGTGTGTCTAATTCGTCTTTATATATTATAGAAGGTATGGAAATACCACACCATTAACTTTGCTACTGAGGTAGAGCGCAATATGATTTACAATAAGTTACCTGCACCATTCCTTAAACCATCGGCTCCTCCTCCGGCCCCCGCCCTAGCCACATTTCCTACCGAATCTATGGACATAGATGTCAATGCTCAAAAGTACGGGAGATCATATGACAATTATAAGAAGGCCAACTACAAGAAATGTGATCTCTGTAACCGGAATAGCCACTGGACGCGAGAATGCTATTATCTGAACAAAGCTCATGAAGAAATGAAGAGACAGACAAAGAGACCTACTAACAAAAATTGGAACCATCGAAGTAATGTCCAGGCGATTGCCTCGCCGAGAAGCGGCAGTACTCCGAACCTAATGAGGACCATACTGTTTCGCCCCAAACAGAGGACGATGGGTTCGACCTCACTGATAATATCTTTTATAAGCTTTATAGTCTCCCTCCTATTAATAAGCAAGAAGCTCAAATTGATGATTTAACCATACTTACGGTGATAGGAAGTTGTGAAAACACTTACAATTTCTCTTTGATTGCCCAAATTCCTACCTATCACATGGACGGCAGTATGCAAGTTAAGGTTTTAATTGATACAGGCGCGGAAATATCTACAATATGTGCTGCAGAGGTTGAAAAGCTCCGGTTGCCTATGGCTAAAGCACCTAAATACGTATCTGCTACGGCAATAACTCGACAGGATATTCTGATCAAACGTGTATCCTCTCTTGCTCTATCCAAACTACAAATTACCTTTCTCATGTCTTCCGAGTGACTCCTGCTCAAAATGTTCCAGTCATCCTTGGAATGGACTGGTTAATGAAGCAAGATGTCCTCATTGACCCTTTGCACATGCAATTGCTGAATAGAAAAGCATATAGAAGTGGCCATAGTATTAACAACTCGGCGGTGGACTCAAAAAACCCCTCTATTACTACTGGCAGAGATAGGGTCGGCTTAAAAAACCAAACGCTGAACGAACAATTGGGTCCGCTGCATGGGATCCATTCGCAGATAAAACATATAATACTACTTCACCCTAATTTATACAATGATAGCGAAACCCAGACGGTTACCAATGCTCCAGTATACCACCGTATCGATACGGGGGATACGCAACCATTTGCTGCTCGAGGACGGCGATTGCCTCCCAAGGAAAATGAGCTGGTTGATTCGGAAGTAAACAAGATGCTCGAACGTGGTGCCATAAGACCAAATAACTCTCCATGGTGCGCACCTCCTGTGGTAATTCAAAAAGAAAACGGTGATTATCGATTCTGCAACAATTTCAAACGACTCGACAGTGTGACCAGAAAAGATAGGTTCCCACTAGAAAGGATGGAGGACCTTTTGGATAGAATACACTGTTCACATTGATAGATCTGAAGTCTGCTTACTGGTAAATACCTATATATGAAACTGATAAATGCAAGGCAGCTTTCAAGACCAGGAATGGACTGTATGAATATAACGTTTTGCCTTTCGGGCTATGCAATGCGCCACCAACGTTTGCAAGGTTCATGCACTCTATCATGAAAGAAGTGTTGCCATTCACCATCGTCTACTTGGACGATATTCTAATTCATAGTCAATCTGAAGAAGACCATATCACGCATGTTATTGAAGTGTTGCGCAACTTACACAATTGGAATCTAAAATTGAGCTTTAACAAATGCCAATTCTTAAAGCATGAAGTCAAGTTCCTTGGATTCTTGGTTTCTAGTACAGGCATACAGTCCAACCCTGATCGGACATATCCTATTCGGCACTTCCCCACTCCTACAGACCTTAGAGAACTTCAGCAATTCCTTGGTCTCTGTAACGTTTACTATCGATACATAGCAAACCTCTCTTCTACGGCGGCGCCTCTCTATCGATTACTCAGGAAAAGCACTCCATGGCATTGGTCGAAAGAGTGCGAGAAGGCTTTCAAGAAGTTAAAGAGTATCCTGACATTCCTACCAGAGTTAGCTTATCTAAATGCCAACCTCCCTTATGAAATTCATTGTGATGCTAGCCAACTCGCCATGGGCGCGGTGCTGGTACAAGCAGGTAGAACGATAGCTTTTGCCAGCAAGACCTCAAATCCGGCTCAAGTTAACTATTCTGTCACAGAAAAAGAATGTTTGACGGTCGCATGGTCTCTTAAATATTTCCATTGCTACGTCTATGGAGCAACTTTAAGGGTGTATACGGATCATGCTGCCTTGAAATCCATATTATCCATAAAAGATCCTAAAGGTCGAATTGCCCGCCTAATCTTAGACATTTGGACTTACGATTTCACCATACAACATAGAAAGGGGCTTCATAATACGGATGCCGACTGCTTAAGCAGAATCAAGATTCAGTCCGAAAAACCAGAAGTGCAGGCTATCCGTACTCAAGAGGCTGAGGGCACGTACTCAATATCAAACCTCTAGCGGAAGCTCAAGCTCAAGATCGTGAAATCCAAGAAATAATACTAACGGGCAATATACAATACCCGTATATGTTAAAGCAGCAAATTCTTTGCTATATCAAGCATAATCCTCCCGTCGTAGTAATCCCCAAAGCATTACAACAACAATTTCTTAAAGTCATACACGATCATCCAACTAGTGCCCACCTGGGACGCGACAAGACCTTGGCAAAAGCAAAAGAAAACGGCTATTGGAAGACTATTAATCAAGACGTTCAAGCATATGTCAATAACTGCATTACTTGCAAACGGTTTAAAACGCCTACTCATAAATATCAAAAACTGAAGAGCATTCAAGTCGGGGACCTTGGGGAAAGATGGGCCGCAGACATCGCTTTCTTACCTGTTTCAACACGTAACAATCATTATCTACTCGTCTTCATGGAGTATCCCTCTAAATGGGTTGTGACCGTCCCTCTTGCATCTATGGACACTAACATGACCGCAAACGCTCTTTTATTTTCTGTGATACTGATCTTCGGCACCCCACGTGAATTTCTGACAGACAATGGGAGCAACTTTATCGCTGAAGCAAGCCAGATGGTGTGTAGACGCCTTGGCATTAAAAAAATACAGACAAGTGTGGAACATCCAGCAACTGATGGTTTAGTAGAACGAATGAAACGTACGATCAAAACCTGTTTGTCTATTTACTGTGAACGTCAGCTACAAGTCTGGGACGAGTACCTCCCATTCATTACCTTTGGCATCAATACCACCAAGCAACAATCGACAGGACGCTCTCCGTTTGAGATTATGTTTGGACGACCAGCCCGCTTGCCATCTTTGAATGACATATGTAATTGGCAAGTAACTAACACATATACCATACAGTTCTGGATACAATACCTCGACCATTATATCCCGTTATTGCACCAGGACGTCCGAGAAACGATCAAACGGAGCCAAGTTCGTCAACAGCATTACTTCAACAAGAACCGCAAACCCAAAGAAACCTTTAGGATCGGGGACACGGTACTCAAGATAAAAATAAAGGATAACTGGAAATGCGGTTAGGCTAAATTTGCAGGACCATGGCGTATCATCGAGGCCACAAGTGCACATCCTAACATGGCTTTCAAGCTGGAATACGTCGGCGAATCCCAAAGCAAGCGGCGACGCGCTGAAAAAGATATGTACACCACAGCAAATGTCTGCGATCTTTACAAAATTAAGAGAAGACGCACTCAAGTGCGAGTAGACAATTAACATCTTTAGGCCTTTCTTTCGTGTATTCATCACTTTTTTGAATCCACCAATCAGATTACGGCATTTGACATCTCAAAAACCTCCATCTACAGTAACCTCCACCAGCCCATGTCAAACAACGCTTTGACGTTATCGGGAACTAGTTGGGCGACCATCGCGTCCAACAGTAGAAAAGCGAAGATACCGGCACCTCGAAGCCGTTATGATATCTCGGGCAACAGAGAGCGGTATACCATAGACGCTCTATTTGAAGAAGACGAAGTCAAGGAATATTTGCAAGCTCAACGCGTACACGCTATTGTGAAGACTGCCCTGGAACCCGGAGCTGTCATTTTTGACATTCCCAATCGCTTATTTGAACACCAGGCTGACGCTTTTCGGCTGGTAGTCCATCAGATTGGTCCCGTAGTAGGAAATTATTTTAATACTCTTTCTCGAAGTGGTAACCGTAGTGACGGCCGACTCATTTTCCACACCAGATTTCGTGACCCCAAAATGACGGCTAATGCCTTGAGAAACGGATTAATCATCAATGACGTCGCCTACAAAGCTTTCCCATATAAAGATAAGGTTGACAGCAACGATCATATTCGTGTCAATTTACATCTTACGTTCAGTGCTGAGGAAGATGAATTGATCTCTAAGTTGAAGACGTCTATGGCCCATTATGGCCGAGTCCTCCAAATCAAACGTCGTTTGAACCATGGCTTCTTCGAGGGTGAAGTCAGTATCCTTTTAGACCGTAGTGATACTACCAAAGAGTATCAAGAACTGCAACGAATGCTTTATCTGGATGATTGGGATAGATTCGTTAATGCTAGCTTTAAAGGAGCGCCACCCATCTGCTATTACTGCCGTGAATCCGGCCACATGAAGAAGGAATGCCCTTCTTTGTTGAAGATCACCTGTTTCCGTTGTGGTAAAAAGGGCCACACACAACGTCGGTGTAACGAGGACGATTATCCTCTACCTGAGACAACTTTTGCACAAGATTTGGATATATACGAAAACATAACTCACAGACGTGACACACGTAAAAAACAGCCAAGTACCACTATCACCCACGACACACCACAGCCACAGATTAGAAAAACAAACAAGGCCGACGATGAATCTCAACCACCTGATATGGTAATGGCACCAAGTGATAATGATCCAATGGCGACTCAGTCTGATAATATGGATATTGCAGAGAATCGCACCAAACGAGTATTTGATAAGGAAAACCGTGATAGCAGTTTCTCGAAATATGCTCCCTCTGACGTCCGACTATCTATGGATATCGAAAACGATCAGCAATACCAGGTTCTCAATCAATCGGACACACTATTGTCTACAAGCAAATTCAATGATAAACAAAAAGGTATGGATGGCGGCGTAGGCCGCCCACACAATCCCACAACTGAACTCAACGCCCATAAGGGTAATGAGTAAAAAACCAGTGCGTATTGCATCCTTAAATGCTCGTAGCATTTTCAAGGATGCCGATAAAAACACTCAGAGAGTGTTTTTATCTTATCTTAAATCATCATCACTCTCTTTGGATATTTTATGTTTGCAGGAAGTTTCAGCCTTCCATCTTCAAGATCACCTAACTCAACAACAATGCGGCTATTTTCAATCTTTTCTTTTTCCCAACTACTCTGTGTTATTTACAAAATATTGTGCAATTATTTGCTTAAACAAGAATTTTATACTTCAGGATGCTCTCGTCTCGCTGGACGAACGGTGTATCCGTGCTTCGGTGTACAATCAAGTCCTTCACCAAGTAGAATGCTCACTCATCAATATTTATGGTCCTGCACAATCCGCGCACCGACTGCCTTTCCTAGAGCACTTTATGTCCTCCCCGTTCGCATCTTTACCAAATGCCGAGCCACCTACTCTGTTACTGGGCGATCTCAATTTATGTCTACCAAAGCTGGTTGATAGCTGTGCTGACCCTCGCTTCGTCTATTGGCATCAATGGCTGGTCGAGCACTTTGGCAACTGCTTTCCTGAAAGTCATCCTACGTTCCATCGTGGATCTCACCATTCCACAATCGACTATATTTTTTGTAGCAAGACCCACCAGCCTCGGATTTCCAACTGTACACAGAACTGCTTACCCTCTTCTTGGACAGATCATCAACTATTACAGATTGATCTAACTCCAGAACGGGACGATATAGGGCCAGGCTTTTGGCGCTTCAACACTTCACTCTTACGAAATGATATCTTTTGCGCTTTACTGACAGATGTGGTTAACTCCTTTTTTGTGTCTGTTGACTTACTAGGTGAACAAGATGCACAAACGACATGGGAAAGTTTAAAACGGGCTTTAAAGGATACCTGTGAAAGTTTTACACACGGCTTCAGAAAGCAGAGACTCAGTAACCTTCATAAACTGCAGCAGAAGCTTCAGCAATTGCAGGCTGAAAGTGTTGTTTCCAGCGACTCACAACATGCCGCCCGTCAACAGGTATTGATAAAACAGTTAAACGATACTTTGGAGAAGGAGGCAAAGGAAGAAATGGAAAAAGTGTTGCTTCGCTCTGCTACCAGATGGCACGAGAAGGGCGAAAGGAATACGAAGTACTTTTACAGGGTCATTAAATTGCGTCAAATGCAGCAGACGATTTCTTCCTTAAGATGCAGTGTCACTGGTAGACTATTGGAAACAACCCCCGAAATCTTGCAGGAATCTCATCGGTTTTATAGTCAGTTATATTCACCTGAGGCCATCGACCTTGAGGCTGTTAATTCACTTTTGGCCAATATTCCAAACGCGGCGAAATTATCTGGACAAGCTTCTACTGATGTAGGGACGGATTTTAGTATAGCTGACTTGATTGATGTCGTGAATCACTCTCCCAACAATAAAAGCCCTGGATTGGATGGGTTGCCATTTGAAGTCTACAAATTTTTATTTGACAAATTTCCTAAAGCGACACTCTTATTTTTGACGGTTCTGAATGAGGCATTACATGGTAAATTACCTTTATCATGGAAGCAAACACGGATGGTACTGTTATTCAAAAAAGGGGATCCGACACTATTGAGCAATTGGCGTCCTTTATCGCTGATCAACTCGGATGCTAAACTTTTCACCAAATACTGGCTAATCGACTCAATGCAGTTTTACCACGGATGATCAACCCGTATCAGACAGGCTTTATACCACATCGCTTGATTTCTGATAACGGTTGGGTAAATATGACGCTTATGGATAACTTTCGTAAAAGTACCGATCCTCGTGCTTCGAATGCTGTGGCTGTTATGCTTGACCAGGAGAAGGCTTATGATCGCGTCCATCCTCAGTACTTCAGTCTAGTGTTGTCGCGCTTTGGTTTTCCGGCTCATCTGATCTCAGCTTTGTCGTCATTATTCTTTACAACAGCTATTTCCATTTCGATTAACGGATTCCTAGGCAAACCTTTGATACAAGGTCGAGGGTTACGTCAAGGAGATCCTCTGTCACCCTTGCTGTTTAATCTGATGTTCGAGCCGTTCCTTAGAACTCTGTTGGCTTCCCCCTTGCAGGGTGTTTCACTATTACCTTTGAAGACGCAGGTCTCTTCCGTGGCCAAAACTCCTATCATTCGGCATCCGGATACTGGGAGAGATGACAGTCCCATTCAGTGGGCTAAACCACCAGTCTTCAAGCTTCTCAGTTATGCTGACGATCTGGAAGTTTTTTTGAGATCAGCCGAGGAGTGGCCCATTCTATGCCAACTCTTGTCCTTGTATGGTTCGGCCAGTAATGCCAAAGTTAACATTCGCAAGACCGACATCGTATCCTTATCTGGTGAAAGTAGTCCATCTTGGGTTGATATTGCTACCTCTGAGGGTATCAGCTATCATACAAAGTATAGCGCATCAATTGTCCGTTATTTGGGTTATCCTCTTTATTCTTCGTCTAGACAGCTGAATTGTTACCTCCATCGTATAACGAATGTGCTCAAAATGCATTGCAGTAAGCTCAAAGAGCGGGGACTTTCCGTTCGCGGTTTGTCTTTGTTGGTTAACGCGCAGATTCTCAGCAAACTATGGCATCTGTTGAGGGTGGTTCCAGTGCCAAAGTTTTGGCTGAACGAAGTCCGTACTGTCGTTCGCACGTTTGTTTTGCCTTTTCGGCCGGCTCCTTCTTGGCGTTCGATCTGTTTGCACAAGCATCTTGGCGGCTTAGGTGTGATAGATATCCATCAGCAACATTTAGCCCTCCAGCTAATTTACATTCAAAGAATCCTTCGGCCTAAAAGTATCGCTGACTTCGTTACTCCTTCGATTGGACATAGTATATACCTCTGTACTGGTCACCGCTCCTTTTTGCCTTGGCTAAAGCATCCTCGAACTATGTTAGCTTTTTTCAAGCAGCTGCCTACGTTATCCATCCTCACTCGGCTTCTAACTGAGCTTCCGCCTCTAGCAGGGCATTCCAGTTGGCCCGGACGTTGGCATGCAGATACACCTCTACGTTTTGCTCTTGTATCCGTCCTTTCACCATCTGACGCCAATTATTATGATCTGAAGCAGATACCGTTATGTTATACTGTTGCAAATGCTGTTTCCTGGTCCTATCCGTATAATCAATTTACCAATTTTTTGCGGATTGATATTCCTATCTCCAATAAGGTTGGAGAAGTTCTCCAGCTGCTGACGACCGACAACCCACCCATTGCCTGGCGCACTAGTATTAAGAAATTTATGCCCAGTAATTTTGGCCACGATGTTCCTCCGCCTCATATGCGATTTCAGAGTGCTGCTCAGCGTTCTTCACAGATAGTTACCCTCGATGCATCTCATTGGGTTCCTTATTGTACTCATTGGAAGATTCAGGTTGGCGACAAAAAAGCGATACCCTTTCTTAAACTGACGCCTGGGATATTACGGCAGTATTGGTCGCAACGATATCTTCAGGAAAAATTACCAGGCCCATCATCCTCACTTGGAATCCCGCAGATACCATATAGTTGTCCACCAGGCTTTTGTCATCCTCGTGTTTGGAAAAAGTTTTGGTCCCTCCGAATACCCCATTCCGTGCTCACATGCTGGTGGCGCTTGTTACGAGCTTCTCTCAGCACACAGCTGTCCTTACATCGTCTTCGCCCAAGGCTTTGGCCTACTACTACTTGTAAACTGTGCACTGCATCCGTTGAAGATGACTATCATTTCGTCGTAGGCTGCCCAATGAAATGGTCTTATTGGCTAGAAGCTTTGAACTTTCTGTCTCTTTCCGCTGTCTTAAGGTCCCCCGCTGATGTCTGGCATGTCCTCCTCAATTTAAAATTGCCGTCTGATGTGTTTACTGAGAATTACACCCTGGAATTGGTGGGTAACATATTGGAAACTCTTTGGAAATACCATTGGTCTACAGTCATTAGTCAAGATGCTTGGTCTATTGATAATGCAATTAATCGACTGAAATCATCGGTAACTTTAAAGCTCACTATCAAAGAAGTGGATCGCTCATCCCAGCAAGACACAGGCTAAACGCCTTGTTTTTTTTTGTTTTGTTTTTCGGTTTATCCTGTTCTTTGGCTTAATCGCAACCTCCACATCCTTTATTTACTCAACAACACTAGTGTATATTCTCTTGTTTCTTGTTATACAATAATCGTAATAAAGTACTTGAATTTAAACAAAAAAAAAAAATATTTGTTCCAGTACACTATAACTGGTAAAGGCAGTAAATCTGTATTGTTTCTCAGATTGTTATATGAATTAGAGGTCAGAACGTGACAGAATATACCATTCTGAATTTGTCGTGAAAGCAATCAATTCACGTGGATACAAGCCTCTTTTCCTGCCACCATATTCACCCTTTCTAAATCCTATCGAAGAGTGCTGGTCCATAATTGAAAGTATCATTCGACGAAATCCTTTAGATTTTAATGATAACTTAACTCTTAGAATTAAGCAAGCCTGCCTCTCAGTCTCTGTAGAAGATTGCTTAGGTTGGATCAGACACTCCGAAACTTTTTGGGAGAAGTTTTGTTGAGATGAAATCTATATTTTATTTTTGTCTTTTAAGAAATCACTAAAAATATATTAGTGTCTCGTACTGAAGTAAAAACACTGTACTTCAAAAGCTTTTCAATTAAGGCACACGTAGAATAACTGTTTAATTCGATTTATATTAGAAATATTTTAAGATACTGGTATGGTACGTTTACGTTACGATACGTTACGATACGATACGATTGGCTTTTTTTGTAAACTGACCATCCTTATTGGTCGGGCTTTATCATCAGAGTTTTTCGTCATGGATACAATATGGATACGCTTTTTCTTCTGTAAACTTTTTTGACGGTTGTATAAGTGGGTTTTTTTTTTGAAATGAATGGTAAGTCCAATGCACATCAAAGATGTAGATAGTTTCGCTCTTACATGGAAGGAAAATTTTTAGACGAAAATGGCCAAGAGTTTTGTAAATTTATTGTCCCTACTGAATATTGTCCTGGGGTTGATTTGATTAGCAAGATCGTTTTATCTGATTCACGAATCGTTAACGCCATAACTATATCAATCGTTAAAGCAGAAAAAGATTCATATGTTGCTGAACTCCTAGGATTCATGCATCAAAATTATGGTGCTGTCCTGTATACTCCTCATAATTTTGAGACTGATTTGCCTCCTATAGTCATAAATATTATTGATACCTTTGAAGAAAAGAAATTCAATCAAATCATTCAACAATGCACCAACATTTTTGAACAATATAACACTCTTCCTATTTGTGTGATCATCGTTGTCCAGCAACTTGATGAAAAAATTATCGAGCAAAGCTCGCAGCACCACGATCTCCCACTTCTTAGAGAAATACCGTGTGCATTTTGGGCAAAGCAGTGTATTATAATGTCATCAAAAGATATTAAGCTCAACAAGAGTGAAGTAAAACACCATCCATTATTGGATATTATAATTGCCATTACGAGCAATGAGAAAGTTATATTATGTAATGATAGCTTATAATAAAACAGCATTTTTGAAATTCCTATTATAATGGCAGCGTAAACTCTCACTGCTGTTGAATTTCTTGATTGAGCTTATATTTTCTAACTGGCTTTCTCTCAAAGCATTTCTTCCTACTAATCCTATCTGTTTTTCCGCTTTTGAAACGTTGAACAAATTCGTATAGCTCCGTATCAAGTTCGTTTCCAGACTCTAGAGCGCTTGCAGACCTTTTTTTGTTTAGATATACTAAAGGAGGGGTTTCTTCAACTGGAGTTATTTAAATAGCTTCACAGTTTTTCCTTGCCGTAAAAACGACAAAGTGTCGCACATAGCCTAATGCTTTTTTGTTTGAAACTTTGCTTCTTTGTTCCAGGCATTTTTTTACTTTTTGGAGCTGAATTTCAGTGATATTACAAATGCTCTTTACCGCCTCCAGTTTTTCGGTTTCTTCTCCCATTAGCTGATCAAGATTTCCCTGAGTAATTGCATATAGTAATCTCATCAAGTTGTCATTCTTTCCATAATCCAAAGTTATCAATAGAGAGAGATTGAGAGCAGGGAAAACAACCAATCGTTTGCAAAGGATGCAATGCTTCTTCTCCTTGATTTGCCTGTAATGTCGAGGAAGTCAGCAGCAAACAACGCTCAGCCCATCCAAAGCTTTAAATCTGTTTGGCAAAGGGGAAGTCACTATCTGCAGTTTTGCTCCTTAAAATCACCGTAGCATTTGCAATGCCGAATATTACAACTATTGGAAGTCTGTTGTAGCGCTCAGACTAACTGTTTGTTTTTATTTAAACTAATTGCATTCGACCTATAGGCCGTTCTTGCAGTTTAAAACGAACAGAGGAGTAAATATGGACGAAAAAAACTATCTACGGAAGCAATAAATAACGATAGAAAAAAAGTATTGAAAGGAAGAGAATAAAGTTGACATCATTAGATCTACCAAATGGCTTCATGACCATCTCTTTACAACCATCGTGCACTTTCTATGTTTTAGCAGTGGAGGAAAGACAGAGGGTACATGTCACATATTAGAGATCTAACCGATCATAAATCGCGAGATCAGCAGAGTCGTTAACGGGGGGATTAGACTTGAGTCAGACTTCACCAGGATTGGGATCTGTGAGGTAATCACCCTCAGGATTGCAAAATGTGTCGAAGGTCCACAAGAGAAAGCAAAGTGTTACCCAATAAGAGGGACAGGGAGCATTTGCCTTAAGGGGCAGCGCATTTAAAGCGAAATCAACGTGATTAAGATGAGAGTTGGGGGCAGGAATAGGTAGGGACGCCCAGAAGTCGACAGGGATCTTGTGACAGTCGGATGTAAGGTCAAAATCACAGGGACAAGGTTTGGGTTTGCCTGGTAGCCATCCCATCCTCCAGCGGATGAGATGACTACGGTCAGGACGAGACGCAGGTAGATACATTATTGGATTCTATTCCCAGAGTGGAACGACATGCTTCGATGAGTTTCTTTTCTGTGTTACGGAGGTAGGTGCTGAAACACTCCTGTCGGTATTGTTGGAGCCAAGAGGAAGGTTTATGTGGTGAACTGTGGAGGAGGTTCGCTGGCATAGCGTTCACGATTGAACAACGTTTGAGCACATTCAGGGATGGCGTACATGGAGACAGTTAATAGGGAGAGCAGGCTGTCAGGAGGAAGGTGTTGGTGGCGATAAATGTACTTAAGACGCACTACATCGGCCCGATAGCGCATGTCTGGTAAGTTGACAAGGTGTTTAAAAACGGTAGTGGAGGCGCTACGGTGACCCCCAAAGATCATTCGCAAGCAAATGTCTTGGACTTTTTCTAGTTGTTGGTAATCAGTTTTTTTCAAGGGGGTAATGGCTAAGCCATACTCGAGCTTGGGACGAACAAAAGTGGCATAGAGTCGTATGGAGAAGAGCATATCAAACCCAGATTGGTTGGCACCGATTGAATTCAGTTGAACCATGGACAGGAGTGCACCAGGTTTGCTTTTACGGACGACAGAGGTGGAGCAGATACCATTCCACTTGAAAGGGGCACCAAGGTAGACGAATTCATCGACTATGGGAAGCTCATTATTATAAAGGGTAAACGTAGTTGAACAATTTGCAGGTCGAATAATCGCACATTTAGGAGGAGACCATCTATAACCTAGTTGGAGAGAATGGGATTCAGCAAGTTGGAGCATAGTTTTAGCTTCACGAGGGGTGCCAATGAGAGCCACATCATCTGCATATAACAAACAATTGATAGCTGTAGGAGAAGGAAGATCCTCAGGGTCGTATGGGGACATAAGACATGGGGCAGCGAGTGGGGTTGCCGAGTTGTAGCGCTCAAATGTGAGCGTACAGTATTGAATGACGCGAGTCAGAAACTTATGATCAACCTTCTTTTGCATCTCCACCACTATTGGAGGAAACGAACTCAAGGGATTCGATGGAGCATACAAGTCGTCGCATTTTCTTCCGGTAATAAATTCTGTAGGCACCGCAACGTAACTGTCGTCTGCCGCTGCTGGCATGAGAGCTTTTGAAAGCGCGGTTATTACACTACAGTAAACGGACAATAGCTGAGCATAAAATGGGCCACTGACAGAAAATAAATTTGGGCCGTGGAAATTGATATTTAGGCCGCATTATACCCAATACCAGCAACAACTTTTTCAGCTATTACTTGAATTAGCCAACATCTATGCTTATCTCTGCGATACTCATTCTTTATTAGCAACGATTATATATCTTCTTTATCATCATCAGTGCTACACGCGTCAGCATCCCTCATGCCATGGGACAAAACCTCATATACTGTATCTACATATTTAAAATGTTCTTCGACCAAGTTTCACTTCCTTTAAACAAATTATACATATAAGAAGCTAAGTAGTAACTAAAAACCCCTGAAGGCTCAAGTTAAAAAGTACTATGATTTATTGGGTGGAGGGGAGAAAAGGGTAATCAGTCGAGCAATAGATGCCCTAACAGAGGCGTCAAAGGCGGCTCTTAAGAGTGGTGTAAGTAGTCGAGTTCAAACAGAATGTTACAAACTACGTGCCAAGGAAAATGCGAGTACTTTTATTAAATGGACCAATCAGATTGCAGCATTTACAAACAACAACTACTTCTCCACAAGAAGATCTCGAGTCAACGATTAACTCATGACGATCGAATCCCAAACTAAGTATGGGGTCAACTGATCGACCATCGTTGCTAATGGTATAAAGACCAAAATTCTTCTCTCCAGAAGCCGTTTCGACATTTCTGACAATAAAGCAACTTACAGTGTGGAAGCACTATTTGAAGAACCTGAAGTGGCCCAATACCTCAGTTCACAACGTATCCACTCGATTGTCCAAACGGCGATTCAGCCTGCGGCTGTCATTTTTTCTTTTATTTTAAATGTTAATCAGCGTTCGCAACAAATAGTTACCATTGTTACATCTGTTTGGATTCCCCCACGTACTCATTAGACTATTAAACTCGGTGACAACCAGACCGTTTCCTTGGATAAATTATCTGCTGGTATAGTGAGGCAGTTCTGGTCGCAGCGCTATCTTCAGGAGAAGTTACTAGGTACATTATCATTGCTAGGCATCTCACAAATTCCCTGTATATGTCCACCGGACTTTTGCCATCCTCGGATTTGGATGGTGTTTTGGTCTTTGAGGTTACCACATAAAGTTATCACCTGTTGGTGGCGTTTGCTTCGCCACTCTTTCAAGTATCCAGGCTTCATCGCATCGTATAACACCACGACGATGGCCTTCGTCAGCATGTAAGCTGTGTCCAGCACCCGTCGAAGATGACTACCACTCTATTGTTGGCTGCTCTGATAAATGGTCATACCGGGTAAACGCCCTAGATCACGTTTCCGTCAACAGATGATAAGGTAACGGATCTGGATGACCTAATAAGATGAGGCTGAATGGTTATTAGCAGTGGAATTAACGTTCTCATTAGCCTATCTTCTAAAAACTCCAAATGTTTTCAAATTTGTGACGGAAGCTGTAATAGTGGAAACTATTAAAAAGAGCACTGCTGTTTAAAAACAGATTGTGAGTTCCTTTTCTCTTTTCTATTTGTTGCAAGCACTAATTACTTTTATCAAAATATTGTCGAACAACATCGATGAAATGTTTGATTAGTTACTACTCACATCTGGCAGGGAAACACAGTCGTTGAACATTATTCATCCTTATACAAACTGGTTTATTCTCACCATTCGACTGATATAAAACTCTCCAGTCGATGTAGATAACTTTATTAGCAGCAGCACGCGGTGGTTTTTGAGCTAAGAGAAGGAATCATAAAGCACTATTTTTTATTGTCCTCTTTGGTACATTATCAATATCAAAAAAAAGTGGAGACAATATTTTCGATATTACTACAGTATATATCGCTCAAGTTCTTCAACTTATTCGAAAGCATGCACTTCCATCAACAATTTTTGCGTAATATAAAATGAAAATGCGTTGTAGCCTTGCATTTACCGCATTTTGGTTCTTGGACCCGGATCGTCCGAGGTAGCTAATTCGCCAGATCTTTGTCAACGGCACACTAGCAATCGAATTGAAACAAAACAGCCTTGTATGCTTTAGGATTTTGACTATTATCTATATTTACGTATTTCTTTCAACTTTACCTTAAAGTATATGGAGTGTAACTATCTTTTTGTCGTCCACAAATCTGCACAAAGGACGGTGTTCCGTATCCTCGCTATAAATTATTGGATCAATTTTCGTGAGCAGTTCGTTATGAAACTCAGAAATGCGTATATGCATGAAATTCATGTCAATGACTTATTCTCTTGATCATATTCTCACCAAATGAATTATCAATCGCCTAACGCACCACCTATTCCTCAAAGGCCAACAGAGCCCAGGGGTATTGAAATCTGTAACATTAAAGAGGGTGAAGTTGTTTATCAGGTACAACACTTAAAGCAGACTGCTATTTTATAGTCACACCATTTTTGGTGTATACACATTGTTAGTTTTAACTGCTAATTTGTTGTAATAGCGTTTTCTTTTAGTTTATGGCCGTGCTGGTTTTCGCAACGGCATATTTGATCAACCACTATACGTTGTATGCAATGACTTTCCTCAAACTGAATGGCCCTGTGTCAATTCCCATTTCAAGGCATTAGTTCATCTTGTTCCTGGACCGAACACCATTACTTTTGCCCTGCCAGCTGAAAATCAAACTTTACATTTCCATGTCAACTATTTACCCTTACTGCAAAATCCGCCTTTATCGCTTGTCATTTTTCTTGCTTCAGACTCACCAGCCAAATTTGACGTGCCACCTGAAAAGAAGGGACAAAATAATTTGTCAGTGGCTGTTGAGAAACTTCGTGTTGCAGGATATATGTGGCAAGCCTTTTGTGCCGAACAAATGCACCGTAACGGTATGGGTAGACGCACTTTCCGATTAGATGAAGCCTGGCTACCGGATACTATTTCTTGTAAAGATAAGGGTACTATGAGAAATACAGCTAAAGTACATATTATTCGCTCACAATATTCAATGGCCGAAATACGTGATAAGCGTCGAGCTCAACAGAGTAAGGATCACGATGCCAGTGTGCAAAGCTTATTTGGGCTTTTTCTCGATGATCTACGCAATCATCCACCTTTTAATAAGCCAAGTATAGTGGCCGGTCTTATTTTGGATGCGCATTGGGATTGCAAGTCAGAAGTAACACTAGGACATGCAGCATTAGGTGGTGCAAGTGGGCATACAGCGTTAGGAATATTTGGTTCGCATTTATTGCATGCATGGCCATCTTCCATAGAAGACATTGTTCCTAGTCTGTTAGATAATACAAAGACAGACACGCGCTATGTTGCTAATGATGCTAACGAAAGTGGTACCTGGTGGAAGGCAGCAAATATTGGTATGGGAGCTATGGTATGATTTAAACATAATTTTCAATGATGCACCAAGATAGAATGGGTGTTCTTACCGTACCTACAATTTCAACAGTTGCACGAGGTCGGTCACGCTTTCACTCTGAACCATTCTCCAAGCGGTAAGATATATGGATCGTTATTCTAGCGAGTATTTGCAAACAGGGAATTGATAAATGCATATTCAGGAATTATGAGCCGTGGATACAATAACTGGAATCGTACATTTTTAGCCAAAGAACCAGGACGTGGTCCTATAACGCCACAAGAGGAAGAGGGTTCTCAATGGTAAATGTCTTTTTAAATATGTTTAGCGTCACACATTGGTTAATGGTCATAGCTATTTTTATCAATATTGCAAAATAGGCATAGAGTTGATATCCTGAGACTTAGATTCCATCCTGCTTTTAGAATTCCAGAAGATGGTCCCATTGGCGTAAAAGATCTCTCAAAGCCAAGTTTCACTGCATTGGAAAACAACCACTTACAGATTTCGTCTCCTGCCGGTCTTACCCTCATTGAGATATTGGTCAACGGAAGATACCGCACTCATTACGAATTTGTACAAGAGCAACCTAAATCAATCACGTTGAGTTTGAGTGATATATGCCAAAAATGCAGTTGTGACCTTAATAGAGAACAAGTGTCACTTGCTGCTGTCTGTGCCAATCAGGAACACAAACAGCTTGACCATCTTTCAAACTTTTTAAGCTCACATCGGGTCACTAACCTACAAGGACTGAACGGAATTATTCTGAAGAGTGACATTTATGGAGCTTCCAGTGAGGAAGGTAAAGATAAATCATTCGCTATCTTCTTTGACAATAATCAACAACGCAAGCAATTGAGACGAATAAAAGTCAATCATGGTGCATTCTTGGATGGTTTCACTCTTATATACAAAGATGGCAGCCAAAGCCAAGTGGGTAAGACAGATGGAGGATGCAGCGAATTTGATATCAGTCCGGGCGAACAGATTCAAGGTTTCTATGTCAGTAATGGCGCATGGATTGATGGTATACAATTCAAATTGAGTAGTGGTAGAGTTAGCCCGTGGTTTGGTGGAAAAGGTGGTGGGATCAGTCATGTTGAACCACCGGAAGGTTACGAGATTGTTGGTGTGTTTGCTTCAGCGGCAAGATGGATGGAACAATTTGGTATTTTTTACCGTCGTTGTTAAAATGCAGAATGTGGAGAAAATCAAAGAAATTCTCCAAAAAAGAAAATAATTGAATCCCAGCATTGAATAAAAAAGAAAATCAATTTCGTTCGATTTCCCTTTTCTGCTTTTTACTTTACTTCTCTATTTTTTTTTTCTCGTAATACTAATAGCGACAATGAAGCTTATTTTTGGTTATGAAATGGGTAAATCTCTTGATGGGTAATCCAGTTACGAATATGAGCCTTCGCTAATGAGTCCATTTTTTTTGTTGTATTATCAGATGCAGCAGCTGGGCATATTGGTCACGTTATTTGTCCACCGCTTCTGTCCAAAAAAATCACACTGTCAAGTACTGGTAATACCAATCGTTGGATCTTCTATGGTACTCGCAGACAGATATTGGATTGGATCAAAGACCATGCAAATATTATACTGGAAAATGTATTGTTTACTGGCGATCATAAGAACATCAACAGCGAAACACAATCCTACCTTCATACAGAACTGATAATTGACCTACAACATGTGTATGATCAAGAGCAAAGCTACACAGATTATTTCAAGTCGTTCTTTGTCGATATTCATGACGTGGAAAGAGTAAAGGTCGAAATTAGGCCTCGCATTGATTCAAAGGATAGTGTAATTCCTTCTCTAAATAGAGTGATTGTCGCCAATGGGACAAGTTTAGGTGATATCGTCGATGAGTTGGAAACGGAATGGTTTAAGCCTTCTGCATCTTACGCACAGCAAACGATACATTTGTTCACAGATGCACCCACCCCAAGCCATGTAGTAAGTGCAAAACCACCCACTTCTATTCAAGTAACAAATCCCGAAGCCACCACAACAAGCTCTGCTCCCGCCCCTACCGAAGCCGGTTTACCCGTCCATTAAATAAACAGACTCATTCATTTATTGTATTGTAACTTACTTTTTACTTTCTCATACCAATATGCTCTAAACGAACAATTATCTATTTGCAATAAAAATTCTCGGTTTATCTTAAATGATGTGCTATTCATCTAAGCATGTGGTTTATGCTCAGCTTTTAAAGGTGAAACATGAACTTTTCATGCCAGAGCTGCTATTTAATCGAAGCATGAATTTTCTCCATATCTAGAATAATAAGTTTCTATTACGTTTAAAGAGATATTTTATTACAATTAAATTTTACCCAATGAGCACACAGATAAATACTTATCAAAATTGCCCGGGGAGGTTCAAGGAAAGTGTAAGGGAATTAAAAAACCTTTAACGGGACAAAGGAAAAAGGGAAGGTGATCAGAGGCAGACTAGGAATAACGGAGCGATCAAGATATAATTATCGGGGGCGCATACATCCAATCCAAGAGTAGCTGTCCTAGTAAGTTTCTATTACTGTTTTTCCGCTTGACTTTCGCACGAAATGGCTTTTAAATTGAGACTATTTTACAATTAAAATTTAGACTAATTTAAAAATTATTTTGGATGAAAAGTATAGTTTTTGGGGTCATACCTTTTCTGTCAAAATGCTCAATGCCAAATGTGCGAACTACTATTACTCAAACAAGGTAAATATACTGTGCCAAAGCACAGAATACCTACCCTGTTTGAGTATGTAGTAACGTCAAGCAGCAGTTAATAAAACCCCAGAAATGTACAGTGACAAATTTCACAAGATGAACTCACCTAAACGCGTAAAAATCTTTAAGCCGTCGGTATAGAACCTGCAGCACCATTTTCGTTATGGCGATGGCGATAGAAAATGTCGGGGCGGCCATTGTGTTCCCATACGGAATTTGCAATAGTAAGCATATTTTTGGCCGCATTGACGTCTCTTTGCCATATTATACCACAGGTTTTGCAGGCATTGGTACCATAAACGCTGGAGCCGTCCGAAATTCGTACTTATTTCATTTCGACACCATTACAATTGTTACAAACCTACGAAAATGACATTACTTCTAGAGAAGGGCACTTGATTTGGCAATTTGGGACCCACCTTTGAGGTTTTAAACTCGTTGATGTCCACCACCGCAGCAAGAAAGCAGCGCTGTCTTTTCAGGAGAGTACGATACAACTTTCCTGTCACACCTGCTGGGTGGCCTTTAAATGAAACACAATCCTTGTTATTCATCCCGTCACCAAAAATGACTAATGGGATTTTCTTGCGGTCTTCAAAGAAGGGAGCAGCGGTCCATTTCTTAACAGTCTTTGCTTTGTATCTGCAAAGGACAGGTTAATGTATTTATATAGTTACCAGTTTCTGTTGAATCAGTAGTAATGAATGCGTACCTTTTTTGCGCAGATGCTTCTACATTAATCGTTAACTTCTTCTCTTGTCCTTCTTTCCTTTCTGCAGCCCTCTGTGCTTTTCTTGCATGTACCTTACTCTTCGTTGTCTTGCTTCCTCTCGGCAATTTTCTTTTACGCCGTTTATTCTTGTTGGTTTTTTTTTTCTTTTTCTGGGGTTGTACTTTTTGCCTCCATCCAGAAGCATGTTAGCGAGCTCTTCGTCAGCTCTTTGACGGCCTTGATAGTCGTTAAATATGAATTTGGCAGAGTTGAAACCATAAAATTCATGTAAGCTTTGGATATGTCTCAATACATAAGAAAGGTACAGCTTATATTGTATTTCGGAGTGAACAGTCTTGCACGTCGGTAGATTGGTCTCAATTTTTTTAATACCAGTTGCAACCTTCTTTTCATCTACGACCCTTGCACGTCTGTTATATCCAGCAATTTGAGCGCGCTCCTCTTTGCTACATGCGTGAATTTGATGCATATCTGTGTTGTAACCAACTACAGCTGTGAATATCTCATTACGCCCTGGATCTACAACTATCGGCATGAAATACTTGTTGATTTCAGCAGGAGTAAAATCCTCAAGAGTGAGTGTAGCTGTTGCACTTTTTTCTTGACGGGAACGGACAAACAAAAAGGTTACAGCAAAGCCATCTGTGTGTATTACACAATTGAACATGTCCTTAGAGTTGGCTGGAGCTCTGACAAGGTCTTGTAGGCTATTCGAGCAACAGATGCTTGTTAATGTTATTAGGTTCTAAAAGCAAAGTATAGTTTTTTCCTTACGTTTCATATCCGAATTTTGCAAAATTAAAAACATTAAAGAAGATCTCGAGATTATTAGCATAGGATCCGTTGCCAATGGACTGTCTGGACAAACAGCATAGGGCCTTTTCATTGATGCTGACATGCTTCCATTTGAATGACACAACGGGAGTTAATGAGAATAATTTGGGTTTTTTGTCATTCGGACCAGCGGTAAGGGCTTTCGTTTCGATCAACTGCAGCATGAACGCCAAAGGTGGTAGAAAAGTTGATGGTGCTGCTGTGATATTTTCGATTGTTGGAGTTGATGGCATCTTTTTCATCAATGATTGGCATGTTGCATCGACTTCGGGTTGTTTTGTTATATCAACATCCTCCAACCATTTACAGGTATCCATATCATTCAAAATTTTAGCAAGGCAATATGAGTCAATGAGTCCGTAAATCACATTGTTCTTTGTTTCCTATTATTTGACAATGAATTGGGCAATTAAAATCTTCTCTATGAAGATATAAGTCAAGCATTTTACCTGGAAAGTAGGCTTCAATGCCCAATACAAGTAATATCTGATACGTTTAGTGAAGTTTTCCACCATGTGGTTCATGTAAGTGGTTGCTATACTCTCGCATGCAGCCGCCATAGCATCACTATAACCTTTGATTTTTTGATCCTTGAAGGGGGATATAATGGATGGATCGTCAGTAGCAACGTCATCGAACGTCAGAGCCACAGTGTGGTTAATGTAGGCTTTGTTGGTAATTTTTTGGCCCAAGACTAGCTTACAGATGCAGTACCAAAAGTTTGGTTCATAAATGTATTCCTGAACAGTTAAATTACTGTTCTTAATAATGTAGTAATTCATGAAAAGCTGCGCTCTGGTTGTGACGTCCCGTATAAATCTGCACAGCTCAATCACTTTTTGCTGGAATCCTTCATGCTCTTTCCGTAAGATACTGCGCTCAGCATCAAAAACACCGTCCACGTAGGTTACAAGGGGCAGTTTCCGAGCGTAAAGCTTATACTTATCTGAATAGTTTGTTCGAAGGAGCTCCGCTTTAGTAGTAATATGTTGTTGGCAAGCAAAGGAAGCTTTAGTTGAGTGACCACTTAGACCACAGTGCTTGCATATGACAGTATTCGATGGCGATGCTTTTTTTGCTTCTAGCCTTCTCTTTTTGCCTTTATCTTTAGCTTGCTTTGTTTCGTAGTCGTCCTTTCCGGACTTTCGTTTCTTGGCTAGAAAAGCGTATGAATAGAATATCAGTGAAAATGAACAGGAAATACTACCTCTTCAGCCATCTGTTACCATTATATTCTGGACACAAGTATGAGCCCTTATAGGCATGTCCTTCCTGTCCGCAATCGAAACATGTTTCTAAAAAATTGGTGGTTCAACGATTCTGTTAGAGTACATAAACGAATAGTAAACAGAATACAGCAATAATGAACTGACTTTCTTTATTTTCTTGCTGCTTTTTCTTCAACTTTGCTTCAAGGTAAACTTTTGCTTCTCTTGACGGCATGATAATAAAGCTACTCAAAAGATACAAATACTCAGTTACAAACAAAATATGTACAGTGCAGTCGTTGTGAGTAAGTCGTGATGAGATCTTATTTTAATCTACCTGATGATCCACTGTTAACACTTCTTTGATAATTTTTTAAAAAATATCCAACTAGACTCTGATAAAAAAAGGGAAAAGGTACCAACTTTTTATCTTTTTATAAACTGAAACTTTTTGTTAGAATGTTATATTTGGACAACAAAGAAAGTTTTGACAACGAAAACAATCTAGACAGATTTCTTTAGACGCGCTAAATTTTGACACCAAATCGAGACACGTTTATTAATCAAGACACGTTTATTTATCACTTCATCAGTTACTGACAAGAAACAGGCGCTTAACTTAATTTATACAATCACCTATTGTTATTGCTTTCTTTAAGGGAAAAATGACACTAAAGTGACACGATTTTAGATCAAGAGAGATGCTGAGCAGTCAATGAAAATACAGGATTGTGAGTCATTTACATAGAATACATCTGGACAACCAGTTCAAATGGCAGCTAAGTAGGTAATTCTTCTGGGCCGATCAAACAACGAAACTTACTGCAACAAATGCGTGCAAAAAGAGGCGGGCCTCAGATGTTTACTACAAGTGTCCAAATGTAAAAAGTAACTAGTCCGAAAATAATGCCTTAAATTTTCTGAAATTAGTCAATCAAAATATCCAATTTTGTATACAAGAAGGTCTAAATTAAAACCGAAAATACTGTAGTAAGCTATCCATGTGAGTTAGCTAAACATGCAACTCACGAGAGGTTGCTAACCTCTCAACTAGATGTTGAATTCCGCTTTTGCTATTTTGGCACACCAACGAAGAAAGACAGTTTTTCTCAACAAGGCCTCCTTTGAAAAAGTTTGCTTATTTGTAGCTTAAAAATGCACGTGAAAAGTAAAAGTGCAATAGTCTGCTCTCTTATTTCTCCTCCTCCCTTCCCTTTATCGAAAAAATAAAAATAAATCAATACTCGTCTCTATGCAAGCACAGGTCAAGCAACTCTCAATAAGCAACGAATCATTTAAAGCAAACAAATATATAATCGAAAATCTTCGCAATGCTCTTTACAGAGAAGTACCAAGTTTAATTCGAGAATTTCAGTTAAACAAGCAGGAGCAAACTGCATTGAACGAGTTTGTAGAAGATAAGTGTAAATAGTGCAGTTTTTTGCATACGTATGCTGTTATTCCAACGCCTATTGTTAACGGTTTGGCTTATCTTGTCAATAGGCACACTCTTTCGATCTTTGAGAAGAAACAGCTTTTCATTGCCCACAACTCTATCATTGTTGCTAGACACTATACGTTGGAGACTTTGTCAACATGTTGATGCGATAACATTACCTTCAATAGCCGATCTTCTAAACTCACCGTTCGTCTACTTTCACAAATTTGATAAACTTAATCGGCCTATACTGCTTATACATCTGGAGCATTTACCTCCTATAGAAGGTTTGGAAAAGAATGACATTTCCATTAAATCGTTAGAAACAATTGCTATATTTGTTCTGGAGACGGCCCGTTTGTTAATATGGGATCTCACAAAGTCAAGGCTTAACGAATCTGTTCAAATGATAGCAAATCCTGTAATACTAGACATGGTCGTGCTAGTTGATTTCAAGAATGCATCCTCAGTACCTGTAACTGTAAGTAAAGGCCAGTTTTGCATGTTGAGAGATCAATAGGTTTTACAAACAATATAAAACATTGGCATGTACTCATCACCTTTTATATAATCGTGTATAGAATGGTAGCTTGATAAAAACACTCATCGCCGCTTTGAAAAGGTTTCCTGATTTGATTGACAGGATTTATTTTGTGAACTTCAGGTGGGTGTATCAAGGGATGTGGCAAATCTTCAAACCATTGTTATCTGAGGAAGCCAAATCAAAAATTCATTTTCCCAAATTGAGCGACCTACAGAATTTTATTGATAAAGATAATATAATCAAGGGTACTGCAGACCAGAATGTCAAGTATATTATGGTTTATTGTAATAGTATGCATCTCATACGTACTATTATATTGAATACTAGAACTGGGTGGAAAGGATGACTTTCAATGGAACCTACATGTGGATAAGTATTACACCAAATACCGTGCACCGCTTTTCAATGTAGATTCTTCACCGATATTAAGCAGAAGAAATTCTACGTCTACTATTTATTATGATACTCTCCAAATACTTCAAACCCCAAACGTCAATAATACCATGCAATACCAATTGTCAAGATCAACTTCATCCGTTTCTCTCTATGCTACACCCGTATCTTCCTTAAGCCCTGTTTCAAGTCACACTGACCTCGCAACGTTAGCCACTTTTTACTTCTCTGTACCAACAGTTATTAACAAGTCAACCATACTACGAACCGTCATTAAACGTTTATTCAAACTGATAGCTATCTCATCCGCTATGACAGAAGTAAAGGAACCTAATGAAACTGGCCTTTCACCATCGTCGTCAGTCAAACTTATACTCCGAGAATATACCAACAAACTGAACGGGCTTTTGCCTGCAGGCAGCTCACGTATCCCGCCCAAGTCTTCCACACCGCCGGTTTTTTCGTCAAACAAAAAGAACGCAGTTATATCTTGGTTCTTGACCTTCTTGCGCAAATATAGTACCCACATTATGAATGTATTAGTAAAAGCTCGAGCAAGGTTGTCACGGCATCGACGAACAGTGTTTCTGATTATTGCTGGCATTCTGTTCCAGCATGGAATACAAGAAATTTGTCAGCGCATTATGTTGCTGTTCAGTCACTCAGCAACAGAGAAGCACAATTATGAGACAAGATATGGTTGGATTACAAAAAATGCTCTTTGTATTTTCTTAGAAAAGATGGAAAAGAAATACCATACTCTTCTTTGCATGTCATGGTAATTTAGTCACTGATATCATTACAGTCATATATCGACAACTATAAAAGTCAACTGACTCTAATATGAATAAGCTTGTCTACAAGAAGGATGGGCCAAATTTAATAATAGTATACGCCGTTCGACTTAAGCGAAATGATCTTTGAAATGGGAAAAATGACGCTTATTTGCAGTGCTTTTTACAATACAAATAAATGACCTCTAATCCAATAGAGAGGCATATGGGGGATGATTGCTATGTCTAAATTTACAGCCACACACCTTCTACTTAGAAAGGCATGCGGATTTTTTTTATGAAACTCAGTCTCTATGAATAATATGATGAAAATAGTATCATGCATGTCATTTAGAACCATATGTATGTGGCCAAAGGATGTGGAGGAGATCTCGGAAATCAAAAGATATATGGAATATGCTATATGCTATCGGTCATTTATTGCTATGTATACAATGTATATATTTGTTTATGTTGAATATGTTATGATCAATGTATGAATGTATCTTAAGAAGAATGAAAGATAGGTTGTAAAATTTAGACATCATCTAAGAAAAAAAAGTGTTCATTTTGACTTTGTTTATGATCTGTCATTTCTGCTCTGATGATTAAAAAATCTCTCTCAGGGAGAGAACCCAAGAGCAACGCTGGGTATAATGTAATTGGCTGTTCAAAATGAGAATCAATGAGTTTGATGTATAAGCAGTTATGACCATACTGGATTGAGGAATGTACAGAGCTGTCTTCTTCGTCCGAGTCAATATCCTTTATTGTAACTGGCTTTGGAATGGTAGGCATGGTTGGTGCTTTTCTGTGGTTATTAACAAAGTTTATTTCAGTTGTTGGTATATTGGTGATGGCAGTGCCTGTCTGTGCGTTAGTACTACTAGTAACTGTTGTTGGAGATGTGGCCGTTGCGTTGCAACTTGCAATAGTAGTATCTTGTTGTTGTAGAGACTCAGATACCTCTGTTTCTTTGTCTTTCATGTGTTTTATAAATTCCTCATGATGCCGATAGACGTATTCCAGTTTCTTTTGATTTTTTCTATCAAAAGGTATCCATGCATTTGTAAAATGATTATTTTCAAAGAACCAAGTCACCATGGAAGCCAAACTTTATGAGTTATTCTTCAACAAATTATAGAGAATTTGAAGCAATAGCGAAAAGAAGTAATAAACCATAAAGGTAGAATTCACAAAATTTAAAATTGCTTCATGATAAACATACGCGCACATGTGATTTATGGCAGAAAAAGAGAGAAGAAAAAAAAATTGACAAAAAGACAACCTAAAATCGTCATGATACCTGTCAGGCTCGTGTTTGCGAGTGCCCAGTGTGAAATGATGTGTCTGTTTGCTTAGAGCCTTGTTCTGATTGAAACCGGGCAATTTCCGATTTTGGACATTTCAGGCACCGTGTTGCTTTTTCCACGACGAAGTACAGATAAGTACGAAAATGGTTCAATATGGTTCATAATGTATAAAAGATATATACTATTCGTCTTCTGCTTATGGAAGACATGTTACAAACAAAGTCTGCTGAAACGGTCCGCTCGCCGGAAACAGAAAATGGATTTTTGGTTAACCCCTTTCTTGTCTCTCTAAATAATTTCTCTAACAATTAAAGTCGAGCTTCTCTCATATTTCCTCTTTTATTCATCCTTCATTCTATTGCCTCCAGATGCCGAAAATACGCTCAACAACGAATATGACTCCATGTCACTCTACCAGTAACTACTCACCAACATACACTTATAAGGAGCAAACCTTCAGTCCGTTTCTGAAAGCAAAACAACCTATATTACCTCCTCTAACATTACCATCGCCAGAAACAATCCAGTAAGGACAACAATGTTAATTTATACATGAACTTGTAAACTGATATATAGAAACATTCATATAGTTATTCCGATACGCTGTCTCCAATAACCGCTGCTTGTGAAAAGAACACAAATATAACAGTAAGCTTGGAAATGCTCAGTGGATCTCAGTTGATCATTTACTGAAAACCATTCAAATAGTGTCATGATATACGTTTACCAACTATCAAAGAACTGGATTACAATAACTTTCAAAATACACCTCTGACATGTCAGGCACAGCTTAGGGAAGCACATACTGAATCCCCTCAGCAGCAGTATCGACACAGAACTGGCATCCTATACAAACCGTATCCATTGCCAACAGACATAACCGAACAACGAACCCCTAAAAAGAATGTAAAGCAGTTCCTCCGAGAAGAACCAAAAAACCAGGTAAAGCAAGTGCACGCTATTCGTCAAAGAAGAGTCACCTAGGCAAAAGAATTTGTCGTAACACATATCGTTTTCATTGGTTGATTAGAACAATGAAAATAACAAAAAGAAAAGAGCAGCGAAACCTAGAAATCGCTGTCATTCTTGTAACAGGTAATACATACAATACATTAAGCAAATACACAAAAAGATCACTTTTATCCCTTACCTTTTGCATTGTGCATTAATGCAACAATTCTTGTTCTATTATAGCACCGAGACACCAGAGTGGCGTAGAGGACCCCTAGGTATACTTTTTTTTCCCAAAAATTGAGCTCCTTAGGACTTTTCCATCTTCAGTTGTCATCTTGGCTTATTCTCATTACTTTTACTGTTTGATTTCATTTACACTAGGACCCAGAACTTTGTGTAATGCATGTGGTTTGAGTAAGTGACAGATAATCCAATGCAAAAGGAGAAAAATTGCAGCCAGGAGAAAAGAAAGCTATTATAAATGTGATACTAACACTTTTCATTGTTCTTTGAAACTACCTAGTTTGGATAAAGCTTTCTAAAAAAGATGATGAAAAAGTTTCTCCTCTGTTTACTACTGCTCCGCCACTGCCAACTACTGAGAGCATTAGTTCTAAGGAAGATTCTGTTACTTTTCCCAATGGTAAACGCTTTATAATAATTCACGCGATGGCTCCAAAATCAGACAATTCAATAATGACTATTAACATGTCTTTATTATCTCCAGAACAACGTAATCCATCCATTGTAAATGACAACACCCTCTCAAAAAAGAAGCTGAACACAGAAAAATTTACACTTTCCTACTTGCTAAGCTAACAAATACTCGCACAATTAGGACTCCAAAATGAGCAAATCCTTGTACTTTTAAAAGAATAAAAATAAACAAAAAAAAAACCTTGAAATAGGAACGCATTCATAGTGGGTTTTTTTTTTTATTACAGTGATATTAAACGCTGGGAAATGCTGCTTGAACACTCCGTTTAATACGTAGCATTTCTTTGAATGTATCCTCATTACCGTGCTGTACTTCGAAATCATGCCAAGTTTTCCAAAATCCAGCTTCCGTCTATTCAAGGTTGAGGAAAACGTTAAAGCATGCTCCAATAAAGTTAGAATGTCTAATTTCTGTAAACTTACCCTAGGATTGAATAATTGTGAGGCAAACCCGTAAATAGCTCGTGCACGGTCAATTTCGCCCAACTTTCTTTCCAGTTCTGCATAACGCAGTGCCATAATTCGCACATGCTTATCTGGAAGAGCCTCAATAGCCCTTTCATATATTTCCCTTGCTGCCATTATGCCAAATGACTCTGTCGCCTTGGCAATGTAATACTCAAACATTGTCATACGATCTTCGTCTGCTACAGCTCTCGTTGCTCTATCGTAGATACGCATAGCGTGTCTCGCCAAACCGTGTTCTTCTTCGAGTTTACCATACATGAGATAGATGGGTTTGGCATACTTCGGTGGACAACCATCTAATGCTTGTTCAAATAGATCTCTGGCGCGTTCTAATTTTGTACCTCCCTAGATATGTACCAAAGTTGTAGATTTATGTTAGTTAGAGGTCAACAATTTGTTTGTAGACATCTTCGAATGTGGGAAAAAAAACATACATAGCGTTTCAAGAATTTGTCAAGGTAAATATTCCATATTTCAAATGCGATGGGCCATCCAAACAATTCAATACCACGCTCGTAAACCTTGAATGACTCTTCAAAATATTGATTCTCTTCCAAAAATGTGGCATAGTTGACAATCGTTTGAGGATTCACTATGCGAAGATCCATGACTTTGTCATATACTGCCTTCGTACTTTCAACTGTGCCTACACTCTCTTCCAAATCAATATAAAAGCTCCATAATCGCAGGCTTTTGAATAATCGTAATTGCACTGGAATAGATTCATCATGGAAATTCACTTGCTTGGGGTTGACATCGAGTGTCTTTGGTATCTCTGTTGCTCTTGCCATAATCTCTAGGGCCCTGTCGAAATCATCATGTCGTGTTTCCATTTCTGCATATTCACACCACACCTCCGCGAGGTCATTGACAGATTTGTAGTTGACTTTAACTGCTTTATCAAATATTTTACGTGCTGATTCCAGATCTCCACCGTCTTCATAGAATTTTGCAAAGTTAGCCCATAATTCGTGGAATTTACCATGTGCCTTTTTTGGATTAATGGTCTGTACTGCTTGTGTATATGTTTCGACAACCTAACCAAGGCACATAGTTTTATTAAACGAATGCCAGATTTTTTCATTTTGAAGCTATTGATGTGTCTCATACCTTTTCTTTATTATCTCTCCATAAAGTTACTCTTTGTTGCCATTCCATAACATTATTGGGATTTTGCCTTAGCAAAACATCGTTTACCAAAAATGGTCTACGATCCATCAATTGTTCGAATCTCATGAGACGCATATCAAGGTCAAGATCTTCTTCTTCATCCTTTTCTCCTTGGTCTTCTCTCTCTTTCGCCATTTCCATTTTAGTGGTAATCATCTCTTCTTCGAATTCAGCGTAAGCATCGAATATAACTGTGAAATCCCTTACTGTCATCACAGTGGTGATACCTTCCTCAAATACATCTCTGGCCTACAAAGTTAAAGTTGTTTATGGCTTGAATCAATAGCTATCTAATGATGAATGCCGGTAAATTATGGAAATTACCTTTTCCAATTGACCCATCCTAATCCAATACATTGCTAAACGTGAATAGAGAATACCGACTTGATCTGAGAAACGCTTTATACCACTTCTGATAATTGCTTCTACGTTTATGCTATGAATGTCATCACAGTGGTCTACTGCCAATTCACATAATTGCTGCCATAATTGATAGTGTGATTTTCCGCGTTGAGATTTGAAAGTTGTATCGTTCACAATAGATACAAGTTTCACAGCTGCTTCGTTGTAGTGCTCTAAATGAATAAGGCTTTCTATATAATTTTCAATAAAACCAGGCTCGAACTATGGTCACAAAGAAAACAGAGAGTATAAATGTTTCATTAGAATCTTGACATTAACTCTTCAATTTTAAGCAGAAAATTAAATAAGAAAGCCAAGATATACCTTCAGATAACGACGGTATATACGAATAGCTGTTTCACCACCTGCTGCTTTTGCAAATTGTAAGTAAACCTCCCAAATACGTTGGTGTTGAGTTACAGGTAAGGCACGCAAGGCGTTATCGAAACTATGTCTAGTCTTCGTGATATAAGGTGTCTTTGTTAGGAGTGAAAGGTAATCGAGCCAAATACGAGGCATCTACAAAAGAGACATTTGAATCAATGGATCAGTCTAAGCTGAAAAGAAACTTGAGCATACCTTATTCAGTAGAATAAGTGCATGTTCATAAAGTGCAATGAGATTGTTGTATTGTTGTTTGTGTCTGACAGGGTTGAGTCCTTTAAGTTTCTCGCGTCTGATGTCCAAGTATTGTTTCCATAATTTATAAGAGCCGGGAAGCTCCTTTAAAGCACGCTCATAAACAAAGCAAAGTTCGTTGAAATTGCCGAGCTTTTTATGTTCAATGTATTGAATCCAAGGTCGTAAAGAGTACGGGTTACGTAAAAGCTCTTCTTCGTATGGTATATCGTGTTCGTTCTATTGGTATTAAAAATAATCAGGTAATATAAAGACCTGGTTAGAAAAACTAAAACTAAGAAATAAACAATCAAAGACATTATAATTACTTTACGATCAAAAATTCATCGTGGTGGAGAACCATAATGGTATAGACCGATCTGAAAGAAAACAAAAATTTATAACTTGGCTTTATGCCTTTTTTTATTTCAAAAAGCCTACTCGTGGCGGAGACGAGCCAAAATACAGTGTTTTAACTACTATTTCAGACTTTTCACAAATTTTATTGGACACTATTAAATCTTAATTTAGACAACTTTCAATTATTTTACGATGAAGCGGTATATTATTCTTGGACGATTTCGCTGATAATCAATTATCCAGTATCATCCAAGCAGCATTAAGGATGGCGTACAAGCTAGTCCTAAAAATGAGTGCTCATAGTAAAGAGGTCGCTAAGAAAACTCTTATTGGCGTGACTTTGCAATAGGACGAGCTACAAAAAGCTTGACAACTTTTTCGTCATTTGACGATGTGTTATAAGACCCAACCAGATGTTCGTCAGTGCCTTTTTCGGAACTTTGCCCAATGATAAAGACGTGTCTTTCTTTTCTCGCGTTTTGTTGTCAAAGTTAGATTATAATGAAGGGGTTCTTTTAAACGAGAATAAGATCCCTTCTTTTCCGTATTTCGCTTTTTTTGTAACTTACAGCTCTATTCATGTACAAAAGTTTCATTATACAGAAGATTAGATCTATTAAAGAAAAGCATAAGAACCAGGTTAAAAGGAACCCATTTGGTAAAATGCTTGATAATTGTAGGAGAACCGTCAGATCAAGATATAAGGATTCTGATATTTGTTGTAATTTTTTAGAGCATACCAAGTGTCGAGACTGCTATGAACCAGGTCATTTTGACAAGCGTTACTACAAATGCAAGTATTACAAAGCCGTAAATGCTGATGATGGTAAGCAATAAACCTAAATCTATCTTACACACAGCACTTAATTGCTTGTGAGTAACCTCCTTAAAGTTGGTAGCAGTGGCAAAAAGAGAAAACAGAGTGACCAAGTGAAAGAGAAGAAGAAAGCAGTTAAACGGAAAAAGACCACCGCACAAGCTGTAAAGTGCCTCAGCTGTGGACAAGATGGCCATACCACTGCTCGTTCGCCGCAATGCCTCAAACACACGCCTTCGAAAGATGAACTTATTTCATCTGTTCTTGGTGATGATGCTACTGTATTCACAAGAAAGCTTCCCATCGACAGTGCGGTGTTACCAACCTTCCGCGAGAAATTCAGAGAAAGAGTCATTTCGTGCTGCAATGACATTAGGGCTATTGTGTTTCGTTCGCAACTATTTGTTAACGCTTATCTCATCCATAATAAGAAAGACACACCAAAAGAAATTTTCACCCAACAGTTCTGGTATTCGGTTGGACAACTTGTAACAGGTAAAACAGTAACCAACAAGAAAGCAATAAATGATTCCATGAAAAACTTCTATAAGCAGTTCAAAGAGAAGCATCCAGCTGTCGAAGTAAGTTATAGCTTCACCAAAGGCTATAGCCAATGCTTGACAGAAGCTTGTAAAGAGTTCAGTACCACATATACAAACAGCATTGTTGAGCTTTTTGAGCAGCGAATGCTTAAATATCTATACTATACCTTGCAGAATTTGTTCCCGGTAAGGATTAACTTTACATTAAACCAAACAGCAGCAAAGTCAATATTCTTTTCTCTTTAGAGCATGGTAAAGCGCGATGTTGACGAAATCGCAACAAAATACTGCTATCAAGCGATTTGCAAAGGCGAACCCAAATGGCCTGGTAAAGTCAAGTTAAGCAGTGATGACAAATTAAGAATAGATAATTTGTGCAAGAACTTTGCAGACCTTGTGGAGGAAAAGGTTACGCTTTTATCATTGGCGGCCGATCCGGTCAAATTTGTCAAGCCCTTGTGGTTTATCCAGGACTACTACGAAGAAGAGCATTCTAATCATTTTGCCTACGATGTTCGTAGGTTACCATTACCTCATCGCTTCTTCCCTTTTCCAACACCCTCAGTATCATGGCGCTTCATTACCATCAGCATAAACGCCCTTACTCCTTTTTTATTTCCTGGAAGACTTGTAAAGGGCTATTGGAATCAACTTGAACAATTTTGTAAAGTGTTCAACTTCAAAAAGTTAGGCTTCAGAAGGTAAAGTAAATAGCACTCTGCTAAAAGACTCTGTTCTCAAGATTATTCTTTCACTTATATCATAGTATTGCTGAGTTAAAGACAAACACAAGTATGCTCTTCAGGAATCTCATTCGATCTGATGGCTTCACTGTAGACTTCCTATTTAGTCGTAAGAAGAAACCAAGAGAAGACGCCATCATTGATCATCATGACTTGACGTTGGAAGACTTCTCCTATGAAGAAATCACGACAAACTACAGACCCACATTTGTTGATCCTGGCCGAAAGACCGTATTTACAGCAGCAATCGGGTTAGAAACAAACAGACATGAGATACGGCGCTGCTCGACAAAAGAATATTATCACATGACGGGTAGTACTCGTGTCAATGCAGAATTAGAAAGGAAAAAGGCCGGTTGTATGATAAAAGCGATAGAAAGCAATATACCAAGTAGTAAAACAGGCTCGCCTGAACAGTATAAGAGATATATTATTTACATACTACAACATTTAGAGATCCTGTTCTCATTCTATGGGCCAGGTATGGGTGAAACAAGGTTCCGTCTGCATCAAGGCAGACAGCGTGCTGCAGACATGATGGTGAACATGCTTGTCGATGGAGGGATCAAATACGACAAAGAATTACGGAAGAAAAGAAAGGAAGAACAGATGAAATGGCCAAAGAAGAAGGGCAAAATTAAGCATAAAAAAAGAAGAAAGAAGACGAAACAGAAAGTGAAAGTAAAACAGGAAGAAGAGAATGAGAAGGAGATCCGGGAAGAAGAAGAGACAAAGAGCGATAACCACGTTCGGTAAGTCTGTAGCGATTAACTGTCCACTGAATTTGTGTATACTCAATCTACTTCCTTCAACAGACGATGGGCCCCTGAGAAATTCAGGCTGAGTGATCGCAAAAAAGTTCCTCTGGTTGTATTTGGTGACGGCATGTTCAATAAATCCGCCGCTCATCTAAAAGGCCTTAGAACTGGTGTCGTTGGTGTTTTGTGGCGTGCATTGAAGCGAAGAGAGGCTGCTGGTGATCTCCTTGCCGTGACAATTGATGAATACTTGACATCACGCATATGCAATTGTTGTCGCTCAGACACATTGAAAGCATTAGACACCGTGCGTGGCTGTAGTATCCTTGTTTGCAAAACCTGTAAGATACTATGGAACCGCGATGTCAATGCAGCAAAAAACATGATGGCCATCAGCATTTCGGTATGGAAAGACAAGGAACGTCCTACGGAGTTCAGCCGGAAGACAACTTCTTAGTCTTTTGATTTTTATTATCGCCAGAACGAAACTGGCTTGATATTTACAGGTAAACGTCTCCATTTTAGTGTAGTTCGATCTTCAAACTCTAACTCAATCGTCTCAAAATTTTGGTCATTCCATCCAGTTATTTTTAAGCTGCGTCTAAACCCGCAGTTAAAAAACTGTATCACGACAGACGAGGTAAGATTGATGTTTAGAATTCCGCAGCAAATTTACGAGCCGCCACTACAATTTTCTGGATAGGGTCTACCTGTAAAAATCGAGCCAGTTTCGTTCTGGCGATTGGAGGATGCTGTTAAGCGGTTGATGCGGGTGACTTCCTTGGTTTTCTACAAAACTCAGTAGGTATTCCCGTGAATTCCATATTGACACGCTAATTGCCCACATGCTTTTAGCAGCGTTCACGTCCCGGTTTTAAAGAATCGAACAGGCTTTGTAGGCAAGGATACTTTAGCCTGGAGCTGTCTTCAATGCTTCAACAGTGTTGGAGCGGCAATTGTTGCATGTTCGAGAGTAAGATATTCAACAATGGTTATTACTAGTAGATCGCCGGTAGACACTCTTCGCTTCAATACACGCCAAAGAACACCAACGATACCAGCTCTAAGGCCCTTCAAATGAACGGAAGATTTGTTGAACATGCCGTCACCGAATACCATCAGAGGAACTTTTTTGCTATCACGCAACTTGAATTTCTCAGGGGCCCATCGTCTTCTAAAAGAAAGATAGTAGAGTGAGTATACTGTTTTTTGAATATGAGTTTGCGTTGAGATAAAAAGAATATCTACGTCAAGGTAAAAATAGTTTTACGTTGCTTAGTAATAAAAAAAATGTAAAATGACCTAAAATATCGTAAAGGTTTCGACTCCTTTTAGTTTAAATATTAGAACAAACATGCAAAGCATTAGTGAATTTATCACTAATAGTGAAATTATTTCAGATAACGATATGGACATTTCATCTGACGATTATATGGAAGATGACGAGCAGGAAGAAATGGAAATCGCGAAGTTCAGTTTGAGCGAAGAATGGATGGAGAAAATAAGACGAATTGGGAATGATTCTCTATCATATGTACGTGAATATATGGAAGTAGATTTAATAGAGGAAGAGAATGAAGATTTTTTTGGAGATGCTTTTCTCTTCGCAGAGTCAATGTCATTGAGAAAAAGACATACGGCTTTAAATGTTAAAACAAGAGGTTCTTACAGAAAATATACTCCTAAACAAGTTGTGAAACTCTTCGATTTAATAATCGAAGAAGGATTCGCAGTAAAAATTGCAGCTTTAGCCACTGGGGTTAATGTACGCACTGCCCAGAATTACGTTAAAACTTATAACAATGATCCTGAGAGACGACTCCCAGGATCTTATTCTAAACCTCGTGGAAGACCTCGTAATAAGTTGACTGATATCGAAAAGAATACCACTGAGTTAAAGTTAAAACTTTGTAAGAAATTTGAGGGTTTGAAAATCTCTATTTCTGCCAGCCACAAACATTTAGTACATAAGCATAACATTACGTTAAAGAAACTTGTAAAAATACCAGCAGCAAGAAATTCAGACAGAGTAATAGCATTACGAAAAGCGATTGTTGAACAATATAAGAGTGATGCAGATATGGATTTTTCTAAGAATTGCGTTTTTATCGATGAAGCAGGTTTCAATTTGCATACGCAAAGAAACCACGGCCGTTCATTAAAAGGCACACCTGCAAATGGCACTGTACCAACTGGAAAAGGTGTAACCATTTATAATTTTAGGTGCAATTTCTCAAGCAGGTATCATAAATATTTGAGTTAAAGAACCAGAATCAGCTTCTTCTAAAAAAGAAGGGCAGATGGTAAGGAAGCAAAAATAAATGGCGAAGTTGGGACAAGATCTGAACACTTTATGGCCTATCTAAACAACGTAATGGATACACTAGATAAAAATAATATAAAGGGGCAGTATATTGTTATGGATAATGCACCTATTCACAAGCCAAAAGTAATCAAAGCATTAATCGAAGAACGAGGAAATAAGTGCATACATTTGCCACCATATTCTTCTTTCTTGAATCCAATCGAGGAATTTTGGTCAAAAATAAAAGCTGGTGTTTGAAGAACACCATTTTGACGGCAGAGGATCGTTTCACAGATCGTATATGTGAATCAGCTGGTAAAGTAACAAAAAAAGATTGTGAAGGATGGAATAAGCATTCAATGTCATTTTTCCAAAAGTGTTTGAATGAGAAAGAATCTTTAAAATAGTCAGTAGGAGTGCAGCTTTCAACAGAGCACTCTGAATGTTCAATGAGCTTTTATTTATTCGCTATACGTACCGTACGTACCGTACCCAAAAAATGAAAAAACGTACCGTACCGTACCGTACCGTACCCAAAAAATGAAAAAACGTACCGTACCGTACGTAGCGTACCCAAAAAATGAAAAAACGTACCGTACCGTACGTAGCGTACCCAAAAAACGAAAAAGTGTATCGTATCGTACTGTACCGTACCCAAAAAACGAAAAAGTGTATCGTATCGTACTGTACCGTACCCAAAAAATGAAAAAAACGTACCGTACCGTACCGTACCCAAAAAATGAAAAAACGTACCGTACCGTACCGTACCGTACCCAAAAAATGAAAAAACGTACCGTACCGTTACGTAGCGTACCCAAAAAACGAAAAAGTGTATCGTATCGTACCGTACCGTACCCCAAAAAATGAAAAAAACGTACCGTACCGTACCGTACCCAAAAAATGAAAAAACGTACCGTACCGTACCGTACCGTACCCAAAAATGAAAAAAAACGTACCGTACCGTACCGTACCCAAAAAACGAAAAAACGTACCGTACCGTTACGTAGCGTACCCAAAAAACGAAAAAGTGTATCGTATCGTACCGTACCGTACCCAAAAAACGAAAAAACGTACCGTACCGTTACGTAGCGTACCCAAAAAACGAAAAAGTGTATCGTATCGTACCGTACCGTACCCAAAAAATGAAAAAACGTACCGTACCGTACCGTACCGTACCCAAAAATGAAAAAAACGTACCGTACCGTACCGTACCCAAAAATGAAAAAAACGTACCGTACCGTACCGTACCCAAAAATGAAAAAAAACGTACCGTACCGTACCGTACCCAAAAAACGAAAAAACGTACCGTACCGTTACGTAGCGTACCCAAAAAACGAAAAAGTGTATCGTATCGTACCGTACCGTACCCAAAAAACGAAAAAACGTACCGTACCGTTACGTAGCGTACCCAAAAAACGAAAAAGTGTATCGTATCGTACCGTACCGTACCCAAAAAACGAAAAAACGTACCGTACCGTTACGTAGCGTACCCAAAAAACGAAAAAGTGTATCGTATCGTACCGTACCGTACCCAAAAAATGAAAAAACGTACCGTACCGTACCGTACCGTACCCAAAAATGAAAAAAAACGTACCGTACCGTACCGTACCCAAAAAATGAAAAAACGTACCGTATCGTACCGTACCGTACCCAAAAAACGAAAAAGTGTACCGTACCGTACGTAGCGTACCCAAAAAATGTAAAAAGCGTACCGTATCGTCTCTCGTGCTACACTTTACAAGGTTAAAATCCCACAGTAAGAAGTACATATAAAAAAAATATAGGCTTTGTGGTTTTTGTTATTTTCTGCTATGTATGGTTTTATGACGTAATATTTTGCTCTATTCCGTTTTTTGGAGATTCGATGAAAGAACTCTAAAAAAAAGATCTTTTTTTTTTAGTAGGTACGTAATGGACCAACAAGACATTTCGAGTTTAGACGAAAGCGATCAAGATTTCAGTAACTTTGTTATTCCAAATGAAATATACACCTAGAAATTATCTGATCTATAACCTTATCCTCACTGACCAACGAATCATTAATATTATTACTAAAAGTCTCCTCAATGCACAAAAAACCCATATATTTATACAACAAGAGAGTTAACAGATAATTGTGCCTTCAACACACTGTATATTCCACTTGGTACTCATCAGTGAAAAATTAGACAGTCTGAATATGTCTCAAATAGTTCAAGATTGTAGCGATATTTTTGAACGTTATAATTCTCCTCCTATTTGTTTGATCATCAGCCAACAGAAAAGTTAATGATAACATTTTTAATCGAACTACGCAATATCAAGAGCTTTCATTTTTAAGAGAAATACAATGTACGTTTTGGGCAAAAAAATGTTTATTGCTGTCAGAATACATTATTGACAACAGAAATGAAATGGAAAATCACCTATTATTGGAGATAGTGATGGCTACTAAGTGTCATAAAAAGATTTTATTGTTAAATAAATGATTTGTTCATAAATGATTACTTTTGAAGCGTTTCACAAGTGTTGGTATTGGTAGGAGCAGAGGGCATAGTGCTAATAGTAGAGATAGAGGGCATGGTATTAATAGAAGTAGAGGGTATGGTACTGTTGGTAAAAGACTTGATATGTTTATTGTAGTATCCTCTGAGACTTTCAGTTGTTTTATACTCCATGATTACTGCTTTCTTTTCTTCGTGACCTTGCTTAAAGCATTCTACCCAGCTGATTCTTCCTGTCTTTTCACTTCGGAATCGTTTTATATAATCATTAAGTTCACTGAAGTTGTTGTATGCGGTTCGATTTGATTGTGTTGACTTCAAATATTTGATAGGGGGAGTGTCGGGAATAGGTGTTGTCTCCCTTCCTGCTGTATATTTTCTTTTTTGTCTTTTAAGATAGTCAACGGTATCATCTAAGTATAGCATTGCTTTTTCAATTGCAGTTTCATCCCCTTGTTGCATGTGCCTTTTAATTTTTTCAATTTGGTTTGCCGTATTATCACAAATTGCATTAATAGCCTCTGCTTTTTCTGCTTCTTCTCCAGCTAATTGCTCAACATATATTCTTGCTACCTTGTATAAGAGCTGCATAGTAGAATTATCAGAGGCGTAGTCAAGGTGGGCTATCGACACTTTTTGTGAACATAAAAAAATACCAATAGCTGCCAGCGAAGCAAGTTGCTCAGCCCGATCAATCTTTGATAATGTTATAGAAGACATTATTAAACAGCGTTTAGCCCAGAAGAGACATGGTACTTCTAGGCAGTACGGGTAGTCTATCGCCGTAGTTAATTTGCTGGCTACTGGTGTGGTTACTGCGGACACGCCAATTATTAAAACAATTGGGTATTTATTATACTTCTCGTAAACCAACGTGGAGTAGCGTGTTGCGCGAGACATGTATTTTTCATTCACAACTTTTTGGACTTCTACTATTATTGGTGAATATTCACTAAGGGTCATTTTTGGGAGGTATAAAACGTCACAGGCACTCTTGAAGAATTCACTTGGGGCAGCCATGTAATGATCCTGTGGGCTATTGTTGACACTTTTGCATAAAATATTGATGACTTCGTCATTGGTAAGAACAGCTTTGCTTATTAAATCCGTCCCTGGAACAAACTTTCTTGGGAGAGAGTAATCTGTATTTTTTAAGTTGTATTTTATATGAGAAAAAGTATTGTTTTTTATACAACATCTTTTACCTACCATTAATGAGCTCGTCATTTGCTTTCAAATGAAAAGAATCAGTCATAGTGATAAGGATTATGGCGTACCGTACCGTACCCAAAAAAAAAAGAAAGAAAAAATGAAAAAAGCGTACCGTACCGTACCGTACCTAAAAAAATGAAAAAATGAAAAAGCGTACCGTACCGTACCCCCCAAAAAAAAAGAAAAAAGAGAAAAAAGCGTACCGTACCGTACCGTACCGTACACATAGCTTCATGCGCCTTGTTGTTGGATCAGCAGCAATTGTTGGTTTTGTTCCAATGCAAGCATTAATGCAGACTGTAAATCCTGCTCTTTTCCTTGAATTTTGCTTGGTAGGGGAGGTCGAGTAATAACTGATCGAGCCTTCGAATTACTCTTGTTTCTTGAACTTTCTCCCTTACTGTGGCTGTTGCTATCGCTATCACTTTGTGTATCCGTGTCATCTGCGCTACTGTCGCCTTCTGACGAGCTCTCGGCGTCAGAGTCGTCCTGTTCAAATTTACGAGCTATCTTGTACGCCTCTCGAAGTGTCATTGGTTCCTGGTTATTTAGGTATCGCCTCATATCTGCAGGGGAACAGTGTCTGACGAATAAGGATACATAGAAGTCCTCCTCATAGGAGGTCATGCTTTTGTTTGGGTTTTCTCTGCATTCACGCGACCAATTGTTTTCTCTTGGATGCACTGCATCCTCCAACTTGTTTATATACTTTGTAACTGTGCTATACTTCTTGCGTTTGATCTTCATAACTTTATTCAAATAGTGTATGTCGTCGCGATGTACGATGTTTTGTTTTTCTTCCAATGCTTCTTTGAAACTGTTCCACGAATTTGAAGCTTCGCGATCCGACCCATTGTAAAAGGGAACCTTGGAAACTATTGTGGACGTGGTCCAGTTAAGCGAACCGCCAAAATAATCAGTGAGCTAAGAAATGAGAAGGTCTTTCCACTTTCATAGAACGATATATGTGCACTATCGTTCAAGGCACACACGGGATTCCGAAGACCATTACCAGCGGATAAGCCAGAGTTTCGCACGAACATAGATGAGATGCTGTACACAGACGAGGCTGAAGGTCGGCATGCACCGCATGTACCTGGTAAAATTAACGATATTGCTTTCCGCTTGATATTGGACACCGGTTGTGCCCCATGTATAGTCTGCCATAGTACGATTTGCAAGCTTGCTAAATAACGAACTACAACCCATCGAATCTGAAAAGCTAATGGTCGGTGATGGTCGAAAAATCACACCTAAGGGACTCATAAGGAACCTTGAGATCGAAATCATTTCTGGTCAAACATCTATCTATGGTTGATGCTATCTGTTTGGATGTTTCAGAATCATATGACTTCATTTTAGGCAGGCTGGCCATGCAAAAGATCGGTGTGGGTGTCGATTTGAAGAGTTCTTACTGGTACATTCGTACAAGCGGAAATTTACAAAGAATTCCAGTATCATATTTTGACCCACTGCAGGAGGCGTACAGCACAGAAAGTTCCCTAATGGCTATATCCAGTGCGGATATTGAGGACAGCTCGAATGAGGTTGAATCACAGGACGGCCTGTCTACACTCATATCGCAAATTAACGACAACCGTGGGCTTTCTCAATCCGAGAAAGAGCAGGCGATAGCGCTGATACTGGAGAAAAGAGCAGCGTTTGGTACCACTTATCAAGACATAAAGCAAACAAACTTACTAAAACTACGCATTGATACCGGTGATGCTACGACTATCATGAAGCGCCCCTTTTCTAGTATGAGTCCTTCAGACTTGGAAAGATTAAAGTCAGAGCTTCGAGAAATGTTGGAAACAGGAGTAAATCATTCCAGCCATGCACACAAAGGCAGAATCAAGTAATCCAGGTTGGGCGATTCCGAATAAGGTCACTGTTCGAGATTCTTGGTCTTTGCCTGTCATTCCCCACTTACTAGAAGCATTTAAAGGAGCAAGGTTCTTCTGAAATTTTTTCATTCCATCGCAGTAGACGACGAAAGCATACCGAAGTTGACTATTACTACTCCTTTTGATTTTTAGTACGGTACGTTTTTTCATTTTTTGGGTACGCTACGTAACGGTACGGTACGTTTTTTCGTTTTTTGGGTACGGTACGGTACGATACGATACACTTTTTCGTTTTTTGGGTACGCTACGTAACGGTACGGTACGTTTTTTCGTTTTTTGGGTACGGTACGGTACGATACGATACACTTTTTCGTTTTTTGGGTACGCTACGTAACGGTACGGTACGTTTTTTCGTTTTTTGGGTACGGTACGGTACGGTACGTTTTTTTTCATTTTTGGGTACGGTACGGTACGGTACGTTTTTTTCATTTTTTGGGTACGGTACGGTACGGTACGTTTTTTTTCATTTTTGGGTACGGTACGGTACGGTACGGTACGTTTTTTCATTTTTTGGGTACGGTACGGTACGATACGATACACTTTTTCGTTTTTTGGGTACGCTACGTAACGGTACGGTACGTTTTTTCGTTTTTTGGGTACGGTACGGTACGATACGATACACTTTTTCGTTTTTTGGGTACGCTACGTAACGGTACGGTACGTTTTTTCGTTTTTTGGGTACGGTACGGTACGGTACGTTTTTTTTCATTTTTGGGTACGGTACGGTACGGTACGGTACGTTTTTTCATTTTTTGGGTACGGTACGGTACGGTACGTTTTTTTCATTTTTTGGGGTACGGTACGGTACGATACGATACACTTTTTCGTTTTTTGGGTACGCTACGTAACGGTACGGTACGTTTTTTCATTTTTTGGGTACGGTACGGTACGGTACGTTTTTTTTCATTTTTGGGTACGGTACGGTACGGTACGGTACGTTTTTTCATTTTTTGGGTACGGTACGGTACGGTACGTTTTTTTTCATTTTTGGGTACGGTACGGTACGGTACGGTACGTTTTTTCATTTTTTGGGTACGGTACGGTACGGTACGTTTTTTTCATTTTTTGGGTACGGTACAGTACGATACGATACACTTTTTCGTTTTTTGGGTACGCTACGTAACGGTACGTTTTTTTTCATTTTTGGGTACGGTACGGTACGGTACGTTTTTTTCATTTTTTGGGTACGGTACGGTACGGTACGTTTTTTTCATTTTTTGGGGTACGGTACGGTACGATACGATACACTTTTTCGTTTTTTGGGTACGCTACGTAACGGTACGGTACGTTTTTTCATTTTTTGGGTACGGTACGGTACGGTACGGTACGTTTTTTCATTTTTTGGGTACGGTACGGTACGGTACGTTTTTTTCATTTTTTGGGTACGGTACAGTACGATACGATACACTTTTTCGTTTTTTGGGTACGGTACAGTACGATACGATACACTTTTTCGTTTTTTGGGTACGCTACGTACGGTACGGTACGTTTTTTCATTTTTTGGGTACGCTACGTACGGTACGGTACGTTTTTTCATTTTTTGGGTACGGTACGGTACGGTACGGTACGTTTTTTCATTTTTTGGGTACGGTACGTACGGTACGTATAGCGAATAAATAAAAGCTCATTGAACATTCAGAGTGCTCTGTTGAAAGCTGCACTCCTACTGACTATTTTAAAGATTCTTTCTCATTCAAACACTTTTGGAAAAATGACATTGAATGCTTATTCCATCCTTCACAATCTTTTTTTGTTACTTTACCAGCTGATTCACATATACGATCTGTGAAACGATCCTCTGCCGTCAAAATGGTGTTCTTCAAACACCAGCTTTTATTTTTGACCAAAATTCCTCGATTGGATTCAAGAAAGAAGAATATGGTGGCAAATGTATGCACTTATTTCCTCGTTCTTCGATTAATGCTTTGATTACTTTTGGCTTGTGAATAGGTGCATTATCCATAACAATATACTGCCCCTTTATATTATTTTTATCTAGTGTATCCATTACGTTGTTTAGATAGGCCATAAAGTGTTCAGATCTTGTCCCAACTTCGCCATTTATTTTTGCTTCCTTACCATCTGCCCTTCTTTTTTAGAAGAAGCTGATTCTGGTTCTTTAACTCAAATATTTATGATACCTGCTTGAGAAATTGCACCTAAAATTATAAATGGTTACACCTTTTCCAGTTGGTACAGTGCCATTTGCAGGTGTGCCTTTTAATGAACGGCCGTGGTTTCTTTGCGTATGCAAATTGAAACCTGCTTCATCGATAAAAACGCAATTCTTAGAAAAATCCATATCTGCATCACTCTTATATTGTTCAACAATCGCTTTTCGTAATGCTATTACTCTGTCTGAATTTCTTGCTGCTGGTATTTTTACAAGTTTCTTTAACGTAATGTTATGCTTATGTACTAAATGTTTGTGGCTGGCAGAAATAGAGATTTTCAAACCCTCAAATTTCTTACAAAGTTTTAACTTTAACTCAGTGGTATTCTTTTCGATATCAGTCAACTTATTACGAGGTCTTCCACGAGGTTTAGAATAAGATCCTGGGAGTCGTCTCTCAGGATCATTGTTATAAGTTTTAACGTAATTCTGGGCAGTGCGTACATTAACCCCAGTGGCTAAAGCTGCAATTTTTACTGCGAATCCTTCTTCGATTATTAAATCGAAGAGTTTCACAACTTGTTTAGGAGTATATTTTCTGTAAGAACCTCTTGTTTTAACATTTAAAGCCGTATGTCTTTTTCTCAATGACATTGACTCTGCGAAGAGAAAAGCATCTCCAAAAAAATCTTCATTCTCTTCCTCTATTAAATCTACTTCCATATATTCACGTACATATGATAGAGAATCATTCCCAATTCGTCTTATTTTCTCCATCCATTCTTCGCTCAAACTGAACTTCGCGATTTCCATTTCTTCCTGCTCGTCATCTTCCATATAATCGTCAGATGAAATGTCCATATCGTTATCTGAAATAATTTCACTATTAGTGATAAATTCACTAATGCTTTGCATGTTTGTTCTAATATTTAAACTAAAAGGAGTCGAAACCTTTACGATATTTTAGGTCATTTTACATTTTTTTTATTACTAAGCAACGTAAAACTATTTTTACCTTGACGTAGATATTCTTTTTATCTCAACGCAAACTCATATTCAAAAAACAGTACACAAATTCAGTTGACAGTTAATCGCTACAAGATTTACCGAACATGGTTATCTTCCTTTTTCTCTTCTTCTTCCTGCTTCTCTTTCTCTTTCGGTTTCTTTTTTTTTTTCTTGTTTTACTAAGTTTAGGTTTGCCCTTCTTCTTTGGCCATTTCATCTGTTCTTCCCTTCTTTTTTCCGTAATTCTTTGTCGTATTTGAGACCTCCATCAACAAGCATGTTCACCATCATATCTGCAGCACGCTTGCTGCCTTGATACAGACGGAATCTTGTTTCACCCATATCAGACCCGTAGAATGAGAACAGAGTCTCTAAATGTTGCAGTATATAAGTAGTATATATTTCATAATGTTCAGGCGAGCCTGTTTTGCAACTCGGTATATTGCTTTCTATATCTTTTATCGTACAATTGGCTTTTTTCCTTTCTGATTTTGAATTGATACTAGTACTACCCGTCATGTGGTAATATTCTTTTGTTGAGCAGCGTCGTATCTCATGTCTTTCTGTTTCTAACCCGATCGCTGCTGTAAATACGGTCTTTCGACCAGGATCAACAAATGCGGGTCTGTAGTTTGCTGTGATCTCTGCATATGAGAAGCCTTCCAACGTCAAGTCATGATGATCAATAATGGCGTCTTCTTTTGGTTTCTTCTTACGACTAAATAAAAAGTCTACAGTGAAGCCATCAGATCGAATCAGGTTCGGGAAGAGCACACTTGTGTTTGTCTTAAGCTCAGCAACACTACGATAAAAGTGAAAAAGTAATCGAGAACAGAATCCTTTTAGCAGAGTGTTAACTACTTTACCTTCTGAAGCCTAACTTTTTGAAGTTGAAGACTTTGCAGAATTGTTCGAGTTGGGCTGTATAACCCTTGGCAACTTTTCCATTCGAGGGAACGAGAAGTAGAATGACCCTTTAAGTCACAACTGATGCACCTAATATCTCCAGTTGTTTGCTTCTTTTCTTCCTTGGTTTTAGCTGATTGCTTACGTTTCTTGCCGCTACTTCCAACTGAATTTGCGTTAAGCAAACATAAACTTGTCTTGCAGTGAGAGCATGATACTTACCATCACGCGCAGAAACTGCTTTGTAAAACTTGCATTCATGGTATGCCTTGTTCAAATGTCCGAATGTTTTGCAATCCTCGCATTCGATGTTTACTAGTCATACAAAATATAATCTGAGGATTACCACTATAATTTATTTGTGGCAGCGCGCTCATGTGTTACTTACGGAAGGACTCATCTTTGACTTTATTCTTATGGGCTTCTGCCACCGATTTGATTTTTTGCAAGATTTCGGCTTTGTACATGGTGAGTAATAGAGAAAAGAAAGTATGAAAGAAGAATAAGAAGAAGAAGATGGAAATCAAAGGAAAGGCAACTTTCTGTAAATGCTTCGAGTTTGACAATATTTATTGTTTATTACGATTGACAACAACAATTGTTATGTACGTATGTGGCGGAAGAACCCGTAGATCAATTTATCTGATCCATAAAGAACGTCTCGTAAACGTCAACCCTATGTCTATTATGCTTATAAGACCTGTGTCGCGCTAAAAAACTCATATATCTCGTGGAACTTTAGTCGTAGAGTCGCTATCAATTGAAAATATCTAATAACCTTCAAAGTAATGTCTCCAATTAAAGTGTAAAGATCTTAAACAGGAATTTCAATTCGTATCCTGTTTTTACCTAGAAACGTCTTCAATAAAACACAAATTATCCACTAAAAAATTCGAAAGTGTCTCGTACGGAAGAAAACTTCTGTACTTCCACATGGCCCACGCAAGCGTTCACTTTAAACGAGTTCTTCATATCTGAGGATACCATTGTAAATGCGATCAAAAGCCTCCCCCATAAGAAAGCTCCCGGGGTGGATGATATCAAAATTGAAATGCTGCAACCAGTCAGCGACTGAATAGCACCCTTTCTTTCAAATCTCTTCCAATTAACCTGGAAATGGTCCTATACGCCTAAGTCATGGCGCATTGCCCAAACGATTCCGATTTATAAGAAAGGCCCCTCAACCGATCCAGGTAACTACCGTCCAATTAGTCTTACATCTATTTTTCGCAAAATTTTAGAGCGATGCATCCAAAATTACCTTTTGGCCAATAGTCCCCCACTCGATATTGCGCAGGGTGGATTCCGTATTGCCCGTAGCTCCTTAGATCAAGCTCTTTGTTTAGCAAAAATCTGCAATATTTTGAAACGCCAGCACAAGATCGAACTAGTTCTAGCTTTCCTCGATATCAAATCAGCGTACGATACGGTTGACCGTAACGTCATATGGACAGTGCTTCGTCCCCATATTCCAGAACCGCTCCTTGCCCTACTTCAAAACATGTTTGACGATGTCAGCATTGAAGTCCTCCAGAACAATGCCAAGTCAGAACCTTTCAGCCCTACTACTGGTGTTCTTCAAGGATCCATACTATCTCCTATACTCTATTCATACTACATTAACGAACTACCTACACTGCTCCGTCCAAGCCCACTGGATCTTTCCTGTTCCGGAATTGATTCTAAATATCAACTGTTTACTATATGCGACGACGTCGTCTTGATTACTGATAAAGATCATCTTCAGACCCTGTTGCAACAATGTGAAGCTCATAGTCTTCGGCTAGGTTATCGCTGGCATCCGAATAAATGTGTTATACTAGACAGATCAACGCACCCTATAGATTACCAGCTTTATGGAGTTGCTCTACAACATCAGCTCACTTTTCCGTATCTAGGGATACCTTTTCAACCAGGTGGTAGTATAGATATAAATGAACTAGCACGTACTAACACGTTTAAGGCCCTTACTACGATGAATCAATTAGCAGCAATCGGTGTCAATCCTGGTGGATTCGAAAAACTGCTCTCACTACGGTTATATGCCCAATTAGTACGCGCAAAGATGGAATACGGACTGGCCATTAGCCCCCTAACCGCGAAGCAATATAAACAATTCGAGGATACTCAGAACAAGTGTATTCGACGAATCTTTGGTGGATCCAGTAGATCGTCTGCCCGACTTATGCTCCACCTTGCCAATCTGCCCACCATGAAAGAACGCTCCTTCGTCCTACAAGCTAAGTTCCTATTACGTTCTACCTCACTGCCTACTGATACTTTAATCTCGATACTACTCCCATATATAGGCCAGCAACAGAGTAAATCATTATATTGCAAGCTTGCTCGTTCTCCGATCTGGCAAGATTACACTTCTTCTCCGCTCAATCAACGATCTGAATCAGCTGCTCCGCCACGCTGTATTGCTAACTTCCGTACTAGCCTCCTTCACATCCAACAATCGAACAGCCCCAACTCCAAACTGATCTCTCAATGCCGTTCTCGATTAATGATCGACCCGATCCTTTATATTCCAATGTCAACTAATGAACGCAGCCGATGTATCCGATGGCGTTTGGGTTGGCTTCCTGCAGGCCACCGAACCTATTGCCTCAAACATCCCTCGTCATTACTTACAAAGTTCCACGCTATCTCCTGTTTAAACATGCACCACCGCCTACGACTCCCCATATCAGTCTGTGATCCCATATCCTATGTCCTCAACCGTCTTCCTACACATCTGATCAACAACCCAACCCAAATACAAAACTGGCATTTTCTATGGCCAGCACTTTGTCACATTTTGTTTGAACTCGACTACTTTCACCACCCTCGAGAGCTGCCTACAACTCCTCGGTTAGGGCATCTATTGCTCGACTGGTTACCCTCTTCCCTCCCACAACCCTTTAGTACATAATCCTTTTTATCCTTGAGCCCTAAGGGGTTTTTAGCAATATATAGTCTACACTATACAAACTTTAGGATCTGCTCCGGGTAATTTTTGGTGCTCATTGGGTTTTAAATATTGTAATAAAAGAATTCTGTTTAAGCTGATGCGTTATTTCATTTTATATATTTTTTTTTTACTTATATTTTTTTAACTATTCTAATCCCGCTTCACGTATTTAATGCTCTTGTCTGCTGCCCCTTTTGAGAATCTTCATCTTTTTGACACATCTCTTAACTTGGGTTGACAGGTAGCCATTATTCAAGCTACATTATTTTAAAATAAACATCTTTTTGACACATCTCTTAACTTGGGTTGGCAGTTGGTACATTGTTAGTACATTTGAGTCACCGAGAAAGATCAACTATTCCCTACGACATCCGTTTACATTCAGTCTCTATTTTAATCCCCGTAACAAAGCCCTATTGATACGGGGATTAAAGAATTTGACTGAATTTGAATATTGGAGAGTTTTGATCGTTCAACACACGGGAAGTCAAGCTAATGTCTCTCTGGACGCAATTGCTATAAGCCGTAATTGTGAATCCTTAGAACAATAAGGAACCCACAATGATTTTATAATAAAAAAAAGGTGTGCGTTTAGAAAAAGAAAAATTCATTTCACTATTCCTGCGAGGCGGTACTAACTTCGCTAGACACCGTCCGAAAGTAGGGTTGATAAGTTTAATGAACACAGCAGAAAGTTGGATTGAAAAGAACCTTTTTTTAATTTTGCCATATCAGAAGGAGGGATTCTTTCAATGAATTGATATATTACTACAATATTAAAAAAAAACTGCAAGGTTTATTGTTCAAATTCTATAGTACAAGTGTTTTTAAAATATGATATCAATGAATTGATTATTGATATTTCATTTCGGTCTCGTAGAAACCAACAGTAGGGAATTCAGAAGCAAACTGAGTAACTTCATTCTTCAAATCTTGAATGGATTGGATAGAAGAGCCATCACCGATGTGGTTCTTGAAATCAGTCAATTTCTTACCGGCAGCTTTTGGCTTTTCTTCTTGAGCAATCTTGACGGCACGGTCAATGAAGTTGGCGACCTTGACAAAGTCAGTTTCCTTGAAACCACGACTTGTCATGGCGGGTGTACCGATACGAAGACCACCAGGAATGAGAGCACTCTTATCACCGGGGACAGTGTTCTTGTTGGCAGCAATATTGACCAATTCCAAGATACGTTCAACACGAGCACCATCAATACCTTGAGATCTTAAATCAACTAATAATAAATGGTTATCAGTACCGCCAGACACAAGATCGTAGTTTAATTCCTTGAAACGATCAGCGAAAGCAGCATTGTTCTTAAGAACTTGCTCTTGGTATGTTTTGAAGAGAGGAGATTTGACTTGCTTAAGAGCAACAGACAAAGCACTGATGGTATGATTGTGAGGGCCACCTTGATGACCAGGGAATACGGATTGGTTGATAGCATTTTCTAAGTCATAATGGGTTTCTGAGAAAAAGAAAAAAGAAAGGCTTGTCAGCAATCCAAACGTTCGCGATCTAAGATCATATCTTCTTATGCTTACCTTTTCCTTTCTTATCGACACTTCTTAAACCCTTTCTGAAGAAGATCATAGCACCACGGGGACCACGAAGAGATTTGTGTGTAGTGGTGGTAACGAGATCAGCATGATCGAAGGGGCCAGGTAAGACACCTGCAGCTACCAAACCGGAAATGTGGGCGATATCAGCCATCAAGTAAGCACCGCATTTATCAGCAATCTATAAGATAATGCATGAGTATGAGTATGAGTATGAGTCTTACAATCAAAATAGCTATCGTAGTATAAAAGGGCATTTAGAATCTAAGCTTACGTTCTTCATTCTGGCGTAATCAATATTACGGGCATAAGCACTAGCACCGGCAACGATGATCTTTGGTCTGTAGAGCATGGCATTTTGTTCCAAAGCATCATAGTCAATACGACCAGTAGTTTCATCTAAGCGGTAAGGTAAAGTTTCAAAATAGGCTGAGACTTGGGAAATCTTTTTGTTGGGAAGTTGATAACCATGAGATAAACTGAGGAGAGGCAAATTCAGCTGCTTAGTTAAGGGTGTAAAATAGTTTAAGAACTCTATATATATAATACATACTGTCCACCATGAGGAAGATCGAGACCCATAATACGATCATGAGGCTTCAAGACAGCACCATAAACGTATAAATTAGCGGGAGCACCAGACAAAGCTTGAACATTAACACCCCACTTTTCAGTATCCAAGTCGAAGGCTTCTAAGGCTCTCTTACGACAAAGATTTTCTGACATATCGATGAATTCATTGCCACCATAGTATCTATAATTGAGGGTTCTTGGTTTAGAAATCGGGATTTCTTTGTCCACACATTCTTATAGTCCTTTTACCTAGCACCGGGGTAACCTTCGGAATACTTGTTTTGCATAACGCTTCCGAGCGCATCCATGACAGCTCTTGAAGTGAAGTTCTGTCGTAATTAACGATAAACCTTTAATCTCTCTCTTCTATTGGACGCATCCTTTTTTTTTTCTGGGAAAACCATCCCTACCTCTGAAGGAATAAGATCAATGCTTTCCTTCTGTCTCTTCTTTTCCTTTTCGATGATGTCAAACATTTCGGGGTCGATCTTATCGAGTCTGTCATTCAAGAACTATGTGATAGAGTATGTAAGTTATTTTTCGTTTCTGCGCTTTTTCCGTCTCAGTAACCGACTCACCTCTCTTTGACCAGCAGGGAAAACATATCCACGCTATAATTGAATGCCAAAACAGTGAGCTTCTATTCAGAATATTCGTGATAACAACTGCAGAACCAAAATTGCTACCTTGAATTGGTTAATAGCAGGTCTAACCATGCGGGCGGTGGTGGGCTTGACTGCTACTGCGAAAACTGATCTCAACATTGCAATGCGAATCTTCAAGAGTTACGATGGAACAGGGTAAAGTTGAAGGAAGGAAAAAAGAGAGATAGAAAGAAACGATAATGATTCGTTTTATAACAGTGTTAAAGTATTGTGCAAAATTTAAACTCTAAAAGAGGTAATTGTTCTTCCACCGAGTCAATCCACCGCGTCAAAAAAGTGAAAAATTAAGGATATCATCAAGAGAAAAAAAGAGATTCAAGTTCAATTAAATAATCTCACAATCTGTCCATGTTGGTTATGGTGAGGCTCGTGCACTCATTTAACAGCGTTTGGGCATACCTTGCAATAGACGTGCACTCTGTCTTGAAAAATGAATCATGATAAGCTTCACTGAGTATCGTCAGAGGGACCTTACCAAATGCCTATCTTTCTTTTTGATCAACGGAGAAAAGCAAATATACTTTAGTTACGCAAATCTGGGGTTGACCATTCACATTTCGACATTTGAAGCTCAATCTTTTACTCTGGAAGCATGGTAAGTCTATGGTACTAACAGCACCGCCATTTCAAACCATCTTGTTACTCTGAAAGAAAAAGTCTTAATACACTATTTTCGGTTCAGTTTGGGACATTTTTTGAAAAATTTCATAATATTAATTTATATTATTAAGACTAACTGAAATTGTTAGTGAGACAGTTTCTGAATTTACTGAAATGAGTTTTATTAGATGAACGTTATGAAATACCTAGATTTCTCTAGCAGTTATACAGCTGATGATACCAATGCTTACCTCTTTCGATCATGATGCTTCAAATTTTGACTACTTCACTAATGTTCCACTCAGTTCCTACATGTTAACGAAGGTTTAGAGTTTTTTGTGAATCTCTCTGCAGGTTGTATATTTCGTTGCTTTTCAAGACTCATACACAAGTCCGACGTCCGCTTAATGAGTAGTAGATATCTTCTATGTAAATCTGACCTGCTTTTGTTGGCTTTGTAAAAGGTCGAATTGATGATGTGCAGCTAAACTCTATTAGTCTATTTTATTGATCGTTTACTACTTTTTCGCCAGGCCCCGTCCCTTTTGTGCAATTTGACTTTGGCTAGAAATTGCACATGTGATGGAAAACAGAAATATAAAAATATAATAAGGTTTATTATGAGTTGGGGGAAATTAGAGGGAAAAAAATAAGAAAGAGGTTGGGCTGTTTTAATAACTCTAAAAAATCAAAAATTAAAAAAGGGAAACTATAGATGTGAGAACTCTAAAGAGGCTCCGAGCACCATCAGCTGAAGTATAACATGAAAAGCCTGATGGCAGCCCAATCCCGTCTTGATAGCACTAACAGCACACCAGGTTAGAGAGACCAAACAAAACCACGCGTCAGACAATTCAGCACCAGCGATTTTCTATTCTATATGTTCACAGAAAGGATTTTTACGCAACGTCAGCTATCGATTCGCGGACGTGCCACCATTGTCAATAGCTTACTATTTTCTAAATTGTGGTATGTTTTGCGCCTCACACCCTTCAACCAAAATCAGCTCCACAAACTTCGCCAGGTAGGTACCGCCTTTATCAACCGCGGAATTTTCCCAAAGCTCTCCTTGGAACAACTAACTTCCCCTCGCTCTCAAGGGGGTCTCGCTACACTCGATCCTAACCTTCAACAATCTGCGCTTGTATGGCGTTGGTTAGGCCTATTACTGCGTACGACCGACTCCTCTCGACTAACTGTAGTCATGACATATTTGCTTTATACCTTCAAATGGTTTTGTAAATCCACAATACTACCTTCCTTTCATTACTATCTGTTATTTCCCAACTATCGCAGAGCTCAGTGGTTTCCTCGTATGATTCAGGGCTCTCATCTGTCGTTCATGAATATATTTAAAATATTCACACACGCGATTGACTCCACCTCCTTTTCTATTCGAACTAGTTCTCTGAATCCTTTTACAACCCTCCCCTTATCCATTCTAGACGTTCTTCAATCCCCTGAGACGGATCCCCACCTGTTGTCTCGATTAGTGGGTCAACACCCTGGCGTGAGAGATATCCGTACTACGGACGTTTTACCTATGATTTTGCCCAACTACGAATTTGACTACGGAATGCCGATGAGGTTATCGGTCATCGAAACCTCACCTACCTTCTACGTAGCTTGATATGGTCCGGTCAAATGCAACTACGACCTTTTCTGCATCATCAATGTCTACCCGCCCAACGCATCGAACCACCTACCCTATCCACTGCTGATGACTATATTGATCTGCAACCGATTCTGGTCTTCTTTTTCTCCACGAAAAGTTCTATTCCAGATACTGCAATTTACAGCCCACAGCATTACCGTTCCTTGCTTCCGCCGTCCCCTCACCATTCCGATGCGCTTTACTGTCCCTCATAACGACAATAAGATGACTTTAAATAAAACCGGTGTGATTCTCCCATACAAAAATAGAAGGGATTTTTAGGTCTTTGTGGGATTCTAAAGGATCGAGACATTGGCAACTTTAAACGAATATGAAGCCGTTGTGAGGTAACTCGCTCCAAACTCATAAAAAGAAGTGTTTTTATAAGGTTATTACCCTTTATGTAACTTATTCGAATTGAATATTTTTTCAACGTAAATTCATTGTTAGAAGAATTAACCACTTAGTGATACCAATAATCACTCGTCCTTCTTTACAGAAACATAGTCTTTATTTCATATTTTAGGAGTACAACAAAAAAAAAAAAAACAAAAAAAAAAAGTTGTAAAAGTAGCTTATAAGGGAGATGACTATAGTTTGTTCTTGGTAGTTATAGTTCATAGGTAATTGGACAAAATACTTGATTAGTTAGTTAATGTCACTAGAAAAAAACATAATAAACCCTTAAGTCATCTTTCATTATCATGGAAGGGAAGTACAAAAGCCTACATCCCTAATGCAATAGTTGAATACTCGACAAGACTTTGGCCAACAAGTTCTCAAGCCTAAATACTGACAGGAGCCCCCCTTGATGAACTTTGTAGAGGGTACAAAACTGCATCAATTGATTTCTTGGTGGAAACATGTAGATATTGCAGCAGCTTTGTTAACAGTTGCATCCATAGAAGAAGCGAATAATTTAAAGGAAAAAATGTGACTTGAACTGCTTAATTGAGCCTCTTAACCTCTGATGGTTAAATGCAAATATTAAGCTTGGGAAATAAGATTTTTTATTCTTTGTTCTTTTATCTCATGAAGGATAAAAATTAGAGGAATACGAAAAAGACTACAAATACAAAGAGTGAATTAAAGCGTCCCTCACAACTAGTGAATCACCACTTGATTATTTTTCATTCGCAGAAGAATGGGGCTGGATGAAAAACCATCACTCAGATATGTTGGACAATCTTTCAAAAGATTAGTCAAACCAACTCACTGCTATTGTACTTGAGGTAAAGAATTTGTTCAAGGTGCGAATAGTATTTACAAACCAAGAAAACATGGATTTAGTAAAATACCTTTTGTTTTACTTTTTAATTGAGTAGAAGCGGAAAGGAAACTGTTCATGCTGTTCCTGCGGTATTGCTTATAAAAAATACTGGAAGGAAAAGAATCAATAAGAATTAAAGGAGGTTGTTACTCGTTAACAACAAAAAACAGCAGCTGAAATGAACCATACAATTTGCGAAAATCTTGTGTCTCTGACAGAACAGGTAAATTGAAGAGAAAAGTGTGATATCTCTTGATATCAGAAATAATAATTCAAGTTAAGTAGAGACTAAGTTAGTCAGCGAGACCGAACAAGAGTCCTTGTATGGTTTTATTTCGGTTTAGAATTTAGATGAATTGTACAAGGCCACTGCGAGATATCCGCATTTACGTAAGGTTGAAGTGTGCCTGATGATATTTGTCCCAGTGTGCCTGGAATCTTATTTGTTCCAGCACAGAACTGGTTAAGGCAGTAAGTTTGAATTGTTTCTCAGATTGTTATATGAATCAGAGGTCAGAACGTGACCAAAAATATCCTATGAGCTGCGTATTTAACATGCTAAAATTGATAGATGAATGATGCGCGTGAATTCAGCTAGGGCATAAATTGCTCGAATTCACGCGCAGACGAACACACTGACAAACACGCAGGCGAAAACGCAGACGAACTTTCAGATTCACCACAAAATTATCGTATCGATTCAATATTGGAACACTCTATCGAGTCATACACGGATAGGTAATCATAATAATTGAAGCTAAACCTAAATTTCACTCATATAATTGTTCCAAAAAAAAAAAATAGAGTTGGTTTCTTAGGAATCATTGACCTCACTGCAGATAATGTCATCAGAATGTTAAAGGAAGCAAATGAATATGAAGGCATCATGAAAGCTTCCTCTTTGGATGATGTTAAACTGTCAAAGCATACTGAAAAATTATTGGACGCCTTCAGAAGTACAACTCCCTCTGCCAAGTCAATTAGAACAGTTCTTCATACTTATGGAAATCCGATAGACTTTGATGTGTTTGAACATGCTGACTTCGGGTTCATCCAGACAACAACAAGACATTTGTAAATACATTAAAACAATATTCTCCTGCTTTATTATCTAATTAAAATATTCTTCCGTTCATTTAGTCTTGATCTTACTGAAGGTCCTAGAAACCCCCTTCTTGGCAGTTTGAAAGAACATACAACAGAAATTGCCCTAGCTTTTCAAAATGGGGTCTTTAAGATCACAAAAAAACCAAAGCCAAGGCTTCCTATGTGTACACACATTCCGCAACTGAAGAGCTTCATTGAGACTTTACTGTATAACGTAATAAATATATATATGTATATATGTATTCGAGAATCAATAGCTTACTTTATTATAGGCTTTCACCGAATTGGAAGATATCATTGAGTATACCAGAAGTCTGACAGAGCACAAATCCGAATGTAGATTTGTGAAGAGAATCTTTTCAGTTAGTAGGCACGACAGCATTTTTATTCCTAAAAGTACATACTCATTTTAGGTTAATAAGGCTAACATGGTTATCAATGACGTGTTTAGTGAGATAACAACTACAATACTTGAGGACGTACAACCAGATAGACAATACATTCTACCACTGTCTATTTATATTGCATCTAATACAGCTTATGTACAACATACAACAAGATAGAGGATTGATGTATAACACAAGAAGCATCTGAACTTGAAATTAATGACTAGCAACATTTCCCCACAATAATATGAAATACCACCAGCTATTGATCTTTCTTCTTTTTCTTTTTCATCCGAAGAATAATAACCATACAAAGTTCATGGACATTGACTCGTAACTGTTATCAATTTCCAATAATAAGCAAACATTCCAACAAGTCGCCTTCGAAGACACATTCGGAGGCGACCTTCAACTACGAGGTGCTTCATCCTTGCCTCGAAGTCATTGTTAACCTTCTCTCCCCTTCCACGCAATTTGAATCCTATTACGTACGCGGTAAAGAACCTCTCAGCGCAATAATCGAACAGCTGGAATTAAAAGGCTCAAAAGTCGACCGCAGGAAAGTACACAATGCTGATGGCATAATTCGGCTACGCGGTTTTTATGACATTGAGGTTCTCTTGTTGGAGACGTCCGGTCACTTCCGAAACAAGGACACGAGGAAAATCTGCTTCGACAACAACAAAGGTATGTTCGCTCTCCTCGCCATGCTCAAAAGTACTGCCGATCACTTTAATCGTGCTATACCTGAGACTCTCCGAAATCTGAAAGCCTTTCTTTGTTCTGGCCAGCGGTAAGACAACAAAGTTAGAAGGATGGACAAGAAAAAAAAAAAAAAAAAAGAAAATAACCAACCGATCAAACCCTAAATATAGATGAGCACATTCGTTGCTGGTCAGCTCAGTATATCAGCAATGGCATCTATCAGTTTGCTTTGGAGGACAAAGTTGAAGTAACAGAAGACAGACAGCGAATCCAACAATCATCAGTCTCACTGTTAGACTTTTTTTTTAATGTGAAGGTAATAATTTTTCAATTGTTTGAGCTATATTACAATTCCTACATGAACGGCTATATAAACTTGTCTAGCAAAGACTTTTGCTGTGTTACAAAAACTTGAACGTGAGAATGAGGAAAACAACGTGGTTAGTAGCCAGGAAGTTTTACTTTCTGACATTATTTGTTCCGAGGTTCTCCGTTTGACTTACATTACTCATGGAGAGGGGTTTGGAACGCAAAAACTTGAATAAAATGTACACATGTCTAATTCATAAAGTTTAGAGCATTTCAGCTTCCCGAGCTTTTCTTAATATTATTTAACATTGAGTTGTTAACAGCTTATTACTGTGTGCTCAGCCATTAAAACACAGCGCACCTGTTGCATTAAAGCTGCTGTTAACAGCTTTGTTATTGATATAGTCTAATTTACAGAAGGTTTTTGTTTTGAACCGAAGTAGAGAGCCAAGACCGCTTTTGCCATTCCCAACAACGCTACATCAATCAGATGCGCTTCTTCAACATCGCAACCAGGAAGAAATTTACAATCAAACTACAATTAATTCTTAAAGGGCTCATAGGCGTTTCTTGTCAATGAAATTCACACATTATTTATATACCACTTTCAAAAACACTAGCAATGGAAAAAAAAGAAAAAAAAAATGAATTGAGGCTTCTTGTAAATCTTATTAGTTCAAGGATTATGATAGACTAAGTCAAGTAGCGAGACTAAGATATTGATTGTCTTTATTTCGATTTAACATTAGGGTCTCTTTTATATCTTTTGAGATGAATGGTTTGTTTAGAGAAATTACACGTATGAGACCTTATGAGTGATACGGGGAAAATAGATAATACACATAAGGTTATTGCGTATATTTGGACTAAGGGATTATTAGAGACATCACAATAACTTAGCTTCTTGAGAAGGCATTACTATATGAGCTTTTGGAAGAGCTAAACAAGAATAGAGTGAAAGGTTCTCTTTTTTTTTAAAAAAAAAACTGTATTGAAGTAATAAGATTATAGATTGAGCGAGATGTTGAACAATTAATAAGAATACAGAAATATGACTCATTTACAAAAGCAGGTAAAAGCCTCTTTTTCATCTATCTTATTTGCTAGTTGTTGACTTTATAAGTGAGCGCTAGGCTAAGGTTGAAAAATAACACCAAAGGCACTCAATTAGACAGTAATAATGCTCTGATAGCACGTTTTGTAGAAGCCTGAAAAACCAGTTACTCGTGAGAATTTTGAGGGTTGGTTCAGGCACGCTGAAGGGAGAGATGCGTGCAGAAAGAAGTGGGCCCAAAAATAAAAAAGCGTACCGTACCGTACCAAGGATAGTTTACTGAAAATGTCCCAATTTTAAAAGAATAATTGTCTGAAGTTTTGTTAATAAAAAATTCAATTTTTATCTAAAAACGTCTAAATCAGAACCGAAAAATAAATATTTTTTCTCCGCTCTCCTTCTTTTCGAGATCCAAGGTCGGCATTTTATTTTTCATTTTCTTTTCTCAAGTTCTCTCTTTTCACTCCTTTCAATATCCATTGCTTTTCTTCATTAAACACTTGATATACAGTTGAAATCATGTTTGAGTTATCGATACAAGATATAGAGAATAATATAGAACAGTTTGTGCATGATTTGGACGAGGCTGTTTATATCTGTTCTGAGCGCGGCATGATAGAAGCTTCTTTATGGTATGGTAGCGATGTATTCTATCTCAGGAGATATAGCAAAATACTTATGGTTATTACGCGGCTAAAACCATAGAAATGCACCTATTTTTTTGTTTCCAGGGCACTTGAAATGGTGATTGGCTACGATCCAATTAGATCAGGCAAATGCAAAACTAGCGACGTAGAAAAACCCGACCGTGAAGCATTGTTATCGATAGGAATGTCAGCAGATGAATCAGACCAATACCATCTTGCACTATCATTATTCAAAAATCGCGATTATAAGCAAGCGATAGAAGTTTTAGGCGAACCCATGCATCCTAAAACTACGTTTTTACGGTTTTACTCAGAATATAAGGTAGTCAAACGAGTGAAGAGAGAATATTTTTTACATAAGGCCGTTTAATTGAACATTCAATGTAGTTATTCGAAAAGAAAAGTGAAGGAATAACCTTTGATAGATTAGCAAATGGCCACGATATATTTTCAGCAATGGCAACTGACATTACAGAACTGGAATCATTATCCGAAGAGCTAGAAAGACTTTTTAATAAAAAAAAACTAGACCCATTTGGATTGTATATCTACGGCGTAGTATTATTGAAGCAGCACAAGAGACGATTACATCAAGATCATCATCACTATCCAGATCAAAAACAAGAGCAAGAGGAGACAAATACTTTAGAAGCCACAGCTAAAAAGGTACTGATAATGTCGATACGTGGTTATCCCTATAATTGGTCAGCGTGGCTGGAGCTGGCATCAACAGTATACAATTACGAGCAATATGCCGACTTTCAGATACTATTAAAAATTAGATTGATGGATGATCCATTTATTGAAACCCCTGTCAAAATTATGGTTAATCTGATTCTGGCAAGAATATGCAGTTTCCTTGAGCTCAATATTGATCTGTATGCTGAAGTTATTATACACTTGAAGCAATATTATTTCCGCAACAGTCCTTACATGATAGGCGAATGGGCTAAATACTTGTACATTAAGAAAGGTAAGTGTTGCTGGACAGCTGTCTTTGGTGATTATTGCAGTTACATTATTTGACATAACCGTTTCCGACCTTATCTAGATCATATTGAAGCAGCAAGAGTATTTCGGGAATTGAGGGCTATGTTCCCTGCGAGAATGAGTGAAATGGAAATATACTCCAGCTTATTGTTTCATACAAGTGATAAGCAAGAACTGAAAGAGTTGGCCGATATTTGTACAAGCACCAACGAGGGTACTGTAGAGGCATGTATTATCAGAGGCAATTATTTCAAGATACAGAACCAATTTAGTCAATCCAATGATTATTTCACGAGAGCCATCATGGTGCAACCGGATAATCATATGGCGTGGTTAGGCCTAGGCCATAATTATCTGGAACTATCTAAACCTCTAGCTGCCGTAAAAGCCTACACTCAAGCTATAGGTAACGTTTAAAATGCGGCTACAGTAAACAGTATAGATTAAAAACGAACTAACATTGATTTCCTGCTGATGTAAATATAGCGATCAAAGAGGACGATTATCGTTCTTATTTTGGTTTGGGTAGAGCCTATGAGATGATGAAAGCTATCAAAGATGCACTACATTACTATCAAAGAGCGAGTGATTTGTGTGGAGATGATACATATGCTTGGATGTCTTTAGGTGAGAGTTTCGAAAGACTTGGGAAGCAAAGCAAGGCAAAAGAATGCTTTGCCAAAGTTAACATTCAGCGTGCATAATCAGATGAAAGTCAGGCTGAAACATTGAAAACATTCGTATAGCAACAATCTTAGCAATGACAATGATGCTTGCGGTATACATCTCAAAAGTATGATTCGCTGAAACGGGACATATATCGCTCAACAGGTACATGAACGGGCTGACAACTGTGATAATTGAATGTTGTTATGCGTGATCTTTGAACAGAAAGTATGTATTTATAGGATTTATTCCCGAATGAAAGCACTGTTGAGCATATTTTTTACTTTTGTCAAATATAGTACATCAATTTTTGTAAAGAAATACATTTAAATACTTATTTTCGGTTTGACACATAAACTTCTACTTTACACTTCTTGGGCCAAGTAGCCTCTGTTTTTAGGATCAGAATAGTAATCTATAAAGAAAATGCCTTGTCTGAGTATAACTGATATCGATTGGTATTTATGCAGGTAACGCATTGGAACTTACTGATTTCTTCCTTCCTCAGGGGTCGAGCTAATTTTGGCAAGACAGTGAATTTTTCAGGGTGAATGAGTGATCTTAATCCTAAAGCATTATAGTAGCGTGTCACTATCTTTCCACCCGCTTTTTCTACAGCTTCAATTGCCTTTTGTGATGCTCTTGATACTTCAATTGTAATAGGAATCTTAAATGTTTCAGCGCCCTAATACGAACAGTTTATAAAGTGCATATTCAGTATGTCTGATAGTCCTCGATTGGTTTATTCTAATCGGCTACTCACGTTGCTCAATAATTTGACGCCATCCTCAATTTTGTGTATGCATCGTGAGTCTAATAAATGTTTCATGGTGATAGGCTGTGAAGCATCGATTCTGCCTGTTTGAATCCAGTGTTGTAAACGATCCAGATTAACCTCTTGGTATTCTTTGCCGTGTCTGATTTTTGATTAGATGAATCACTGTTTTAGCGCATGGTGTACAGTGAGTGTTCTGGAAGAGGAAAGAACTTACATATTGTTGAAACCACGCTTGGGTATGCGTCTAACTAAAGGCGTTTGACCACCTTCAAACCAAGGCACAGGCTTACCATTACCTGATCTTGCATTTTGACCTTTATGACCTCGACCAGAGGTTTTGCCTTTGCCGGAACCTGGACCACGACCCACACGAATTGGCTGTAATTATAATGAAAGATACTCAGTGCTGCTTCAATTTGTTTAACTGTGGATTTCGCTACTGAACAAAACATGCTTATATTGCCCTTATAGGTCAAACAAAAATTTGTACCTGAGTGACAGCTCCCGGATTATCTGCTAAATGAGCAAGATCGATAGGCGTTTTTGGCGGTTTCAGAGGCTGTGTTGATAATTGTCTACTAAAGACGGCAGTGCGTTTGAGGAATGTTGAGGAAAACATTTGACAATTAAGAATCTATGAAATGCCTCAGTGAGATAAGCAATAAAAAAGAAAAGCAATAGCTCCGTGAAGAAATTCAAGGGTGGGGTCGAAAATCAGAAGCAGCGAATGGAATTCCTCTATGCTTCTTTTCAGTCAAGAAAGCGGGGTGTTGATTTTTGAAATTCAGATCAGCTATTTTGACTATGGGCTATTGCACGCAATGATCTGCCTGTCGAGTGCAACGTTTCTATAAAACTAGCCATTAAAAATATCATGCAATAAATATAGGTACAGCGCATCCATGATAAAACTAAGCAAGGTCAAATTGAATTATTTTTCATCATGCAGCTTATATGGATAACTCATTACTCAGTACATCCAAAAAACTCGGCTCTTCTGAGCTCGGATAGTTCTCAAGTTGCTTCACAAAAGGTAGAGAAACAATCGATTTAACCACTGTTACCATCTTTGCTGGCGTTCTCAAATCTAATCAAAGATGCCAAAATTTTCTTTTTTAGTTTATTTATTGTTCAATGTCAACAACGTGTCCAAATATTTAAAATGTCTCTCCTTGTGTTTTTCTTCAACGATGGTGGCTAGGCTAATATGACAAACGATAATAAGAGCCATTCTATTTTATAGAAACTTTTTTTTTTCAAAGTTCGGCTACAAAATATATTACAAAGTATCTTTGTATGTCTTTCAAATAACCTTCTCGTTAACACGTAAATTATGTACAACTGTATCTTGGTCAATTTCGTTCATTAACCATCTATTTTAATCGCGGAGGAATACTTGAGCATATCAAGTGTCAACAGAATTGTAAAAGAAATTGGAGCCTAACCCAGGAGGAACAGGTGGGATTTCGGGCGCTGAATGGGGTATTTCTATTCTATCACCGGCAATCTGTAGTAGTTTAGCTTTCACACCCACTTCCGTTAGCGTATGAAACAGTTCAGCTGTCTCTTTTGATGTAAATCGGTTGAACAAAAGCATACTGAATCCGTCTTTCCATTCTGCGGCTTGTGACGTTGAGGAACAATAAAACTCTGCCAACAGTCTATTGTTCTCTTTACTGTAAAGCGCAAATGAAGACGCCCTATTTTGCTGAGCTGCTGTCTCTGTAGAGGTATCTGATGACGTCGATACATGTGAGCCTAATATATGACTACTACTGCTATTTACATTACTGTTGATGAGTGTAGAGGATGAACGTGGTAGGGACAGTGGGTTGGTATTGCTGCTGTTACTGTTGCTATAAGTACGAATCGTTCGAATTTCACTCACTTCACTTAAATCGATATGGTTTGGCAGACTGTCATATGTATTGATAACGGGCATGATTTTGTCTGAAAAATCACCATACATAAGATACTGCTTGGACCGACTTAGTTTGTAATAGCGCCATCGCCTGAATCCCCCACCACCACTGGCTCCACTTCCTTGATGATGGTTGTTACCAAGATGCGTTCCGGCGACGTTGATGCTTGACCCTACTCCCGAATGGATAGCTAAAGAGGAGGGCGTCAATCCAGACGGTAAAATACTACTGTTGATTGTATTGCCACCCATAACCGATAAACGTTGTTGATGCGAAGCTGAAGCAATCAATGGAAACCAGCAACCCTCTAATAAACAATGGATACGTTGGTTTTTAAGAAATTCAAACGATTCTTTTGATAATCTGGAACGTAGATTGCTATACACCATAAACAATAAACAGCCCATCGTCCCCAAAAGGGGCACTTTAGAATCACTGCAACTCTATCTTTCTTGTTTAATCTTTCGTAGCATTTTTCTATTACCTTATAGCATCTCTACCTAACAAGTCGTCAGCCCATTCCAACTCTTTCAGTCTTCTATCGCGGATTCTTTCATAAGGTGTACTAAACATGGTCTCATCAAAGCTAGTGATATCATTGATTGTACTGTCATTCAAAACAGCCCTTAACTGACTTCTTGCTAATGCTGATACTTTCGGTAGATCAGAATTGGTCGCTTCCATATCTCGAAAGATCCTAAAGTATGTTTGTAACGTGGTGGCATGAATATGATCAAAACTTAAAAGTAGGGCTTGAAAGTCAGCTATCGTCGTGTCTGTAATAAAAAACTCATGAAGGGTTAGCCTTCCAAAAAAAAAAGTATTTCCTAAAAAATGAAAGTCTTTTGTCTAATCCACTGAACTCATCCTTACTCTCAGAAATACTCCAATGACGACATAGAAGCTCTGTCACTTCTATACTAGCTCTTGCAAATGGGCATTTTTTGTTATCAGGACGGTGCAATTGATCTATGTACAAAGTATCGAATGCCTCTTTATGCTTGGTTATGAAGGAATGCATCTGCTCCAAGCCTAGCAGGCCAGTCCTGATGAACTCTCTTTGTGGCACTTCTGACTAGAAAAAAGAAGAGTTGAGGGAGCATTAAAAACCCCATGATAGACAGGACGAGGTTAGAATAATGCAGGAGGGGCTTACAGAGAAACCAATCTTCTTCCAGCAGCCTTTAGTCTGACTATAAGCAGCATGTACGTCTGATGTTGCTTTTGTTGCCGCTACCGTCGAGGCTTTCAATATTTCATTTAGCATGGCTGTAAAGCTTGCGTTCTGAGCGGAAACAGGCCTATTATAGCGCCTGTGGACATTTTTTATGAACGCCGTTTGATATTCAAGTATCAAAAGTTTCATCTCTTGGGACGGGTGATTCTTCATGAGTCTCTAAAAATGATATTGCAGTTTCATGTAAGCCGGGTGAACGGATAGCTTTTTTTTTTCTGATGGAATATTTACCAATATCATCTTTCTTAAATTTGCTTTGTCGTATTCGTTGGATAAGAATGTAATATACTCATCTGTAACATATTTCATCATAGCTATGAGTAAATTCATACTGATGATGGAAAGTAAATATTCCTGACTCATCAGTCTATCCACTAATGTTTGTATCAGCTTTGTCTCTTTTTCAATCACACTGTGTACTGTAGCGTAACCGTAGCATTCAATTTTTTTACAGTTCTTGTTATTATTATTATTATCAGCTACTGCTGCTGCTGCTGTTGTGACTCCTGCTGTGACATCCTTGCCGGTACTACTACTATTATTATGACTGCTGTTATTTGCAGTAGCAGTAGCACAAATCAACTTGAGTAAAATGGCTGTGGCTGGTCTAGCAATAGTAGCCAATTGCTCGTTCACAACGATATGTCCAATGTAGGTGATGAATTTGATATCCAAGGAGTCCCAACCAATTTCGTGCTCCATCAGTGACAAAAGAGAATTCAGTGCATAAGCGAGAGTATTTCCGCTGGAGTTCAGAATGATATCACATAAAGATTGGAGACCATCCTTTTCCAGAAATTCAACAGCAAAGTCTCTGTCCTTTGAAGAGAGTAGCAAATAAAGTGTTTATTTTTCTTGCTTTGTGTCTTCTTTGCCTATCATGAGCTTACTTTCAAATAGGTTTGTAAAGAAAAGGTAGCAATCTTTAGCGATTTGTCGTCTTTTGTTGATGTGCCATCAGCATGGTTATGGTCAGAGTGATGACTACTGTTCAAACTAAAACCAGAAGATAGCCTTTTTATTGTTTCTTGGACAGTTGGTTTATCATTGAGATTATGTACGTTTGACATTTCGACGTAGATCTGCTATAACTGCCTAGTTCAGCCATAAGCAAACAATAGCGCCGACAAAAGAAAAGAAAAAAAAAAGCTATACCAATGACAATCAATGGATGATGGTTGTACAAATATATATATTTATTGTATTTACTGTGGAATGTAAGCTGTTGGAAACGTAAAATACACCTTTATTGATAACCCCGTTTGACTTGTCCTACGTGTCTTTTTCATTTTTATGCGATTCAACTGCATGCATTTGATTGAATATGTTCCGAAAGTATATTTCATAAGCAGACTAAAGGAATGATTTACAGTAAGGTGGGTCAGCATTTTTTAAACTCAACCCTCTCGGTCAATCATTGGTGGATGTGAGACACCTCATTCAGAACGGATTTCCCAGAAAAAATTTGCTGGTTTTGTTTTACCTTTTCGCTTCTTTTTTTTCTTTTTTATTTTTTGAAATTCTCTGGAAAGCTTCTCTATAGATATTTAGTCGTATCTTCATTCATCTTTTCAGTTAGTGGATCTTTTTGGTGAAATGAGTATCATAGTTATTGATAAGGATCTCAATGAAGATCTGCTACATATCAACGACGAAACTATGTACTACAATTCGCCATTTTCAATGGACGATATCCTTAGTACGAGTATGACGGATGCCAATAACATGAGTAACAACAGTAACAGCATTGGTCGTAACCATCCAATTGAAAAGAGATCACCGATGGACTCTAGTGAAGAAGAAGAAGAAGAAGAAGAAGAAATTGAAGATGAAGAAGAGCACTCTTATTACAAAGATGATAGTATCTTGGATAATTTTGAACGAGAATTTAGATTAACACAACCATTACATGCACCCCCACCTTCACCGCAAGCTCCTTCTATGTTGGACATGTTTTTTTCAAAGAAATTGAATGCATCCTTAGAATATTTAGACCATCATCAACAGCAGCAGCAGCAGCAGCAGCAGCAGCATCAGCAACAACAACAACAACAACAAAACAATGCACATCTACAGTCTATCACTGTTGCGACTGCGGGTGCTGCAAGAAGATCCAGTCTTCAAATGGCAAAACCCGCAGCCTCAGCTTTGATAAATCCGCTGGCAGAGCATGCAAAGGCATTAGATGCTTTACTGCGGAAAACTATAAAACAGAAAACTGCGGAACGCCATTGTATATTTAAAAAATGTAAAAAGTCTGCATCGTCCAGCAGCATTATTAAAGCATTAAAGAATCGTCAACATTCCCGTCATTCCTTATCAGAAGAAGATATCATCCAAGAATTGAAAGATATGGGCCTGTAGCCCTTTTTTCTTTACACTCTATTTATACATATTTTTATATTCACTAATTCCTTTTGTACATATTTCGCCCTCGTTATCATTGACACTAACTGATCAACAATCCAAAATGCCACTCCATCAAGGCCTCAAAATAATGAAAAAAAAAAAAAAATTAAAAAAAAAGCAATAAACTATTTCAAAAACTATGTTTCCATACATGTAGTTTGATTATAATGCTTTTAAAAAAGTAAAAAGAAAATGTACGTATGTGGAGTATATACATAAGCGTAAAATAGGCTTTTTTTTTTTTTTTTTTTTTTTTTGTACGTAAAACGAGGTTGTCAAATGCTGACATGATCTATCTATATATGAGAGACAAGCTTTTTTTTTTACTTTCTTCGTCGTGTGCAGCAACCACCATAAAGATCCCAAACTGAACAAACGATATAGGCTACAAAGGCAACAAAGCCCCAAAAGATACTGACGTTGTAGAACGCACAGAATTTACCTGTCAGACCACATCTAAACTTGGCAATTTCTACAATGATACCAATACCCCAAAGCACTGCAAATAATAGATCGATAGCCAACATAATAGGTCGATTCATCTTTTGTTTCTTAAAGAGTCTTCTATAACAATAAAACATGACATGGTAGAAGGCCCATACAATGGATGCCGCTGCCTACAAAATGCATGGTAATTCAGTGCCAAAACAAAAGAAAAAGATTAAAAAAAAAAACTCTAAATGAGAATTCTAATGTACATGTATGCACGGCTTGACACCATCGAATAAACATTTACCACTGCGAATAAATAATAAAAGCATGCTGTTGTTGAGAAAGGGGGCTTTTCATGAGAGTACTATGACAAGCATAAGAAGAGAACAGTCAGTCCATCCATCACCGAAATGCTTCCAAAGCGACTCATATTACTACTTACAGGTTGTGCACCTGCTGCGAAACCTAAATGACCAATACTTGTGATCAAGACGACAAAACGCAACCAAAAACGATATCTATTGGGAGTATGATAAACTTCTCCATTCCAAGGATCTGGTCCGACGGAGGTAGTAGTTTCTGTTGCTGTTGTTGCTGCGTGATGCGTTGATTTATCGGGTGGAGGAGAAGCGGCTGGAATATTGGAATAAGCACTGGCTGCTGCTGCTGGTGGCTGGTTACCGTAACGAGTACCAGCAAATTGATAAGCATCCCCACCAGCAGGACCTATGGGAGAAGGCGGAGCCTGCTGATGGGTTGCATAAGGCGATTGAATCTGTGGTGATGGAGAAGCATACGCAGGTTGTTGTTGAGGAGACAAAAAAGAGGACGATTGAGGTGGTTGACCATAAGCGGATGGTTGTTGCTGGTTATAGGCGTGGTTATGATCGTACTGCGTTTTGTTCGATTCATCTCCCCAAGCATTATTGTATCCTGTTGTACTGAATTGGCTATTATATGTCGCTGATGGGTTGTATGCAGTATTGTTGTTATTATAGGAACTATATCCATTGGTAGGTTCATTATCGTAAGCATTTCCGTAGATCGGCCCTGACCCACCACCTCCTGTATTTGATGACTGCCATGGATTGCTTTCAAATGGGTTTGACATAATCTGCTGTGTAACTCTAAAATAGTGTCAAAAAGGAAAAAAAGAAAAAAGAAAGCACAAAATAAAAAATGGGTCCAATTTTGCGGGAAAAAATAGTGTGTTTTCAAAGGCGGAGTACAATATAAAAGCCAATTGTCGGGTCATTTCATGCTCAAAGAATTAAGATGAAATATCGCGAAGCTCTTGTCTAAACAAACGGATCAAGTTGGCATAGTAAAAGTTAGACTTCCCATATTAGCTGCCTTGGAAGTCGTACTGTTTCCTGCAAACAGCAATTTGTGCATAGAGTTTAGTGGATAAAATAGTCAAAATACCCAGTCAATTTACACTTGCATCATACGCGAATATTGGCTGTGGCATCAACGGTAAACAGAAAATATTCACTATGATTTGATCGAAATGCAACCACATCACCATAGAGGCCTGCTGTCTACAGTGTGCTAGTTTATAAAGTCCGTTGTTGAAGGTAGCCGTGTCAGATAAAACTGCTCAGCAGCGATATAGTCGATTCTATAAAAGAAAGGACAGCGAATCATAACGTTGGTATTTTGTTAAATCAGAAAAAAAAAAAAAAAAAAAAAAAAGTTTGTCTCTGATTTAATGCAATCAGATTAACTTGCACTCTTTCCTATTGCCCGATGTTTTCACACATTTAGTCGCTGAGCCTACCATTGAATCATATTGTTACTATCACTGAAGTTTGCTGTAGTTTTTCAAAGATTTATTGACCAGGAAGGTCTATACTGCATCATGAGCAATGCTATTCATAGTGAATATAACATCGGTAGCGATAAATGGTAATGCTAGTAGTCACTTCTTAAATGGGTCTCTATGATTGTATACACTCATCTTTCACGACAATCACAGAAATACCTCTATACAACTTCAAGGCCTATCGTATGGTTGTGTTTGCTTTCAATCTGCAAATTATGTACTTATCACAAGCAGGTATTACCATCGTTGAAACTTTTAAAAGACAATGCTGTCATGACAATCAGTGAAAAATGGGCTCGGTCCATCTTAATAATGTAAATCCCTAAGCGGGAGGCATTTCAGCATACTCCACCCCTCTCCACTTATGGTTCCAACGTGTAACCATTTGCTCTAGAATGACTGACATGTATCGTCGAATAGACGGTCTTGATCGGTACCCTTGATTAAAAGCAGTTTTATGTATTTTCAGTTTTACAATAATGAAGAAGAGAATACATTTGATGATTGCATGTTTTACTATGAACACATAATTACGTATCTATCTCTTTTCTTGATTACTTAAAGATACAAACAAACAAACAAAAAAAAAAACGGAATGGTTTATGCAAAGTTGTTCATTCATTTGCAGCTGTCAAATACTGCGAGAACCATTCCTTTACGTCTACACTACTTGTGTCGATGCCGAACTCTTTGAGGCGCTTGTTTGACAGGTGGGAATCTTCTGGTCTCGAAACTAATAAAAGCAGATTCTGTATTAGACAAGAAAAGACACAAGAAGAAAAGTAAAGCTATTGATGTATACTTTACCGGAAGCACTCTTATCAACTGTATTCTGTGGTGTCAAATGGTCAATAGATACTTTTTTAACAGCAGCAATCAATTCTGCACAACGTAAGTTTGAAGCAATGATGTGAGTTCATTCTATGTTCTTTTGAAGCGATTTCTTAGCTTGTTCTGTTCTTTTGAACGTAAAGTGCTTACCACAGACTTCCCACTTGGTCCATGCTTCTTCTCCAGTAAAATGAAAGATACCTTGGACGTCATCTCTCTTCTTTTCGAGGCGTTCAACTAAAATCCAAAATGAAAATAATAAGTTTGCTAAATGGGATTGATAGGGTATAACACAATTTGCGCAAAGTATACCTGCCAAGTCTTTGAGTACTCGAGCCACATCCTTGACTGCCAAAGGAGGAAAAACCATTTTAAAGATCAGTAGGCATACTCTAAAGTGAATTGTTTTCTACAATGAGAAACTTACCATTCGTAGGATAGCGCTTTCCGACATTGTCTACAGTTCCTTTTTTATCACGGTTCTAGATTTTAAACAGTGGGTTAGCTCTAAAGAGGCCGAGAACGACGACTTTTTAAAATTCATAGAACACTTACCATGACTACATCAATCAAAATGTTGATAGCAGACTCTCCATTGAATTCCGTGACACCGTAGAGGATAGGGACACGAAGGATGACAGCTTCAGGATACACAGCTCGAATGGCTTCCTCGCCAGCAAGCTTTGTCTCTCCATAGAATTGCAAGGGATGAGGCTTATCATCCACTTCGTAGGGTGGATTTTTACCGTCAAAGACATAATCTGTGCTAATGTAGATAAGCATGATGTTTCTTTCCTTGCAGAGCTTTCCGAGCAATTCAGGAGTTTGAACATTCAACTATTCTCATGTCATCAAATGAAGCACATAAAGAGGAACATAAGCGGTCTGCATAATTCGGGAGAAAAAAAAAAAAAAAAAAAAAAAAGTCATCCTAACTTACGCGCTTAGCTGCGTCACGGTCCTTGTCAGCAACATCAGGTCGTCGCTCAGCCGCACAATGAACAATAACTAACATAGGGAAAGCGTGAGCTCATTTCATTTTGCCTTCTCTCTGTTTGTGAGTTTGTCAATACACTCCTTACCATCCGGCTTTTGTTCATCGAGGAAGGATTTGACAGCAGCAGTATCAGTCAAGTCCAACTAGTGAACGTTCATGCAGCAAAGGGTGTAAAAAAAAAGGTGATGGCGTTGGTGGATGCATTGTACTACAATAAAAACTTCAGACATACCTTGATCAATCCGTTGTTGGCTCGAGAAAAGGCAACGCCGACAGCTGTTCATAGTTGACCGAGTTATACAGATGCCGGTTAGAGTTCTATTATTTTGCATTGCATACATTTTTTTTTTTTTTCTTTCTTTTGCTGCACTACTCGTTTTCTTTACCATCCCAGCCAGCATCTTGAAATTGCTTTAAAGTAGGTCTGCCTAAAAGACCAGAGGCACCAGTGACAATAGCTTTCATTATAATTATCGAGACACGCAAATATTAAACCCGGAACAAAGGTACAAAAATGCCGTTCAACTGGGCTTTTTTTTATTCCATCTCACTTTGGGTATCCGAGGCTGGCTTTGAAACATTTGCCAATCAAATCCTATGGTAGTTGCTTGCATAAACAATGAAGTTGAAAACACTTGGTAGCGCGCTCTATCATGACCCATACGCGGAAAGTCCATCGACACAAAAATAAAGCGACAGCATAAGGTGCTATCACAGAAAGACATAGAGTAACTGCTCATTGAGTGCAACTTTATCTTTGTCATCATTCTACACTCTGAGCCCGTGCTTAGTCAAGACTTTATTTAGTGACTAAAATGGCAACAAACTTAGCATCTATCTATGCTCTATTGAGCTGCAGTGTCTTCTGATTTCCTCAACCAAGACGTTAAACGTTTTGGGCCATTAAAAGCTACATAAACTTTATTTTCTGACGCTTGTTCAAGCATTTGCCCATCCCTTATAGTCAGCTTGAATAACTCGAGGAGGAATTAAGTAACCGCACTTTAACCTTTCAAAGATGTATGATATACCAAAAAAAAAAGACCATAAACACAATAACAATAAATGACGGCTCATCTCAGCGCTAATAGCGTATGTTACGGTCAAAGTGTTTAGTCCAAAGAGATGTTCATTGATGCTGTGTCGTTGGTGATCGTGCAAGATATGGCTCATGTGTAGCTCTTCGCTATCCCTGATAGTTCAGACCATTATCCATTGTGGAAAGATAAATATTAATGTTTGAGAACAAGCGATAAATGCCCTTTGAACTACAAATACTCTTTTTTGGTCGTCATGAATGATCAAAGGCTTCGGAAAGACCTGACAGTTAAAAGTCTGTTACTCAAGTCATCTTTTCTTATTCTACTTTAGCCTCTGAGCAGAGACTCTAGCCTCTTGTACAGATGCTTCATATCTTTTTCTAACTTTTTTCTTTTCATCACTGATTATTAATAACTGCTTGCTTCCATTAGCTCATTGTCAGTCAATCAGATCGATTTAATGGCGATTCTCTTCATTCTACTGCTTGGAGTCTCTCAGTTCGTCTACACTCTTGTCATTGGACACTAAATGTCCAACACTGTATGCTTTTAGACAAGATGGCTTTAAAGTGCCATCAGCAGACATATAAAGATGGCAACTTTGTTTTTGCCCCAATAGAACAGCAACGGCAATTTACTCTATTGAATAGCTGAGTTGATTTGCTCATCATCATGCATAGGGCTGAAAGTTACAATAAATGCGAAAAGGAAAAAGAAGTTTTCTTTTTGTTCAATTTTTGTTCAGATCCGGACCTACTGTCGTATTTGAGGGTAGATGATATACAAATATTAAAGATATAATTCACTTTATGAAGGATAAAGATGAATTATACAATATTGCAAACCAGAAATAATTAGAAACTACATAAACTCTAATATATGAGTACCGTGAATTAAGTGTTGTGTTTAGTTGACAGCATCATATGAGATGTGGAGAACTCGTATACAAATTATACAAGATCCTCACACCTCATTACTGCTGAAATAATATAAAGTAGAGTAGGAAACGAATATAGAATAAGTGATGATTCTTATACGAGATTAGCTACCTCGTATAAGGCTGAACAGGTTGTCATTTAGGATATATAGTTTACTTATTTTACTGTAATACGTAACTATATGACATGGGATATATAGTAGAATTAATATATGGACATGCAGGATATATTGATTCAACACCAAGGTATAATAGGTTATAAGTACTATTCTCTGCCTTCGGCATAAAGAATGATTACAAGATAATAGTTTGTGATCATCCTTTACAATAACTGTTCTCTCAACTCAAACACCACGCACGAATACCATTTTCCTAATTAATACTATTTTCCTGCAAGCAGTGCTACATAATGGTTAGCACGGGAAAACAGGTTAGTTGCATGATCACTAGATCAAGCCATGGATACATTTACAAGTCCACCCGCTCCGGGTAGATGCGTCATCTCCTCAAGGGAGGATTCTATTCTTTTACGGTTCAGAAGACGTACGTCTTCTTTGAGTAGAATAACTCAGCTGTCACTTTCTAGGTTCCGCAATATGAAGAAGATATTTAAATTTTTGCAGTAGTTATTTTTTCTTCTCTTTGAACTTAACTTGATTCAAAATAAAAACCTACTAGTTTGATCTCGTTAACTTTTTACTGTTTTAATTAAGTGATATTTAACTCTACAAGTCGTCAAATACCACACCTACTACTATTCAAGCTACATCCAAAACATTTGCCCGGTACTGATTTGATGTCTAAATTGATTTTACACAATGAAGAGGTTACTAACATTGTAGTAGCAACATTACTTGGTAAGTAATCTTTTGTCCTTCTGTTAAAAGCGAAACAAATATATAGATAAATTTGCTTGTTTTATGTAGGTCCTGAGGCTCTCAACATGTACACTTCTCGGCCTACAGACTGGCTAGATGGGACTAGATCAGATGTTCTTTATGCTTCATCAATCGTATCTGCTAGCTTCCCACCTGTGCTTGTAGAAGTTCAACATACTATCGACCAAACTTTCATTGACCGCTTGATCAGTTACTCATTAAATGTAAAAAAAAAAGTATAAAGTTAAGCCAGTAATACTCGTATTTGGTATTGAAAGAACGTGCAAATATATCTCGACAGACTTAGAAGCAACGCAGCATTCGTTTGTCAAAGCAATCCCGTGTAATTACTGGGCCGAACACTGTTATTTTATTGATCATGATACAATCAAAGAGGACCTTAAACAACCTTCGCTTCATCCATTGTTGGCAATTGGAGTTTTCTTTTGTAAACAAAAACCTTCTTTGATGTCCATGGAACATAAAGACGATGCAACAATACAAACATTATACAGAATTGCTAAAGAGCAAATGGAGGAAGAAAAGGTAGTAAAACCCATCGCATCGGCTTTGGCTGACGTTTGTAATCAAACAAACACGCAATTCCAAAAATTAGTAAAAGTAATAGGGGCTATGCCAGATAGTCTTCTTAGAAAACGCGCACTTGCCTACGCAGACGACGGAATCTTGTATACGGATACTTGCCAACGTAAATATTTTAAAAAAGACGCTTCATGTGTGTCACCGATGCCAGCACCTTTGGAATTACCCGAAGCAACGATACAGCAAATCGATGAAACCGAGATCAACCATAACAACACTGATGATATTTTGCCTGAAACTGGTATTCCAAAAAGCGATATGGATTATGCTCTTCAATTCAAACAGACGGTAGAAATAATGAATTGGAAAGAATGTTATGAAAATGGGAAGAAGGATGGATATTTCAGCACTTATACCACACCAGCAAGTTTAAAGAGAGCGTTTTATAAAAAAAAAGCCTAACGAAGAATAATAGTTGACAGGGCAAACCAACCAAAAGAAGTTTATGTCAGTTTATATAAAAAATACAGTGAGCTTGCCAAAGAAAACCTCAGTACGAAGAGCTTAATTTTTCTTTCCTGTCTTACAGGATTTTGGTTTTAATTGGTACCTCCATAATTGTTTTTTAAGATAGTATATATTTTTATTTTTTCCTTTGAAATGAGTATGATTTTTTTTTTTAAATAAAGAGGGTGCTAGTAAGTTAGTTGATGAGCAAGGAGATGAATAAACCGCCTTAGTTGAAGAGTAGTCATTTCGCTTGAAAAAGTTGACAAATCTTTGAAAAATAATAAGAATCAGGAGGTTCAAATTAAGATAGCCATGCCGACACTTTTATAGAAGAGGTCACGTCGCAGAAGGAACGAAACCTTGAATATAACGTTTATACCAACGAAAATTGTAGATGTTATTTTTTTATACTAGAAAATAAAAAAGCCGAGTTTATGAAGAAGGAGTGTAGCCTTAGGATCAGAGCCGTTGATAAGCAATCTCTTGCCAGGAACGATGATAAACTCTTAATGCTCTCGTTGAGTGGACTAAGAAATGAATCGATGAAGGGGTTGAAAATCTTGACATTGTGTATTTGTTGATGGGTCAGAATTCGACATTAATATGCCCGCAGCCGTGGTTGATCTGCACGTGGCAAAAAAAGCAGTTACTATGATATTTGCTTATTCAAAATTGATAACTGTTGTAAGTGCAACGCTACGTATAACGAATAAAAATTGCCTTGCTGATCGAAATTCCCAAATGGCCGCCCAACGCTTATAATCATTAACCAAAAATAGATAAGCAATTTTTTTCCAAAATAAAATTGAATTCAAACGGTTTTGTCCTCTCTTTTTTTTTTGTTTTCTTTTTTCCTTTCGCTTTGGTTCCTCATCTCCAGCTCTCAACTCTTTTACTCACAATCCCAATTGCTTATTTACAAGAATGGAGCCTGCTGTACCTGTTTTGGAAAATGATAAAGAACATACCAGTACTACCATGTTGAAACAAGAAGAGACACCTTCTTCAGTAGTAGACGACAACAACAGTCTTTCCACTATCAAGCCTGCAGCTGCTTCTATAGCAGACTGGGAGAATGATATGAAGGATATTCCTCGTCTTCAGGTTGTGGACGAAAATCAGAAATTCACGTAAATGTACCAGCCTTATCTCTAAGACATAGATAAAAGAAGCAGTTCATGCGACTTTTTCCCCCATCATGAACAGCTGAGGAAGGACGACAAAAACAGTACACGTTGTTAACACAGTTTTCTTTCCTTTTTAATGTTGATGGGTTTGATATAGTGAGGAGCTCCCTGCTTATATGGAAAAGTGGGGTTTGGCAGATGCTGGTTTCAAGTATAATGTTGTGGCTGTTTTTGGTTCACAAAGCACTGGCAAAAGTACAGTACTGTTTATACGAGTATGCTCTGCCTGCTTGAATACTAAAACTTTGTCTTGTTGTTTCAACACTCCCCCCCCCAGGTACTCTCTTGAACAGATTGTTTGGCACTTCTTTTGTTGAAATGGACGAAAATCAAAGACAACAAACCACCAAGGGTATTTGGCTATCCCGTGGTAGAGGTATGCATGTTCTCGTCATGGATGTGGAAGGTACAGATGGTCGTGAACGTGGTGAAGATCAAGACTTTGAGCGTAAATCAGCCTTATTTTCCATGGCCACGAGTGAAGTCATTATTATCAATCTATGGGAACATCAAGTCGGTTTATATCAAGGTGCCAACATAGGTCTTTTAAAAACGGTGTTCGAGGTCAATTTACAATTGTTTCAGAATCAAAAAAGGTAAAAAGAAGATTGGCATAGGATAGCACGTGACAAATACTCATCCTCCTCATCGACCCATTTTTCCTACCATTAGTAAGGAAAAGACGTTACTATTGATTGTCATCCGTGATTTTGTTGGAGCCACTCCATTAGAAAACCTAGCAAAGACCATCAGGGCCGATCTGGAGAAAGTTTGGGAAAACTTATCCAAGGTGAGTTCATGTAGAACAATGAAAATGAAGCTCACTCGAAAACAGGGGGGCGCTGATCGTCAAGGGATACGATGTGTTGAAGAGAAGCAGTAACAGACTGACACTCTTAATTTTTCCTCCTAGCCTGAAGGTCTCGAAAATTGCAAGATTACCGACTACTTTGACTTTATGTTCAGTGGTCTTCCACACAAAATCTTGTTACCTGATAAGTTTGATGAAGAGGTTCAAAAACTTCGCCAAAGGTGAAATTTTAGGAAAGGGAATAAGTAGGACTGGAATACAAGAAGATGAATTGATGATTGTGTCCTTTTTATTTGCGTAGATTCACGGATCCAGAAAATCCTTTCTATGTCTTCCGTCCTGAATATCACAAACGAATTCCAGCAGATGGTTATAATATGTACGCATCCAGCATTTGGGACAAGGTCATGACAAACAAGGATCTCGATTTACCCACACAGCAAGAATTGCTCGCTCAATATAGATGTGATGAGATTTCAAATGTAAGCTTTTTCTTGTCATCCAACGTAACTCTCAAGTTGATTTCTGAACGTAATTGAATTCTCTAGGCTGCTTTTGAAGTGTTTAAAGAACAAATTGCACCCTTCAAGATACCCATTCTCGAGAAAGGACAGATTATGGCAGATTTAGGAGAGAAAATGAAAACGATGAGAGAGCAAGCACTCGCAAGCTTTGACAAGAGTGCTTCCCGTTATAACCAAGGCGTATACCAAAAGAAACGTGCTGAAATGCTAGTGAAACTGAATACCCAATTGGGCGTTTATTTTGTTGGCCAACTGAATAATCTTCACAAAAAGACATCCGTCTCATTCAGTGAAAAGTTAAAGAATCAATTGAAAGAGCCTGGATATAATTTTGCTGAGGTTGTTGCGAATTGTAAGAAGGAGGCAATGGACTTTTACTTGTCTGCCGCAAAAGGTATGCTCTCATGAAACCAAAGCCCATGTTATCGAATAGAGGAAGCACTTGGTATTGGTATATTCATTTTCTTTTTTCTGCCATTTTGCTGACGGAAAACTCTAGCTATTTTATTACCTGAAACGGACTGGTCCTATGCCCACGATGAAGAAGTATTAGCAGAAGAACTGAACGAAATTTCAGCAAGTGCCCGTGTCGAGGAATTCAAAAAGATGAACAAAGCACTTGAAAAACAAATGCAAACCGAATTAGCCGATCCAGTAGCACTCGCCTTGAATCGACCTGACAATACCATGTGGCATAAGATTATACAAACATACAAGAATACAGTGACGGATGGAGAAAAGATGTTGGCAAAGAAAGCTAAGAGTATGGGAAACAAAAGAGTACTTGTGAGATGAATGGGAAGAGCTTACCTATTATTCAATAGGCTTTGACTCATCAGAAGAAGAGATTCAACAATCTGTGACAGATCTAAAGCGTCAAGCTTGGATTGTGCTTCGTAAAAAAGTGGATGAAGAATTGGCAGATAGTTTATTATTGCTGAAACTTCGTGATAGGTAACATTCTATGGCACAAGCGGCGGCGCACGTGTGAGCCGCTTACTGACGCGTTCGTTGTCATAGGTTCGAGGAAAAGTTCCGTTATGATGAAATGGGTCTTCCCAGAGTATGGAAACCAGAAGATGATATTGATTCCTACTTTCAAAAGGCTAGGGATGAGGTATGTCATTTTCAATAGTTTCCCTTTTCTTGCATTGTTGTTGTTGTTGACCTGTATACTATTTTATAATAGACTTTGACGTTGGTGAAGGTCTTTTCTAAAGTGGATTTGAGTGAAGATGCTGGCTTTGAAATAGAATCCACAGATGACTTTGACTTTCAACAATCGCTCACCATCCTTACTGAAGCCAAGCAGATTGATATCACCAATCGATTCAAGAGAGAGTCTGATGCATTCTATTTGGAAGCAAAGCGATCTGTAGTTGCAACGACTGCCAAGGTGCCCACGTGGGTCATCATCATGCTTATTGCTCTTGGTTGGAATGAATTTATGGCTGTTATTCGTAGCCCTATTTATCTCATGTTTTTCATATTTGCCGTCACCATCGGCTATGTCATCTATGCTCTTGATTTATGGGGCCCTGTGGAGCGTATATTGACAACGGTGTCGATGGAAGCAACAAAGATGGCGAAAGCAAAGTTGGCAGAATCTATTCACACCACGGGTCAAGGAAGTCAACAATACGAATTGTCAACTATAAAAGATAAAAATGATTAGTGAACCATAGCAAGTAGAGAGAGAGGTACAACGTGTATTTGTAAATAACTTTTTTTTTTTTTTTCTTTAAACACGTCAAAAAATGTACATGATGTAGCTGTAGAAAGGTACTCCTGTCTGTTTCTCCTTGATTTAAAATAAAAATGCATCAACAGCTCAGTCATAACACTTCACTGGCACTTACACGCATTTATAAGGAAAGAATATTTCGTTCGTGAACACCATGGCTCGTATAAATCCGTAGCTTGTGAATTCGTGCTAGCCCAACTCATATCATACATGTTGATGAAGAGTTTGCATTCTATGGCACACATCTATGGGCTTCGATGAATTTGCACATTGGCTCTGATGTAATTATGTAGGGATGCCAATAATAAAATATGACGGCTACGTCATAAACCCATTTGAAAGACGGATTGAAACTATAGCAAGTCTATCCATGGGCCACGTAAACTTTCTTTTGATCGTTGGGCATTTACAGAAAAAAGGGCATGACTGTGTTTATAGTATCGTGACAGTATTACAGTTCCACGAAACGGATTTTCTTCTGATTTGTAGGTTAATAGCTGCATTATTGATGGCCCTAGCCTGTCCAACATTCATCTGCCTTTGAAGTAAGGAAAAAAAAGCTTATGTTACAGTCTATGCGAACGATGAAAGACGTCAATCTGCGTATACTAAACAATGAATAACAAAAATCAGATCAGGAAATGCATTCGTTTCACAAGATCATACATTATCACTTTTTCTGCTGTACACTGTAAAAGGCAAAATCAAAATAGCTTTTTTTTTATTTTCTGGTTTTATATTCCTTATACCCATTTAAGAATTTTTAAACTGGAAAAAAAAAAAAAAAAAAAAAAAATTCCAAATAAAACCAAGTTTTCCTCATATTATTAACAGAAATAATAATATTAAAGAAAAAGAAAAAAGGGTTTCTATTAACCTTTCTTTTTTTTTTCTTTCGTCATCTTACTCTTACTTTAACATTCCTTTTATCTCTCAACATCGTACTGAATTCACAACTCATCATGGAAAGTGAAATTACAATAGAAAAAGTCAACGAGACTTTTAAAAAGCGTCTAGCCTTCTCTGAAGGGCCGAGAAGTCAAAGTTACGGCTCACTATACGAGAATAATAATGTGGCAAAAACAGACAACTTTACTGCCAGTATTGCCGATAGTACAGCAGACAGTTATTTGGAAGCAGATATGAGTGACTCATTATTCGACTATCCTTTACGAAAGCAAACCTCAACATCCGCACTTTTACCACCGAGTCATTATTTAGGTTTATCAGCATCCCATCCCAACCTATTAGGTAAAGATACAGATGAGATGGAAAATGTAATTGCACCGCCACGAACACCAAGCCCTGCTGCTTCACCTGCTTCACCTGCTTCACCTGCCTCACTTCACAGTGATATGGATGCGGTCGCTCATGCGGGTTTAGATATTACTGAAAATGGATCAGAAAAGAGCAAATACTTAACGATGGATCCTGTGGATTTAAGTAATCTACGAAAATGGATAGTAGGCTTTTGTATAGTGAATTTTGATCTTGAAATCGGTCAAGGTAGGTTCACTTTTCATTGTTATGCAATTTCAGTTGATCCATTTTTCATGCATGTGGTTTTTTAATTTTTCATTATTATTCATTATTCCATCACAGCTATGGATTACGTTTATCCGCCAATGGACCTGTCTATGACAGAACAAAAAAATATGTAAGATGTTTATAGCGCTCGGCAACATAGAGCATGCTGCTTACGTTTCCATTCCTGCTTTGTCCTTAGTTGCTTTACGGCTTTTCCGGACTCGAACGTATTTGAAGTAGGAGATCAAGTCTTTAACATTCGCGTCAAAGCAAGCACATCGAAATTCGCTGTTTCAGGTATTTTTGGAATTTCTTTTTTTGTTTCCAGCTTAGAAATTTTAACGCATAATACATTTATTGACTCGCCAGGTCCAACGGCAGAGGCTGGATTCCTATACGGCTATGTTTTCTTTAGACAAAAAAAAGACTCTACAATTAGAAGAGGCTATTTTCAGGTAGAGTATTTGTTGAATTTTTGCGCGTGCCATGGGTTGTAACCTTGACAAAAAAACACAGACAACTTGATATTGTTTGCATTATTTTGTCTGTTTGCTAACCCGTATGTTTTGCAGAAATCATTAGTTTTGCTGTCACAACACCCTTTCGTTGGATTGTTTCCAAGGTTAATCTCCATTTTGGGTCCATCCTATTTTGAGTTAGGACAGCCCATGTTGGAGGCAGCATGTATGAATATAGCACAATGGTAATAGAAAGAAACAGAAAAAAAAAAAATACACTGAATGGCGAGACTAAGAATGATCATTTTGAAATGGTTGGCTATCTAGGGTAGCACCGGAGGAAGGCAAAATCCTTGATTTACCTTTCTTGGGACGACTGTTGCAAGTAGAGTTACCAACAGCATTCAAACCGCAGTTATTGGAAACAACACCATTCGATATGAACAAATTAAAACCAGACCTACAGATTATGGCATCTCTACCCGTGAACGGCTTATACCATCATTTTAAAGACATATTGAAGGATTTATGGTTATTATGGGAGTTGATGCTTTTGGCAGAACCCATTGTTGTTATGGCACAAGACCCAAGTGTATGCAGTGAAGCTGTGGTCTCTTTGGTTGATATCATTAATCCTGTAAGTTTGAGAACGAAATTACGGGGGGTGGGATAAGCTGGCTGATGCATTGGAAGTTAACAGTGATGACTTCAATAGATACCCTATTGCGGCGACTACCGTCCTTATTTTACCATACAAGATTCCGACTTCAAGTCTTTTGTCAATAAAAACAAGCCCCTTTCAAGCTTAGTGTTGGGAGTGACCAACCCATTTTTCAATACTGCTGTTCAACATTGGCCCAATATTGTTCGCGTCGGAAGACAACAATTAAGGTAGCAACAAGATGAATATAATAAAATGCAAAACATGAGAGCTAAACACCTTTTGATTTTCCTGCCTCCTCCCGCTTAGAAAACCGGATGGAAGTCGAACACCTAGCCATATGCAGCATGGACCACTTGCAAAAAAGACAAAACCTGGAGTAGGAGGAAAGTCGAATATGCTCTATAGCTTTGTGCAGGTGCGTGGCAAATGAGTTGTTTCATCAATAATTTTCCTGATAGGTAATAATGAGATAATGTACCGTATGTATCATAGGGTGTTACCACAAAACGCAAATCTACCATAGCAAGAGATCGTGATTTGATCAAAATGCTCACAGAAGCCACAGTGAGAGGATACCCTCCAGGTACATTGATCTTTTTCGCCAGCATGACATCATACCTACACACACAAATAACTTACAGTCCTATTCGTACGTCATACGTAAGATTGGGTGCTGAATAATATACTTCGACGCCATTTTGTAGATTTGACAGAGAAATTCCTTGTTCCCTTAAATAGATATTTCACTACACTCATTCCCGTAAAAATGTAAGAAGCGCCTCTCATCCATATCTCACGATCCAATGTCCAAATAGGAAAAAAATTTACTGACGGATATTACTTGTCTTGACCATAGACCAGCAAACGGAGATGTTCCTAGACTCAAGCCTTTTCAAACCGACCAATTTATGAAATCATTAAAAGAGCACGGGCCACAGCTACCGTTGAAAAGCACCTTCAAAACTCGTACATCAACCACAGATCCTACAAAGGAACTATACTCTCAGTTTTTAAAGTGTGGAAATTTTGCGACTTGGCTTCAGCAGCGAACATTAAAAGCGGAGCAAGAGATAATGAAAAGACGAAGCAAACAATAACTATCTATCGCGCGTATGTATTTCTGCGGATTCCTTTGCTGGCTCTCAGGGATGTCTCACCGAGCTTCATTTTCATGATAACGTGTGCAACTGCAAAACTCACCCTTTTGTTCGCACCTTCATAGATCTGAACGCTTTATTTATTTTTATTTGTTTTAATGACTCGTTACCATTATTTCCATTGTTAATTTCTTTTTAATTTTGCTTTCTTATGCCCTTGCTAACTTTTTGTAAATAATCTCATCTTACCCTTTTGTTCTATACTTTTTGAAGGCTTGTCCTCACAGACAGCTTTACTCATTACCCTCATTCTTTTGCGGATCCCTTTACCCAATCTTTCAAATAAAGACTCCAAGTAGATGAGGCGAATCATGTATATATTACAGCTTGTTGAATGGATAACAATAAAGCGTGATACAGAACCAATAGATAATTTCACAGATATGTTTTCGCCTAGTATTTTTAAAGGAAGATGACGAAGGGAATATTCACGACGAGACTGGAGCTGAAGCAATGGACAATGTTGATGAGAAGCCTGATCTAAACGCTTCAATCCAATTAGTCAATCTTGATTCTTACCTAAAGAAAGCGCTAAGTTTCCCACCAACGATAAATATATTGGACAAAGCGAAGAAGAAATAGGAGCGGCTATGGAAATAAGTGCAGAACGCTTAACTAAGTATATGGCATATGGTTTTGGCACAAAAGAACTATTTTTCCAGTACAAAGTCCAATGCCTATTGTCGGTTTGAAATGCTTACCAGCAAGTTTGCTGGTCTTAGATCAAGAAATCAAGAGTGCATGAGTTTTTGAGAGACGACTGTAACCTCTCTTTTAACGAAAGTTAATTTTTGGTCCATACAAGAACAAGCTCTGATACCATCCAAAAACGTTACGATTGGGTCGTCGCATGGAGTAATTCATGTATGGATTTTTCTAAAACCTGCGTTTTTATCGATGAAGCTGGCTTCCTATCAACATGAAAGCGAGTAGAGCTTGGGCTCCCAGAGGGCAAATGGCAGTGGTCACTACCCCAACGGCAAAAGCACCTACACATACCATTGTTGGTGCTATATCATCTGTAGGTTTGGTAAACCTGAGTATTCGTGTACCAAAGCAACAGCCAAAGGTAAGGAAGATCCATGGTGGCAAAAAGAGAAAAAGCCCTGAAGCAGCTTCTAGAGAAGAATGCCCAAAGGCACGACTGCCGGTCATTATTTAAGATTCTTAAGGGAGACCTTGGATATTATGGACAAGCATGATCAAATCCACTCGTTTACAAATTATTTATGAAAGTGGTCGGGACTATAAGTACGTTTATCTTCCTCCTTATTCACCAGTACTCAATCCATTTGAACAGTTTTGGGCATTGGTAAGGCAAATTGTATAATTCAGCGCTCAAAAACCATTTTGTAAACTGTTTAAAATCACATTCCAATCTAAGTATACTGCAATAAACAGATTTATAAAATCCTCAAGTCTTGAGACGCCTAAAGCCATTTTTAAACATTGGTGGGAGCCTCAGGCATAATAAAAGTCTTCGCTACTGCTTTCAATGGGAACAGAAACAGACAGCGTCCAGAAGGCTCCTTCACTACTTCAGAAACGCGTCAATAGGATTTATGGCAAGACGAGATGAAAATAAACTAGAAAAGCATCCAAGTGTTTAGCATAGATCTGATCAGCTAAGTAACACCCAGCTCTCCATAACATGCACTATTAGCGACAGACCATATCGCTATGACATAGATATATGGAACTATCACCTCACTGAGGAAGGCCAACTAGGCTATGCAACGCAGACCAGAAGACTTTTTAGCGGATTTAACTTGTAGGTTTAACTGTAGTCACTTGTTTATGTTGGTGTTTGAGGTACTTGGTGGAAACATAAGACGATACGAAGTAAGTCCCCGTTGATTTCCTTTATTATAGAGTATAGGAGGGCGTACAACAACTATTCATTGATATATAATAATAAAGTAAAATAAATAAAATGGGTAATCACTCGCTCCCCAAAAATACTAGTAGGATGATTTAGACCTTCACGTTAGAACTATTAGCATACACCTACTTATGAGCTGTTCTATAATACTGCTAAACATGTATGGTTACGGCAGGTGTGAAATAATTTGATAAAAGGAAGTTGTTGTATCTGCTTAACGAGAGACACTTAAAATAGTAGAACAATGAGTCCAAAAGTTAACCAGACACAAAAGCTATCCTTTATTGAGTTCTGTGTGTTCTGATTTTTTAAATAGATTTTGGTAAACTAAATATGTTGTTCAATAGTAAAACCTGCTAAGTGCTAACTGAGTTGGTTAGAGCCAGTTAAAAGTTTTTATAGTTGAGTTTGTCATATAAGAGCGAGATGTAATACTGATTGTCAAATAATAAAGAACATAGTTGAGCCTTGGGCACAACAGAAGTATCTGCTATGGTGAATACGACAGCATGTAAGAATGAAGCAGCATTAGAGTTGAATGTGAAGTTGCCTCGCACAATTTGTATACTGAAGCCAAGTATCAGATTCATTTGAAAGAGTTCAAGGATTACTTAACCAAACCAGGCATCTTCAACAAGAATGGAGCCGAACTCTTGTAACCATCTTCAAACAAATCCACCAGAACATCACGCCATAAGGGAATGGTGCAATCTCTACAACGACATGCGCTTCCAGTAACAGACCATATCGCTATAACATAGATATACGGAACTATCACCTCACTTAGGAAGGTCAACTAGGCTATGCAACGCAGACTAGAAGACTCCTTTGTCACTGAAGAGAAGCCTTGTAACCATCTAGAAACAAATCCACCTGAACATCACGCCATAAGGGAATGGTGCAATCTCTACAACGACATGCGCTTCCAGTAACAGACCATATCGCTATAACATAGATATACGGAACTATCACCTCACTTAGGAAGGTCAACTAGGCTATGCAACGCAGACTAGAAGACTCCTTTGTCACTGAAGAGAAGCCTTGTAACCATCTTGAAACAAATCCACCAGAACATCACGCCATAAGGGAATGGTGCAATCTCTACAACGACATGCGCTTCCAGTAACAGACCATATCGCTATAACATAGATATACGGAACTATCACCTCACTTAGGAAGGTCAACTAGGCTATGCAACGCAGACTAGAAGACTCCTTTGTCACTGAAGAGAAGCCTTGTAACCATCTTGAAACAAATCCACCAGAACATCACGCCATAAGGGAATGGTGCAATCTCTACAACGACATGCGCTTCCAGTAACAGACCATATCGCTATAACATAGATATACGGAACTATCACCTCACTTAGGAAGGTCAACTAGGCTATGCAACGCAGACTAGAAGACTCCTTTGTCACTGAAGAGAAGCCTTGTAACCATCTTGAAACAAATCCACCAGAACATCACGCCATAAGGGAATGGTGCAATCTCTACAACGACATGCGCTTCCAGTAACAGACCATATCGCTATAACATAGATATACGGAACTATCACCTCACTTAGGAAGGTCAACTAGGCTATGCAACGCAGACTAGAAGACTCCTTTGTCACTGAAGAGAAGCCTTGTAACCATCTAGAAACAAATCCACCAGAACATCACGCCATAAGGGAATGGTGCAATCTCTACAACGACATGCGCTTCCAGTAACAGACCATATCGCTATAACATAGATATACGGAACTATCACCTCACTTAGGAAGGTCAACTAGGCTATGCAACGCAGACTAGAAGACTCCTTTGTCACTGAAGAGAAGCCTTGTAACCATCTTGAAACAAATCCACCAGAACATCACGCCATAAGGGAATGGTGCAATCTCTACAACGACATGCGCTTCCAGTAACAGACCATATCGCTATAACATAGATATACGGAACTATCACCTCACTTAGGAAGGTCAACTAGGCTATGCAACGCAGACTAGAAGACTCCTTTGTCACTGAAGAGAAGCCTTGTAACCATCTAGAAACAAATCCACCAGAACATCACGCCATAAGGGAATGGTGCAATCTCTACAACGACATGCGCTTCCAGTAACAGACCATATCGCTATAACATAGATATACGGAACTATCACCTCACTTAGGAAGGTCAACTAGGCTATGCAACGCAGACTAGAAGACTCCTTTGTCACTAAGATGCACAAAAAGGAAAATTTTTGGATTTCGAAATTCTGACGAAAATAAACGAAAATTGGTGACGTATGGGAAAGTTTCCGTAAGGAATGTGGGTGACTGTAGTAGATTGTAAATTTGCCTCCTGATTCGTTAGGTTAGACCCAGAGCAACCTGCAGAGAAATACGATTAAACAAGATTTTTATTGGCAAATGTAATTTTAAACCCACATGAGCACAGAATCATTCTGAGATTGAATTGCCCGGGTCAGATCAATCATATGAACATGAAGCAATCTATTGCATGGTCAAAAGTAGGAAGCCACGCTGTTGTCAAAGTACCAAAAACTAGGGCAAAAACAATAACAATCTTGGGAGCAACCCGTGATTTTGGTGTTGTTGATATTAAAGTAAGACGGCCTCGAGTGATGCCCTCTTCCAAGCAGAGAAAGACAGCAGGATCGAGTGGACCAGCTCAACCCCAGAGTAAAGGCACTGTTATAGGCCATTACTTCAATTTTTGAGCGACACGATGGACGATGGACAAGCATCCAGATATTTTCAAGGACAACTACTTGATCATGGACAATGCTCCAATCCATACAAACGATGATATCAAGCTTTTCATTGAAAGTCGTGGTTACAGGTGCGTTTATCTTCCTCCTTACTCTCCAGGGCTTAACCCTATTGAGCAATTCTGGTCAGTTTGTAAGAGTAAGCTTAAACAAGAGAAGCTGTTAAAGGAAGAGACACTCACATCTAGAATCAGAGACGCATGCAATCAAGTGCTTATTAGCGATCTCAAGGGGTTCTGTAAATACTCTTGTGATATATTCGATGATTGCTTGCAAGGAAGGCATCTTTAGTAATATAATTATTTGTTTTTGTTTTTTTTGAAAATAATAAATTAGTCACATATCGCTGAGGGGTGGGACATGGAGAGGAAAAGAAAATTTCTATGACGAGTAAATTAGTCGAAAGCAGCCGCTTCCCGCAAGAGCTGCGAGGAAGACAGGCTCAAGGAAATTATATTGTGTGCTTTACTAGAGACGGATGGGGGATGAAAAGGAATATCATGGAATATCATTCGAAAGAATGACGTTCAGATAGCCCATGGATACTGAAGCAGACGGTGAAAAATCGAGATTGCTCGGACGAAGGTAGTGATGGTAGCGGGTGTAATCTTAGGGCGGTGGAGATGCTTTGAGGATCAAAGCCGAAGGATGGGAAATATACCGCGAGGCCTTCTTGCCATATTTGCCAGCGTGGAGGGCAACTGGTTGTGAAATGTTCGAACGTATCAATATCATGATTACAAAGTCTGCAGGTAGCAGATGAAACTACGCCTGCGGCTTGTAAGACTGATAAGCATGGTAATTTTTTCAAAATGGTGCGATAGCCTAGGTCACGAACCGGAAGAAACAAAGAAAGGGACCAGAACAGGGTGAACATCCGTTTGGGGATTGTTGTATCCAAGATACAACTATACGTCTTAAACTACAGAACGACTTCAGTACCTGCTTGACA